TTTATAAGGTTTCACAGCTCGCATGGCATGGAGTGCATGGATCACATGGAGTAGCATGGAGCTAAAGGGGGAGCTTCTTGCGCCCCTTAAAGCTCTGCGCTCCATGCGCTCCATGCACTCCATGCTACTCCATGCACTCCATGCACCATGCGTGCTATAAACTACTCTGTATATAGATGCTGATGCTAGACACGACATCAAGTGATCTTCTTTCTGTGGCATCTAAAGGAACGATACTCGCACGCTTTCCTTCTGATTTTTTTTTTCATACATTTCAAAACTTCGTTGGCAGTGGAAGACCGACAAAACATGTAGGCGGTAGGACCGATACCGAGCAGTCAATGTGTGTTCTTCACTTCTTGTCCGCAAAACAGGCGTCAAACCGACTCCGAGGCGATCCCGTCTGACACTTTTGCGTGCTGCAAGTCAAAAGTTGACGCTCATCTGTGCAAACACGGATGGAAGGCCGCGCAAGATTCATTATCAATCTTCAGGATGTCATTGTCTGTGCAGCTGGAGACGAAAATAAAACCAGATCCTAGTAGAGTATTGAGGAACCAGGCGCATGTAGAGTTTTTTTTTGGATTGGATCTCCTGTAGCTAGAGTTGGGCCTTCAAATGAACGTCTGAATTCTGCTGGAAGCTAAGTGAAAACTATTAAGGCTGTATGCACACTGTGACATTGTCGTAGAAGGTATTCATCTTCAACCAAGTATGCATTAGCACTAGTACTAGTACTATCCTTATTTCTTGTCGTGATATCCATCTTCATCCAATATTGCAGTATCTGTGCAGGGGAAGCTACCTATGGACTAGACAAGGAAGTTGAGCAACTATAATTCACTTTTCTTTTTTTTTTCTATGCAAGGTGGGTCACCTTCTGGTTTAGAAGTTTCAGTCATGTCTACATCTACTTCTAACTCTAATCTCTTCTTCATCTAGTTCTAGTAGTTGTAGTAGCAGCTTCTCGCCCATCTCGTTCATCACCAAAACTAAACATAGATGCAAGCATTCGTTGTTAAGCGTTTGAGTCGTTGCGTGGTACAAAATGTATTTATGCATTTGAAGGGTCATCAGTCAGTTGAGCTTAGAGATTGTGAAATTCAATCTTGTATGAGTATGTGTATGTGAGCTACGTCAAAAAAACATTTCTAGACCACACTCACTCGTTCTATCACTATGTCAATGCTTTCTTGCTGATGTAGAAATACCTATCGTGTCAGGGGGCTACCCATGCTGTGTGCGTTTCCGCGATACTGCTCGCGCCACCTGCCAGTGTCGATCCACCTGCCAACGTCGATGCTGCTCCTGGCAGCATTGTACTCATCGTGTGTCCGAAGGTTGTGCTAAGCTTGCTCTGGTTCGCAGTATAGTCTAAAGGCGACATAAGACCTGTTGGCGTTTTTACCCTTAGAGGCCGCATCGTCGCCGACATTTCTTGGTTGTTGTAGTTCTTAATCGGCGGAGGTTCTCCATACGGAGACGTAAATGCTGAGGCGCTCAACGACGAGTGACCGGGTAGCTTCTGCGGAGATGACAATGAAGAAGCCGCGTATTGTTTCGCAACCCTGTCGCCAAAAGTCGTTGTAGGTGCTACGGATCCAGGTTCTGCAGGAGCTGCGGAGGTGACGCCAGTAAAGCTAACGTCGGCCCTGGACATCAGGGTCGATCCAAAAAAGGAGGACAAATGCGTGCTTCCGGCAATTTCCTCCGACACAAGGTAACGCCGTGTGCCACCGCCACGACGTGGCGCATCCTCTTTCCGTGAGACCGAGCTCCCCATTGACTCGGCAGTGATGTCAAAAGCGCCACTTTGCTCGTGAGTCGAAGGTGCTAGAGGTAACGGTGGCACATTTTGCGACGCAAGCCCGCGGCGAGAGGCATCTTCTGATGATCCGACCCCAACCGTCCTCCCGTCTGCCGATCTACTCTTCTTGGTGCTATTCTGCGACTTTTTCTTCTTGCGAGCGTCTCCTTCGTCCAACAGCTGGCTTTCTTCCTGCTCACGCAGCCAAGCGTCGGCACCCTCGATTTCCTGCCTGATCTTCCCAATTTCGTCACGGCTCTCGATGGTGTCGTCAAGGCTCAGTCGCGCTACCTTTTCCATAAAGCTCTCTCCTTCCTCGGGTTCCTCGATCTGATACAGGGTCATAGCGCCATGTCGAGCGGCTCCGCGAACTGGACCGTACTGCGGAATATACCTAGTGGGAGACATAGATACTTGATTGCAGTTTCCTTTGTAGTAAGTTAACTTCTTTAGTTTACTCATACTCACGGAGATCATGCTGCTTAAAATTCGCGAGTCAATCCTCCATGGAAAACTCATGTCATCGAAGTCATACATTGAACATAGTAGAACTTTCAAAATAATATTTATTAGTCACTCTACTGAGTCGGTGGTCGCTTGGGAGTTCTTTCTTGTACTTACACTTAGTTACTGGGAATGGGATTCGAGGAGTGTAAGTTTTTGATACCTTTGATAATTCACTTGATCGTAGGTGACAGCCGCGTCTATGGTTCTTGTTTCCAATGTGTCACCTGCAAGAGCCGACTTTTTCGGAGATCTAGATTTTCTGCGCTTCCTTCGTGCACTCTTCTCGTTCGGCGACCTCCCGGTAACGCTCACACGGATGGGGCTTAGCTGAAGGACTCCTGGCGTCGACGTGTCACCGAAGGCATCCAGATACACCTTATGCGGCGAGTAGCCCGTCAAATACGAACCCGCACAAGAAAGTGCAGCGTCGTCCACGAAGGCACTTGCTTCTGGACCACCAGGAGGCGTTTTTGCGTCGTGTTTTTTGCTCATAGATTTTTCGAATTCTTTACTTAGTTTTCTGGCCTCCGAAGCCTGGACCTCTTTGCTCACTTTCCTCATTTGCGCCACTGTCACATTTCCGTACTCGGGATCGGACAGGTCTATGTCAGATTCATCGTGCTTTATCCGCGCGCGTGGTTTCTTCTTTTTCGTCGCAGATGAGGATGGGTTTTGTCCTCCCATGGCGTCCTCACCCTCGTACACGTTCTTCGTCTGCATGTTCTTGGTGCGGTCGCGAGTTTTGATCTTATTCTCCATTGCTGCTCCAAACAGTTCATCTTCATCAGCTCCCGTTCCGACGTCTTCAAAATGATCTTTGTCATCCTCATAATCTTCGTCGCCCCCTTGGTCGTGGTGGCCCTGACTCTCCTCGGTGTAGTAGAGGACGCCGCTAGCCGCATCACGTGCATTCAGACCTCCTCGCGCATCGACGGGACTCGGCGCAAAGTTTGCGGCACATGTTGACGAGCACATGGCTGCAAATGTTTTCCTTGCATTTTCTTGGCCGCCTGACGATAAAGGACTGCTCTCATTGACGGTCTGAAGTTTTCGCAAATCGAGTAGCGACTTGGATGCGACCGTGTCAAAGGCTTTGCCACTATTTTGATTTCCGACACCTCGTCCGATGTCTTGAAGATCCGACGCATGCACGTGCTTCGACTCCAAATGTTGTGCCCGCTCAGGGTGAGTTGTTTGTCGGTCACGACGATCAACATCAATATCATTATTATCATGGTACCTCCGACTCTGGGCGAGGCTATGATCTTGGCTTCTACGGTTGCCCCTGGTTTTCTTGCTCTGGTTGCTTGACAAGCCCGTTGAAGCGACAGGATGAAAGTTTGTCAAAGTGCCGACAGACGGGGTTGAGGATATGGTATTGTTGAGCTCTTCATCTGCAGCTAACGACGCCGCATAGAGCCCACCTTGCATTTGCAAGGGTGAAAAGGGAGCGGTTCCGCTGTGCTGGAACTTTAAATGAAGCTCTCCCCGTGTCCCGAGTTTCTTATGAGGGCTACCCGACATTGCAATCTTGCTTGTGCTGTTGCCCGTCAAACTGCTACTTAGAGTATTTGCAAAATACTTGCGGTCCCGCTCTGCATCAGGTTCATCCTTGGCTATTAGAGGGTTCTCGTCGGCTAATGCAAGACCCTTCAGCTTCGCGAGTCGACGCGCAAACATCTTCCCATGTCGCAGCTGCAGGTAGTCGTCTTCGCTCGGCAAATACGAGGGCACAAGGTTGTTCAGCTTCTTGCTAGGTGAGCTTGAATTTCTGCCTTGCCCTTTCGAAACTCCACCGGGCCCTCGTGCACCGGACTCAATCTTTCGAGTGGGAGGTGCAGTTGAAGAGGAAGACCCGCCTGCGGTTTCGTTTTTCCGCGGGATCCCGAGACTGCTATCAGTATCGTGACCTCGTCCACAACTGTCCATTTTCTTATCGCGTTTTTTACCGGACTTGCTGTTATTTCCCCTCGAACCGCCTCCCCGCAGAAGAGCTTGGAGGTTCACTGGTATCGGAAACCCGTCGTCGTCACGACCAGCGGCCTCGTCGCCTTTCGGTACAACCGGCGAAACAGAAGAAGTAACTCCGCCATCAGCCCTGACGATAGTGAGTAGCTCGCTCGGCCGATTATTGGATCTTGAGCCTTTGTCTGAAGCGGCTTCACCAGATCTACCAAACAACGCGCGTTGCAGCTGGTTAACATGATTATCATTGTCGCCATGGCCAATGCCATCCGCCGTTTCTTCCCCACCTCTAACGCGACCGACCTTCTGGTGGTCTGTATGACGATTTTGAGGCGCTTGTCCTGCATCTCCTCGTCCGTCAAGTTTGCTGTACACGGAGACACGTGGCACAGCAAATCGCGAAGGACTGTTTCCAAGAGAAATGCTACCTGAGAGACCGAACTGGTCTAAGGAGAACGTACTCCCTAATGTAGAGCGAAAACCACAGGCTGCGCTTCGTTCCCCAGAACGATATTGCGTCGACGAGGTTGAGTACGCCATCGTAGCAGCAGCAGGGGTGTGCGAAAGTAGGAATTGTGATTTTCACGAATATATGTTGTAATCACACATGGACATACAAAAGCGAGGTCGGCATACCTGACGAAGGCTCTCTTCTTGGCCATTTAATTATAATTGCACAACTTTCACCATCGAAGATTATGGGTGGTCTAGTTTCTAAGAACAACTACAATAGGCCGATATACCTTTTTGATCCTTATCATGCACAACATGCTTATGCTTGTACTTCGTAATAGAATGTTGGCTGCTATCGAGTATCCAGTGTTGGGGTCATCGATGAAAGAAAGAACGCGATCTATTGCTTTTTTACTCTCACTGTTCTAGGCGACGAAGCTACTGAACAATCAAGACGAATAGACAGAGCCATACGCTTTACTAAAGAAGATATTCCACTAGACAAGTGACAATACCCACAATAGCCGAGCACATGTAGTACACCCTCGCCACGGAGGATACGATCAGCGTCACTATTATGCCTCTATTCAAAGATTCCGATTCTCAAAAGCTAAAATCGTATCCAATCATGTGGCCTACGCCTACACCGACGATGCTGCCGAGCATTATTACGAATCGACACCATCAAGACCAACAGGGTGTAAGACTCGGATTTTCTTCTTACCTCTCGAACGGACACACACGCGGATGCAGGAGGGGTACAAGGCAAACCTACACCTGGAACAGACAGAGAGTCATGGTAGCCGTGTACAAGTACGAAGTCTTGGCGAACTCTGGACGCGTTTGGCTTCGCGAATGCGCTCAATGTGAAAGTAGCATTCTAACGCGTGATCACATCTGGTCACTCTTGGAATCGTCGGCATCTTCTTGGGTGCTGGTACGGCTGTCGGGAAAAAAATACTGTGCATAGGTCGTGAAGTGGTGCCATATTTTCAAGTAGTCCGTCTTGACCTCAATCTTCGTCAAGTCTACTCTTCCCTCTCTTAGTTCTTTAATATTGCGAGTGCCTATTCATCTCATCCGTAGTTTTCATCAAATTTCTCTGGGAAAAGAAAATGTTAGATAATCTAGACCTACTTTTAATTCTTCTACGTAATACAAATCCTTCCGATTTTACATCGTCTCTCGTCGATTCCAGTAAACAAACTTTGTTCCGCAGTCCTCGCTTTCACACCTTAACATTCGTTGTCAGCGCAACAAATTAGAGCTATAGAAATGACAAGGCAGTACTTACACAGAAAAAGAGAACTAGTTGTAAATAACATGTTTTGACTTCTTCGCGGGCCTTAAAAAAGGAACATGAGGGCCACAGCCATGCCAATCATTCGCCATTCGGCTCGCATAGAACTGGAGCTTGTGAGGCAGATAGTGCGATAGCTGCTGTGATCATTGCAGTTTTTGCCGGCAAAGCAAGTGCAGCTCTTTCTCTCTGGATTGTAGTTGGCCAGCCGTCCACACACCTCTGAGAGGCCCTCACCTGTCTGGCATGCCTCGCGGCAGCTTGCCTGGTCCGTCACAGGACCCACACCATTCGTTGATTAGAGTGTGAAAAAGAAATATGAAAATGTAAAAAAATGAGATGAAGAAAATGATCATTTTAAGATTCTAGCAGCAATGGCAATCGATTAGGTAGGTGGAATCGGTAGAATAGATCAAGATAAATTGCAGCAATTTCGTTGCATCTATTCTCTCCTAGTACATTCGTGTCGCAATTTTTCTAGCATCAAAGGAGTTCAATTTTCTTGCATATTTCTTGTAGTCAGTGCAGTTCGGCTTGTTGACGCCATCCGTCATCATCTTGGTCCACATTGAGTTCTTGAGCGCTCCACGAAACGGCACCGAGGCTGCATTAGATGTCGAGTTGGTTTTTACTTGCTCCGCTTCTTCAGCTTCGCTCTTCTCGACCGTAGATTTTACTTCTTGTGCGACTTTCTTTTGCTCCGCCTTTGCGACTTTTTGATTTTCATTTCCCTCCAAAAAGTCAGCCGGTTTCTTCGGCGATGTGCTCGACGACGATACGTCCTTCCGTGGAGCTGCTGTGGAAGCTGCAGCTGGCACTGATCGCAGAGGACTTGAAAGCACAGTACTGGCTGCGCCAGAGGCAGCTGCAGCAGGGCACACTAGAGCGGCAACCGCCAAGCGAAGAACTGGTGACGAGGAGAACACCATGATATCCTTTTCGCTTTTTCGTGACTGTGACGGAGTTCAATAAAAAAGATTGATTCTGCGTCGTGCTTGCGACAAGTACTGGATACTTACAGTGAGTTAACAAACAGTAAGTATTAATTAGGACGGTCGCGACGAGAATGAGCACGGGTCGTGCCCTCTCTCGCTCACGCGAATAGAGATTGTCGCGCTACTTCTGAGTTTTAATCTTCTCACTTTTTGACCTAGACCGGCACAAAATCTACTTACGTCCATGGTCTCAGTGGTGCAACTGTCGCGCTACTTCTGAGTTTTAATCTTCTCACTTTTTGACCTAGACCGGCACAAAATCTACTTACGTCCATGGTCTCAGTTATGGAACACCTCCTGCTATGCTGTGGAACTTTCTTATTTTGGTAATCGGTCGACGTCGAGCTCAAGCTGCAGCGACTTCAAAAAATGAGATGCGAGGGGTGGGATTTTGACAAGAGCTGTCGAGAAGGAGATCATAATGGTTCAATCTATAATCTTCTTCCTGGTCGTGTTGAATATTGACTTTCTTGTGAGTAAGAAAGGTTTTTTGACATGAAGGGTCAAGACAAGAGCGTCACCGCTCTTCAACTAGCTTGGCCATACATTGATCCGTCTTAGGTAGCCAGCAAATGCGAGCTCGCTACAGGTTGGAAGACTTTACCAACATGCTGGCACGCTAGAAGGAGACCAGACGAAAGGATTGCCCACCTGATCTACCGCGGACCGTAACCAAGCAGCACACCGTTGGAGGCGCCAGAGCCAATTTTGCTGCGTTCCAGTTCTTTCTGGCGGATCTGCTGAATAACTTCTGGCAGTGGTTCGTTGGCTTGTTGCTTGTGTTTGTTTGCGTTGCCCTTGACGGAGTATGTTTTGTAGGACACACTGGGGTCGTACAGTTCCCATCGTTTCTGCGGAAACACGTGCTTGTTCGCTTCGTACCAGCTACGCTGTACAATCTTGCCGGCATGCGTCTCCTGGCGCTCTTGCCGAATATCCGCGGCCTCGGTTACGTCTTCCCGCACGCCAAAGCTAAAGAGTGGCCCGCTCTTCCCGCGTACTTGGTCGCGTATCAACTCGTAAAACGTGACCTTGTGCGGCAGGATCAAGTCCTCTTTCACGTAGAGCAGCTCGTCACTGGCGATGTGGCGCAATACCGCAAAATCCTCTAGGAGTTGTAGTCGCGCAACCTTCAGAAATTGTCCGATCGAAGCACCGCGCTCGATGCTCAACGACCGTCGGTGCCCAGACCCGTCCCAGTAGGAGTACACGATGTCGATCAACTCCTTCTTCGTTTGTTCCTCTCGTTGACGGTACTCCTCGACCAATGCCTCACGCTTCTGCACCATTTCGCGATCCCGCAGTTCGTCCTTCAGGAACGAGGTGTCGACGTTAGGATTCTTCTTGCTTCTTATCGGAAAGTTACCTGGTGGACGCATGGAAGAGGACGCTCCGCCCTTCTGCTCGTTTGGCTTCGTTTTAGGTTTGTTCGACGTCAAAGGAAAGCCATCTTCGTCAACATCGTCCTCATCGTCGTCCTCGTCTTTATCCTTGCTATCCTCCTCTTCTTCGTCGTCCTCATCGGCGAAACTCAGAGTACTTTTCTTCACGGTCTGAACGATTTGCTTCTTCTGTACGGGGTCTTTTCGCTGTTCAGCTTTTTCGATCAGTTCGTCGATATTGCGTCGCTTTTCTCGGAATTCCTCTATCGAGGTCAAACCAACCGTCTGCGCTTTAAACTCCTCCTCAAGGACGTCAGCAGTGGAAGACCCAAAATTGTCACCTGATGATATGAAGATGAACAAGATTGAGTGATATCTTAGTACGCAGATCGATGAAGATACCAATTTCAATCAACACTATAGTTTTAGAAGTTGCTTGAATTGGTGATCTCCATTTTTTCCAATTACAGACGATCCAGAGAATTACATACATGTCTTGAGAAAAAGATGAAGATCAGAGAACGGATCTTCTTGTGAGTTTGGAAAAAGTACTTTTTGTGAGGTTGAGCTTTCTTCGCTTTAGCTTTTCCTCAAGCTGATCCTTTGCTGCCTCTGTTTTTTCTGCGATTTTTTCACGCTGTTTCAGCAGTTTGCGCAGCTTGCCAGTCTTGTCATGGCGTATCTCGTCAGCGACGTTGCCGCTCTCTGGACGGTAGGCCATTTTGATGATAATTCGTTCAGACGAGGCACTGGTACTAGGCAATGGTAATGATGACCCAAGTACAATAATTATAATACGACTACAATAGAAAAAACTACAACCAGTCTGCTAGGGTCACCCACGTGGTCCTACTCCTATGAGGGCGATTACTGATACTGAATCTCGGGAACAAAGAAAAAGTGCGATTGCTAGCATCTAATTCTTTATCCGACGAGATGGAGTAGATAATAGCGGGTCGGTCAGTGAGCAAAAACCTTGCTACGGACGTCGCCTGCTTTGAGTAGAGTCGAAAGAAGCGCTGATGGATCGTTTTCTCGTAAGGCTGAACCACATTGTCATTTCTAGCCAGCATCTTTGGTAAATGCTTACAGCGAACACGAGTATGATTCTCAATGAATGTAGGAAGTTGTCGAGAACTACATCTGTTTTCAGTATTGAGTCAGAATAGCTTTCTGCTTTGCATAGCTCTTCCGGAAACATGAAGTATGGTTGGAGCGATCGAGTCGCAGTCTGGATTGAATTCAAGAGAGCCCATTGAATTCAAAAGAGTCTGTGAGTGAGGCCGGCCTTGAAGACATCAGAGGCATTTGAATTACGCATCTTTGCGGTAGCACTGAAGACGCTTTCTTTGAAATAATGTAGCGTACGACAGATGAAGATCATGCATCCGTCGAATTATTAGAAGACGTGAAAATACTTCCACAGAAAGGTTGGAAAACATCTGAAGACGCATATGCTGAACAACAAGAAGATACGGAGAAAGACGAATCTATTGTAATGGCGAATTTATTAAGGACTACTTGTGTGCCTGTACTCCTTCTGTAGCCGTGAAAAATTCCCGTTCCCCGTACGTACAGAGACGCGGCATGTCTGAATTTTTATTGTTTACTTTCTATGGACTATTGTTAATATTATCTTTTGCAGAACAAGTCGAAATAATATGATGAACTAGTAAGACTTACTGAGAGGCAATGTACGTGTGCATATCCTTTTCACTTTCTTCGCGTTAACCCGTCGAAAATGCTCCAATCGTTCGATATCTGGAATCTGGTCGGCGCCTGGACCACTTTCATTTCACCAAAATCTAGTCGGAACTTCTATGAGATCAACTACACTCACATACACTGTTCATTTTCTGGGTATGTTATGTAACGGTGATTTCTCTTACAATAATATCATCAACTGATCATAACAATATATCACCGCCCTGCTACATCTACAACTACCAGCATGATGAAGGACGAACAAATGAAAAAGGACTCCAGCATCATTCATAACTGCACCTTTATACAACATCAACTTTTTGAACAATCAATATCCTGTACTAGTTTGTAACGATCACCACCCGACAACTTTTTTTATCTCTAGATTTCTGCCACACAAAATCAAGAAAAATACAAGACTAGCGAGAGAACTGAGCAAGACAGAAATTTCCGATTATGAAAAGGTAAAGCTGAAGGATTACGCACTACTAATTCAGAGTGGGAATACTACTACAACGAACCGTCAACGTCTACAAAGAAACTCAATGACTTACTAACTTAGTTATTGAAAAAATATAAATGAAACTCAAAAACCAAGAGTGAAGAGATGATACTGAGAACTAGTGGTGGATAATGGAATATCGGCAACGGAAATTGATATACTGCTCTTTCACGATTAAAAAGTATTTGAAAATATCAAGCAGAATCTTTGCTCCTCCGAGAAACTCAGTACGACGCATTATGAGTAAAAAAAAGTCTTTGAAACTGTTCAACGAATGATATCCGTCTATACTGGTCTCTTTTAACTATTACTGCCACTAAATTACAACCGATATTGGTAACAACGAACTATCTACGTAATTATTACGCCGCGCTTCTAGCGAGCCTATGCGTCTGGAGTATGTCGCAAAATAGAAATAGCCGTGTGTTAAACTATTTAGTACGCTTTTTCTTACTTATACTTAATCGTTCCCAAAGCCAAACCATCCAAGGAGGTAACTCCTCGAATAGAAACTTCACCCCTCGGCCCCGCCCGCGCCCGCCGAGCCTACTTATAAAGTTAAAATCCTACATTCATTGAAAAAAATATATGGTTACAGAAATTAACAAAACCTAGCTACCACACATAGTGGCTTTCCTTCACGAATGCGGATGCGCGATCCCGATCGAGGCCAAAAACTCTACGTATGAAACTTCTAAATTTTCAACGACGAGGAGTTTCCAGCAAAAGTGGATCCTCTTAAACTTGGTTAGTGCTAGTGGTTGTGTCTTAAAAATGCGTTCTCGTTCTTGGAAACATGATCAGCAACGTGAAGACACATCCGTTTTGCCTCACCAAAACGGTGCGTCTGCGTACCCTGTATGGGGATAATACGTCGCTCCTGGTGTGCCAGCCAGGTAAGAACCTAGTGGAAGTGGTGATGGAGAAAAGAGCATATCTTCTTACGATGCAGTCGCGCAGATCTATACCTCTTGCTTTTTATGAGTGATTGTGTCTCCTACTGTTTCGGACAATGAGGAGCAGTAGCAGTTGTATTGGATCTTATTCGAGGAATCTACAAGCGTCTAGATTATCATTGTACCTGACGCATCCCATGCCGAGGTTGCGTTTGTGAAGTAGTGAGCGTCTCGAAGATCGTGATACTGCCAAGAGTTGCTGGAAGCCGTCGTTTGACCTGGTATGCCGAAAAAAATCAATAGAAGTACGAGTAATATCTTTGGGAAATTAATGAGTAGTCAGCCAACAAGAACAGATATCACGACAGCAGAACTTCCCTAGACATAGACTTCTCGTGTTACAAGTGCAGGAGATGATCGTGAAAGTCAAATACTGTAGCAATATGCTACAACAGCAGGTAATATTTCTAAATATCTACTTCTCCGTCCTCTGTGAAGGAGTAGGTACCTGCAGCCGCTGTTCCGGGAACGGGGCTAAACAGTATTGACGGATTGACGCCAACAGCCAGCGCACCTGCTGCGGCTGCCGCGACGCTAGGGTTCTGCAGATAGTAGTTGTAAAGCGCAGCAGCACCTCCTCCAGCTCGCGATGCATCTGCTGGAGATAATCCTGGTGCAGCGTTGTAGTTGTTGTAGTTCGTTGCTGCACACGCTGCTGCACTACAGGCCGCGGCCTCGGGACGAGAAGCGCTCGTGTCATACTTGCAGCTCATGTGCTGCTGACGAACGTTTCCACCCCTTGCGCTATTCGAATAGCTTTTGGCAGATGCGCCACTCGTTGACACCTGCGGACTCAGCTGGTGCGGATGTGCAACGCCATTCACGTTCAGTGACCGTGACATTCGTGTAGTTGTGTTGTACTTCATAGCTCCTCCCCCAGTGGCGTGCGTTTCGTCCGGTAGCGTAGATGGCGCTCCCTTACTGGTATTACCATCAGACGTATTTTTCGGGGCCGAGGTGCTCTTGATCTTCTCGACGTCAATAGGAGTCGTGCCGAACACTTTTCTAGCACCATTGTTTGTGGGAATTCCTGGGTTGCTCATACCTGCTCCTTCACTCTGTGTGGAGTTACAGGCAGTGGAATTCGAATTTTGTTGAACAGCGCCAGAAGTTGCACCGGATGCATGATTCAGGAAAGAAGTGTTGGCTCCTGACAAAGTCGTCGGCGGCAAGAGACCGCTGTTCGCAGAACCGTCAGTAGTCGCAGGCGAGGCCGCAATAGTGTCAGGCGACGCAGCCAGCGTGGAGACCGTCGCCATCGAGTGCGTCAATGCCTGCTGGTCCATGAAATGGAAGTGGTCCAAGCCGCTGCAGGGAGGCAAAAGTGTCGAAGGGGATTGATGTTGATGATGCATTGCACCAGCAGCCGATGCGCAAGAAGTAGCGTCATGCGATCCACCTGCTTCGCACGACATCGCTCCGAAATGCTGCTGCACAAAAGGGTTCTCCAGGTGCTGACTACATCCGTTGGCGCCGTCTAGCGGATCCACTCCGCCAGGGGCAAACGTCTTCTTTCGTGCGTCACGCAATTGCAATGCTGGTAAGGGCTGATCGGGCTCCGGAAACGGCAAGATATTGCCACGCGTGTCAAATATAATCGGCCGGTAGTGCGAAATCTCAGCAGGAATCTGTTGGGTTTTTGATAAGAAAGTACAATTCTCCATCAGCAGTCTAATTTCTGTTCACGAGGCAAATTCTGCGTCTTCTTTTGTCAACAACATACTAACAAAGGCTATACCGAATTGATCGGGCTGTTGCGGAATTGCTCAATGTTGTTCTTCCTCCCCTGGACTCGAGCATAAGTGACTTCGCAGACTTTGCGGGGTGCACTGACCGGAAGGCTCGCCCTGGTGGGATGAAGGATGATGCTTCGATGATTTTTTTGAAACTTGAGAGTGTTACTAGTGTCTCTGGACATGAAATCGAAGCTCGAGCTGCTCACTGATTTAAGTACCTGAAGATGAAGATGCAACTGATTGAGGGGCCATGACTTTTACGACTAGAAGCGTGAGGACAGAAGCTGAACCAGAAGGTAGGTGCAGTTAAGTAAGAAATAAAAATCCTAGAAGAAGTACTGGTTGAACGTAGCGTAGAAGCGACGAGACTCCGATACGGTCACAAAGTTGATGAAGCAATAGCCGTAGTTGGACCTGAATGTCAATCAGAAACGGATGATTTAGAAAACGACACTTAGTTAGATGGCAGAATAGACAAACATCAGAGACGTTTGGTTTCCTGTTGAGTCAATTCCTAGTGCTATTGTTGGTCATGCACTTCAACATCTACTTATTTTCTAAAGGGAGAAATGTAGTATCTCACAACTAACCTTGAGCGAAAATCCATGGGTAGGTAGAAGAAATCGAAGCTGCGGCCAGGGACAAATTGACGCGTCGCGAATAAATCCAATAAGTCCCTTTGCGTTTGCGACGCGAGAAGATTCTCTGTTTTGTTTTATAGGTTGGATGCACAAGAAGTCTTGAACAGATTTTGAAGATCAAGATGATCCAGTGCAGGCGCACTTCCGGAACAAGAGCGGGCCCAATTCGAAAGTAGTTCGTTGAAATCCTAAACGTATGCAGACCCTTAGTTATTGCAAGTGCTTGGAAGACAACAAGTTCTGTAGTGCAAAGCAACTTACACGGAGCGAGTAGATCTAGATGTTGCAGCAAATACATAGTACTTAGCATAAGCGTGGTTTTTCCGCTCCGCGCATTGTCGTAACTATTTCGCTTGAGTCCGATGCTTTGCTCCCATTGAAGGAGGACGTCTTCGACTGCACCTTCTGTCGCCGACATGTCTTCTTTGAAGTTCTCCACACAAGTAGTCTTTACAGTTTGATATTATACGGGTGGAACAAAATGGAAATCACATGTGTTTCTGAAACGCGTCTTTCTATGTATCTTTGGTATAGTACTATGAGGTGTGAAGGCCATTTTTTTTGAGGAAGCCAAGAGACACATTCCTCCACGTGCTTCGCGCATTCATTTCTTGCACTTCCGATTTTGGACTAGGTTTCCGAATGCTAGTTTCTGTGTTTTTTTGCTTTGTTCGTCTTTCTCGGCTTTCGTTCTGTTTATTCATCTCTTTCTGCGAAAAATATTCAAGTAACTCGGTTTCTCCGCTCCACAGCCGAAGAGCCAAAGCTGAGTATTGAAAAAGCACGTGACTATCCCTTTCTGAAAGAAAGGCCTGATATTTTTCTGGGCATCAGCGCCATCTTCAGGTTGTAGCTCGCTCGATGTGCGTAGTAGTCTTAGAAATTTTTCCATCCCCCCAAAACTCGTTACTTTTTGCTTTTCCATTTGTTGTATTATGAGATTTCCTATTTTTGTGACGACGACATCCATCAACAATTCAAAAGCTGTAGCCATCCCAGAGCTGAGTGGTGTGTTGCTTGGGTAACTGAAAAAAAGAGCCAAGGCCATGCGCATACTGACTAGTGACTACTCTAATGCATAATAGAGGATGTAGTATAGTCGGTCTTCTACATTTCTCGCTTCCCGCCAGTTGCTTCCGCTACTTGAAGGTGATACCATCGGGCCTCTGCCCCGGGATTCGTCTCTGAATCGAAGCACTCTTCGGTGGACACACCGCAACGCTGCAGAAAGTAAAAGAGCCGCAGAGGCCTTATTCGCACACCAAAGTCACGAAGGCGGATGTTCAAGGCGCACTCGTGCGTCACTCGGCCACTCTCCGTCCACGTGGTCCGAGCACCCTTTGCGCACGCTTGTTGGACTTTAGGCGCCGCAACGCCGGTGCATCCATCGTAGTCCATGTATGCAGGTGCCAGCTTTCGTGGCAGTATGGCGAAATGATCTTGGGTGTCGCCATGGCTGATCGAGTTGTTGCGCATGTAGAGGTAAGCGTAATTCTCGTCAAAATCGCGCAAATTTCCAATCGGCGACAGGAACCGCAGGTCGGGTCGCGTGCGGATCACCCAGTCAAACTCCATGTAGTTGTTCTTCTCAAACTTGCGTACTTGGTCCATGCACAAATTCAATTTCTGGGACTGAAATGCGCTGGAATCGGGCGCATCACAAAAACCGCGCGTCTCCAGCGATGGCTCCTGCGTCACTATGGTGCTGATACGAATACGCGCGCCCTTCGTGACCCTCCGAGAGGATGAAAATGAAGCCGAAGGTACTAAGGTTGACTCTTGTGAGGACCGCTCTCCAGTGGAATCGGTAGCTTTGTCATCTTCAGATTCTTCGGACGAATTCTGTTCCTCGTTGTAGAGCGGTTCTCCACGTTTTAAAGCCTCTAGTTCCAGTTTCCTCCGATCCAGCACAGGTGGACGAGGGACCCCGGAATCGGGCGCGTCTGCTATCAAAAGGTCTGCCGGTGGCATCAGGTCCAGCGCTGGCTGATACTCTGCTACCGAACGGTTTTGCATGTCCAAAACGTAAAAAAAGGAGACATTAGCGTTTGGAAACGATGTTCCGTTCTGTGCGATTGCTTTGTAGACTTCCGGCCGAAAAAGTGTGCGGGCGCGCCCCGTCATACAAACCGCTACTTGAAGGGTCTTAGAACGTGTTATGGCTGAGTTTTGTTCTTGCAACTTTTGCTGAACTCTCTCGGCAGGTGACGGAGGTGCTCTTGTCGGCGACGCTTCTTGCTGATTACGACAACGAATTGGCAGTGACGTGTGACTACCAACTTGCTGTGTTCTTCTGCGTGCAGCGACTCGAGATGCCACTAATGAGAAAGGTAATACATGGTCACTACTTTGCAGGTTTTGTTTTACATCTTTGCCCCCTTCTGCTACTGCACGGTCTTTAGGGACAGGCGGTGAAAGCAGAGCTTCGACCCTCTCGCGATAATCACGCGCAGCCAGAAAGGGACAACTCTCTAGGACATCCTTGTGCCGCGCATATATGCCCATAGAGGAAGTGCGCTTCTGCTCCAGTCGTCTCAGCGCATAATCTCGAAGATTGCTAACAACAACATGCTTCCCAAACCGCAGCTGTGGTACAGGGTAAAGACTAGACGATAGGACTGCGCTTACATTGTCCCCGTCTACAAGCGATCCAGTTGGAATCGGGCCTGCATGTTGCACCACTAGGGCCAAAGAATGGAGCGAGACCACGCCTTCTGGTTGAGCACCAGACGTCACGCCGTCATAACTTGCAGACGATGATCGAGAGCCTTGGTCGTCGAGTCCATGTTTAGCTTGCGATCGCGCAGATGCGGTCAAGAGCATCCCTCGCAGCATCCCTGTGAGTGCCAGTGGAATCGCAGCATACGCAGGTGCAGGCGGTTCCATACCCCCTACCTCGACATTGATGCAGCCAAAGTAGGACAGTCGCCAACGCTTCATCTCTGCCACTACTTGCGCGTCATGAATTCCACGGACTAGTTGTTCCACGTTGTTGCTGCTCTCGGTAGTCGTCCTCAGGATCCTGAACAGTAACTCGCGCACACGCGCAGCCAGCATTTGAAAAAATGCAGGCCATTGTTCATAGCCCACATGCGCTTCGTAGAAATCGGAGCTCATAAACTCGTTGCAATCCACGAAGTTTTGCTCCACTCTGGCCCAATCTAAATCGGCTTCGTGCGTTGCTTCGTCATCCCGTAGAAGTGCAAATCGTGCGAGAGGGAGGAAATCCTGCAGCCCTCCAGCGATGAAGACGCTGTCCTTACGCGTCAGCACGTTTTTGGGATCCGGACTCACTAATGGAAACCATTCTCGTGTGATCACGTCCAGCGCAAAAAGTTCCTCACGACTGTGCCTCGTGAGCTCCGTCTGTGTTTCCCGCTCCGCAACGGACTTTGGCCGGCCGCTTCGCCGGTCGACTACGGATGGCGATGTAGCTGCTTTTGACGCTCCAGAAGTCTCCTTCACCGAGTGCGCGTCTCTTGCTTCAACTTCAGCATTAGAATCAGCTGTAGTTAAAGCGAGGGTCGTGGTTACGCTAGAAGCCTTTCGAATATCCAGACTTTCAGGCTTCCGGCCAAACCACGCGAGGGTAGAGATGGCAGTTTGCCTTTCTTCCAAGCTTGGATCTGCCGCACTTTTAGGCCTGAAATGCAAGAAACCATCTTCATCTTCACGATACGAAGCAGCGAGTTCATCTGCTGCGACTATGCTCATCTCAAAGTGACCACGTCTTGTGCTTGGCACATCAGGATCATTTGCTTGGAGATCCATTTCTGCTGTTTTTTCCTCTTGTGGTGCGACCAACATAGCATTCGCAATTGCATTTAACAAGCGTTCGAGCGAAAGACTGCGTTCTCTCGTAGGCAAAGGACGTGATAGCTGCTGGTACACACTCAGATGCGTTTCTAGATTCTCGGGACATACGCGTGGCAGAAAGCATTGGGTGAAGCCACGCGTTTCCTGCACAAGATCGTCCACTCGATAATAGTTCAGCGATTCTTGCATCATCTCTTCTCTCGGTAACAGCGGTCTTCCGTCGTGGCCCGTAAGATCTCCAAGGTCCACTGCGATGCCCAAAATTTCCTTCGCTTTGCCAGCCTGCACACGTGTTGGATTCTCGGGATCTTCCTCGGCCATCGACTGTGGTGAACCACTCACAACGATCTTCTTAATTCTCGTCGTCGCGGCAGACGCCCGTCTATTGTGTCGTGCGTCCGTTGATGTTGCATCAGTTTGCTCTATCTGGACCTGAACTTTCTGAAATTTAACCGCTTTCCAGTCATCATCTGAGCTGCTGCCAGGCCAGAAGGAGTTCTTCGGTTGCTTCAACTTTGTTAGCGCCTCATAGCTTCCCAGATCGTAAGGAACAAAAGAACGATACTCAGTGTTGTCGCCATCCAGCCTGAAATCCACGTCTGCTTCTTAGAAGAAGGTCACGCGAGGCCAACCAAGAATTATACACCCCGACGTCTCTCATCATCTACTTCGAGTCTCGTCCTAAGTAATGCTGAAAAATTTAAGTCGACGCACTGTTTTTCATGTTCATCATCTCCTCTAGTTGCGACCACAAAATTTCGAATTCGTTGATGCGCTTCGACATTTAAAGACCCGCCTTAATCTTCTAGAAAGTGCGCAACTGTCTGTCGGTTACCCGATGCCGCGTCGAAACATAAAGGAAGTTCCTTTGAGGTGACAAACCGTGCTCTTCCAGGTGATGCCAGAATCGCGCCACCCCATCCATACGGTGTCGCTGGAACCAAAAACGACACCCATGCCGTCGGATCGCTCCATGGATTCGCGATTCGTAAGCCTGTTATCAAATGGCCAATGATCGCCACCAAATACTGGAAGTAATTCAACGTGCATCCTCGGAAATTCTTAAATGTCACAGCAAACGCGTCTCCACGGTAGCGTCCGTACAAGTACTGGCTCTTCCTTCGACGTTCTCTTGTACTGGCAGGTCGACCAGTCGTTCCTAGCATCAACTGCGTTAGATTGCTAGCAGCTCGTCTACCTTGGGATAACGACCGCGGTTCCGGAGACGCATTTTCCAGAACATTTCCACCACAGGTGTCATCGTCACACGCCCACTCCCACAGAAAGTCGTCCACAGTGGCGGACGGCAGGTTGCGGTTCAACGTCAACCATTTCAACGTGCGTACCTTCCAATGGATAGGCACTGGCGGCTTGTCACCTCGACCAGCGGCGAACAATGGCACTGGCACCAGTCGAAAGACCAACAAAACTGAGATCAGCCATTTCCCTGAGAACGCTGGCAAGAGTCGACGGCAGGGACATCCCCGGGTGAGGACAACATGCAACCTCGGCATGATTTTCTCATGTCTGCATCGTGATTCGATTGTCACATGATTGAAAAAAACCATTTACATTCTTCTCCAGCGTACCGGTCGAATCATCGTAGAAATTGCGCCAATCAAGTTTCTAGACATAAGGGCGTGGGCGTATACAAACAGGGGAATATGAAAAAATTATGATCAGAGGTGGGAGACATCAATGCGATGTCAGTCTTAGTGCATCTCTCTCGGTCACTCTTTCGCTTACAGCCTCTGCATCTTTTCGCGTGCAGATTATCATAGTCCCTAGAGCTCGAAATGTGTACGACTTTCAGCCTCACTGCACGTTTAGTACTGACTGAGTATAACACTCTCTACTTGCAGCTGCACTCCCTTTAAGGTATTTGTATTTCAGCTTCACGAAAACTCACTGTCGCTGCTTGTTAGCGGAATGTACAACCTTGCAGCCAACCTCGCGTCAAAAGGATCCAAACTCTGTATCTGTTCAAGTACACTTTCTTTGGGCAACTCGTTCACAGAGAAATATTGCTGATTTTTCGAGAGATACAGATTTTGAAAGTTGTCACCAGACCCGTCTATTGTTCGCGCTATGTCGTATTCGCGCTCTTGACAAAAGCAAGGCTTGCTTTAATAATGTTTGTGCAGATAGTTTTCTCAACTTCATTTCTTGCCGCATAATAAGCCATGACCATACCAGACGGTAGACCATGTTTTCCCGCCAACATGTGATACTCGGTCCAGTTTCTTTCCGTAAGTCCACGCGCGTCTTCTGGGTTTAAGGATATGAAGCAAAAAACCGCCCATGCCCGCTTGGATCCACGTGCCCTTCTGAGTCTTCTGTTTCCATGAATTTCGCATGCACATGTGCGAATTCCGTGTTGTTCATGAAGCAGGGCTGCGATGGTCGTCGTCCTCCGCTCGTCCTCCCGTCTTCAACCTGCTATATTACCATCTGAATTACTTAGTACATCGGATCACGTCGACGTACCAAATTCCAGTAAGTAGATATTGCATTTGCCCGTGTAGTAATCATGGATGGCTAGGGATTGGCAAAACTAAGGAATGATCCAAGGGTAGGAATACCCTGAGATGAAATGCCGGATATGTCGTAGCAACCGAGATCGTGGTCTCGCCGATGACACAGTAGTTCTTCACCACTTCAGTGCAGAGAGCGACAAAGCCTTCGTGCAGATTTTGGGGAGATTCTTGCGTCATCTGGCAGTGCGGTAAGCATGTGCCACAGAGTTGCCTCTCCCCTTCTCGAGCCACAGGCCACGGCTGGTCACCAGTATGGAACGTTTTCGTATTGGAAGTGCTTTCTATTTCATGCGCACTCAAGCAACTTTGAGTTTCTTGCTTGTTAGTGACAAGAAGAAAGAGATAATTCGCCTTGACGTCGTTGGCGTGATGAAGAGGATTGCTTCGTCGTGCACGAAAATAATAGCGCCGTTATACTTTGCTTTTGTGGTGATCCTTTTTTACTTTTGTTGATGCCGACCACGAGCTTCCGCTCCAGTGATTTTCACCAGACACTTTTTTCTTTCCCGAATCGCCGTGTTTTGTACTAGCCCACGAAAACTTTCTCCGCTGCGATTGTGATTGCCTTCTGAAAAAAAGTCACTTCACAGAGTGCTTGGAGCTCTCTGCTTTTATGATTTCTTGTGGGTCCACGTACCGTAGGCAGAAAATGATCTTCGAAAGTGGTCACTCGCCGTCAAGGTTGGCGGACCCACCGCCGTCTTCGTCGCAGCTTTAGTACTTCCGAATGCCTCGGATGAGACTCTTTCCAGCACTTTTACGGTTGAAGAGCCAGTAGAGCTTTCTGCATGTTCACGTGGCAGGTGCGCTGTGCTCGACGACGATGATGCACTGGTTGTTGCGGAAACCTGCTTCAATGAAGACGGTTTGCGGCTGCTGGCCTGAGGCTGACTGATTGTAGACTTGTAGGGGCCGTCAAGCTTTTCTCCGTAAAAAACGCCCTCTTTTATCTCAGTATTCCACGCTAACTTGGGAGTTCCAAGCAAGCCCTTGACTGCCTTGCCGCTCTCGTACATGCGAAAGAACTTCGTGGTCTGCTTCACGCAACTTTGACTGCCCAACACGCTTCCAACATTGGAAGGGTCCCGGCGAGGGGGAGGCTTCGACATGGTCTACTTAGCTTTCTTATCAGAGTACCTGTACGCGGACAAAAACACTTCAAATTGGAATTCGCTTCTCTCATCCTGGGTCGATGATTTCATGTTCATCCAAGCTTTAGGGATTTCTCGTCTCAGTGGTCAAGCACAGACTCAGAATTAAATAGCTTTGACTCTCTTTTCTGTGTGCAGTAATTGCTAAGGATGCCATAGAAGCCGGCAACACTTTCATGTGACACGGGGAATGAATCCATCCAAGAGGATGATCATGCTCAGTGATCTCATTACACCACAATTGAAAATAGCAAGTCGGATGTACTTGCTGTAGCGAAAATCCGAAGCTAAATCTGCCGATTGCCCGGTAAATACACACGACATATCCCATCAAGACCTCGCTGTTGTGTTTTTGAGGTCAGTATGTCCGGCTTTCTGTTTCCAGCGTCCCCGTTGTCGTTTAGGTGCAGGTTCATCTGCTGCCACTGAGTATGGCTCCTCACTGCTTTTCTTCATTGCAGGAGCGGATGACTGTTCTGGAGGTGCTTGCGCTACAGCTTGTAGTAGCTCTGCGACAATTTCTTTCTCAATCACAGGCGCAGTCTTTTCTCGATTTGCGCGTTCCAATGTGATCAGCTTTGCATCTGGCCATTCGCGGACTTCTTCGCAGAAGCCACTGCCCTTTTGCGATACCGTCGCGAGCACCACACAGCCGCTTTCCAACAATCGCTTTGTATCCGCTACAAACTTTTTCGAGAATAGTTCCATTTTCCCGATCTCGTCCAGAAAAAAGACCTTTTTCCCAGACAGAGTGATAATATTTCCACTTTCTGCAATTGGGGCGTCGAAAAAGCTAGCGAAATGCTGCGAAGTGAAGTCTTCGAATTCGGTTAGATGCACGCGGTATTTTCCCACAGCAGGCCGTCTTTCTCCAGCAGGAACAGGCTCCATGTCAGCTAAAGTACATCTTCCGCTTGCGGCGGCGCCGCCAGTGGATGAAGTCGAGGATCCATCAGCAGATCCTCCTCCTCCTCCTCCGATATTCGAACCTTCGAAAGCCACCATGTCGAAGGCACATCTCTTATTGTCCGCATCTCGCCGTTCCGCAGAGTAGAAGCCGAAAACACGTGGCCCTCCCTTGTGGTTCTGCACGTGCTGCGCAACGTTTTTCAACAATGTCGTTTTACCAACCCCCGGCGGGCCGGTTAGCAAGACAATCATCGTTTGATCAATATTATGTTCGTGCACGACCCTATCGACGCACACGCGTCACGCTCGCAGCGCACCTACCGCCTATCACTAAGGACGTCGAGAAGAACTTAATACTGTTCTAGAGAGAGAGTCGAGAGTTCAGAATCATCAAAAAAAATAGGTGTGCACATGCGATTGCGATTAGTTACGACAACAACTTTGCTCAGGGTCAACATGCAGATGAAAGTAGTGGCTTGAAATCTCTGCGATGATCAGATAAATGTTCAGTGTCTGATTATGATTATATCGTTATCGCGAACGCGATAATGACAAGCACACGGTATTCATGTAGTTCTTCATCAAACAGCCCCAGAATATTTTTTCGCTTCTTCTTCATAATCAACACGGATATGTGATCATCATGTATATCCACTGTGCTACTTTTTGATGTCGGTGGTTGACGGGAAAATCATAATTTCGATCCTGAAAACACCAAAATGCGCTTCATGTTCGATGGCGGTGCATTCGTCAGACGGTGTTGCGTGCCTGCAGAGGCTTTCAGTCATCTGCGACAGAATGAGAAAAGTTTCTGGAATGTCACTCATCTAAGGTTATGTTCATTGTATTTGACAAAAGAGATCTCCATGTGTCTGTGACATAACCCTACAGTTGCAAGGAGATTTTCGGTGTTGCTCGTCGTGTACAACCTTCAAACCTTGCCATTCGCTCACTAGCACCCGCAATCTTCAATGGACATTGAACAGAGTGAATGTGAGAATGAAAAACTACAACAAAACAACACGACCGCATAACTATATCATCACGGCGAGGACGACTAATTTAGTCGTGTCGACAAAAAATACAATTTATGAAACAAAATCGTTTACCTTTACTCATCGATCAGCGTTATCTACTTATTCAGTTGACGTTTTCCAGAAGGATCATCAGTCGATCTGGAAAGCGAACGATATCCGAACCAAAAACGGTTCGGTTACAACGAGCTCTAGTAGTTGTGATTTAAATAATCCTGTAGAAATGGGATGTAGAAGATGTACAACAAATCAAAATCTTCTCCAAATATTGATGTTGTTCGTAGGAGATACTAGAAGATCTCAGCGCTATCATCTATTCCGTCACGTCACAGCAAATCAATATCCTCACCAACTCGCCTTTTTCTTCCAGCTGTTTGACATCTTTACTCATTAGTGACCATGAAATTCGTTGCGTTAAGGTATGTCGAATTGTCCGCGATGGATTTGGCGTGTTCCTTGTACTGGATGAGCGTATGGTCACTCAGCTCCAAGACCTCGCGGAGCGCTTGAAAATGAAAGGAGTTCTTTGATGTAAATGCTGACATGAACACGCGAGGTCAAAGTCAAGGATTAGAGCTTAGTCACTGCTTTTGCAAGGAATGTAGAGACCCGACATAATCTCCAATCGCAAGCTTCTGCGAGGCATGCAGGTTCCATAATGACAGCACGTCGCAGCTCCCACGTGTGATTGTTTAGAGCTTGACCGGACTTATTTCTATCTCTTCGTGGAGATCATACCCATTCAGGTGCATTTAATATAAGTACTACAATTTGAGGAGTTGGAGTTGGAGTTGGAGTACTGAGTACTAATTTGGTCTTCTGGATGCGGATATTCTTGGATGTTAGTTCTAAGTACCTCGAACTCCAAGTAGAGGGAATTATAAGCACTAGGCGTAAGTCAAAACGACTCCGACTGTGTCTGGCAAATTCCAGCTTTCGCCTACTAGAGCGAGAATCATCCGCACCCACATCCTCTCTGCCACGTACGACGGTCGCACTTCTCGCGTCGCTTGATCGATCTGAAATGAATTTGAGCAAAGCCAAGCCTTAACAAGTTAAGACTATAACGTGTTACTAGTCGTGCCTGCGAGAGATCATAGTGCGTGCCCGAGTGTTAGTACGTTGACTGCTTCTCGACGCCATTGGACATGATTACGCTCTTTGATGTTTAACAAGAATAACAAACAGAAACACAAGAAGCAGAAAATAATTCTGGGGACCAGCATGAACGTATTCATTACGCGACAAAACTATTGCAGAAGTGATGGCCAAGTTAGTACCCTGCTCCAGTTCTTTTGGATGCGGATGATCCAGCAGCCTCCTTCAGGCATTTGCTCCCAGAGTGGCATGTAGCCTTTCCGGAACAGGTTGATGTTGTACTCTTTTCCAAGTTCGTTGGGGCCCTTGACGAACGCGAACTGTCGCGAAAATTCCTCGATCGTACCGAAAGTTCCGAGTTCCTTGATCGATGACAAGTACCGCTTGCTATCGAGGATCCGACTGCCCACAGAGGAAGCCGGTGAGGCGTCGGGCTGTGCTGCTGCGTTCTTGTCCTGACCAGTGGGGAGGTGAAAGGACGACACAGCGAGTGGGGTGCTGGTGGTGGAGGAGGAGGCAGCAGACGGTCATCAGTTAGAGTATAAGCAGCGTTGTATCTTTACTTAGATCCCTCCTAACTACAGTGGTACTCCAATAGTTTTTTTGTCTAAGCTGCTCGGACTTGCAGTTGCAGCTTGGCGTTCCTCCAGGTAGTATGTGTAGTGGCATTCGTGGTCAACAAGTGAGTCGTCAAAAAAATCAATTGTCAAAAATAGGGCTCTGTCGTCTTAACGTTAACTTGTTCAGCTTTGAGGATGTTGTTCGCGACTGGCATTGCACTTTTCGAAACGTGCATGACTACCACTGGTGCTCCATCGGCTGCGACTGAATCTGCTTCAACTATCTTTTCCGCCGCTGACTCACGGATGGCCGCTGGATTAACGGCATCTGAATCGTCATTGCTGGAATTATTGTCGATGCCTCTCGGAGTCGTTCCTGTTTTGGCGGCCGTGTGTTTCTGTTTGTTTTTGTGCTTGCGGTCGTAGGAGAAGGTCCAGAAGGTCTCCAGTCGGTGTTCATCCGGACGATAGTCGGATGGCACCCGAAGATTAGAGCTTCCCTTAATTCATCATCATAATAATAATAGTCTACCCATTCGGGGAGTAAGTTCAGCATGAAAGGGAGAGGAGGTGCTTGACATAGGAAGTTGTATCTTTGACGTGCTTTCCGCTGAGGAAACGACAGGCACAGGCTCCAAGATTCTTCTCAAAGAAAAGAAGATGAATCAATGAATTATTAGAAGGCGAAGTCTTAAGAATATTCGCGTGCAGGTCCTCCATCACGTTCTTGGAAGTTGTCGCCGTCGTGGAAATCTCACCTTCCACCCTGCTCGTATTCGTATAGAAATCACGCTTTGTTGACGGCGACTCCGTCGCCTCGTCCATGTCAACGTCTTGGTGCCCTGGACTACCTTCTTGCTCGCCCACACACAAGGCTACCATGCTTATGTCTAAAATTACCGCACGACAAGCGATGTCGCTGTTGTTTTTCTTTATGTTATTTGATTGTAATTGTAGATAGTTAATGATGATGATATACCCAGCACGGGACACTGTTTGGTTAACGTTATCGGCGTCAAAAAAGACGCCTCTTTTTCATTCTAGTACTAGGTAGGGCCTATTTGGCGTATGAGCATCTATTCTTTTTGGAAACTTCTTGTTCTTCTAAAGCTGTAAGCGTTATGCAGTGCACGTGTAACTTTCTTCAAGCTGATCTGCATCTGGATATTCAACCGGAAACCTATAAATTTTTGAGGTTAGTACTCCCACTCTCCGATTTCGTTTTCGTTGCTTAGAGTTAGACTTAGAAGAAGCAAAGCGCATAATTTGGTTGAGATATTGAAATTAGACTCTTGTGCGGGTTTTCAGAATTTCTATACATCTTCTCTCTCAAGTCAGTTATCCCCCCTCAAGTAGCGCATGCAGCTTGACATATAATTCATTACACCCACATTAATCTCCTACGTATAAGTGCACAGAAATAGTACAGCTTTTGCGATACATCTCTCTTTCATGTCAAAAAGAATGGTCCCTGGCGAGTAGATGAACCCTGAAAGGCCCATCTTGAACAGTTTCTTCCTCACTTGAATGCCGCCGTCGCTTGTCGCATAGTAGCACACAGTTGACAGAAAAGGACGTGAGCAGCTACAACGGGCTGATGTTGGACAATCCATAGATACTTATGCAATTCGCAGAACAGTGAAATCAATTTGATAAAGCGAAGAAAAACAAAATCTGTCATAATTCAGCCGTTGCTCGTGTTGTATGTAGATGGTACGCGGCGAGGGAGTGCGTCTTCGTGCTACGAATTTTGTGCGATCAGTCTAGGAAAAGAAATATTATTTTCAGAACCCGAACTTGTTACTGCTTACTCCTGCAGCAGAGCCTATATTCGTTATCTAATGTTTGCTGTGTTTCTCGAAGCTTGGTATAAAATGGTGTTACTAACACCGACACTTAGTCTCTGCAGCAGCATGATTGATGATATGTATAACAGATACGCGACACTCTTATTTTTGGATAGTGTTGTAGTTGTACGTACTTCTATTCTCGAACCTCTTGAAGCTGTTTCGCCAAAAAGATGCATTAGCAGAATCAAACAAGACAAAGAAAGCAGATCTATAAAGAACCGAAACCGTACGCGTACGGTGTTTTTTATTGTTCATATTTATTTTCACACTCTCGTTCTATTTTTTTTGATATTGCAATTGCTTCAGATGGGCATTGGCTACTACAACTGTACATCAGATAAGGTTAAGTACATCTAAAAAAATTGCAATGAAAGCGTGCCTTGCAAATAAGATCCGTATCAAGCGATCCTCTTCGTGTCGTGCTCTCTCGCTGTGCTTGGTGTTTTTCTCGCTATTTACTGTTCACGCATCATGTAGAAGCAAAACTCTAACTTCTAGGTATCTTCAAGACCATTCATTCTCTTTATTTCCTCGATTCCTTACCAGCAACTACATTGTAGAGTCAAAATCGAAAAGATTTACCAGTTGTGGAAGTACGAAATTACAACCGCGTGCTCGTCATTAGATTTTGTCTCACTTGCTATGTGTATGTGCATGACTTCTAGGACGTGAAAATAGGGTAGAATAGAGGCTTCGGGGGTTCGCTCGCGGTGCTTGGATTAAAGACTGGCCGCTTTCTTTCGGGTGAAGAGATTCTCCTAAACGGCAGCAGCAATGGGCTCGGTTCGACGAGTGTGTCTGCGGTCTTCGAAGATGGGAAAAGAAAGTCGGTCATTCTCATGCGCGCTGTTCCTGATGGCACATCCCCCACCAAGCACGAGGATGGCAATTCCGAGGAACCACTCAGGCAAAAAGACGCAGATTGAAACGCGTTGGACTCATGATCGAGTGCTGCAGAAGAAGGGGCCGTCGAATTGTAGCTCTTTTTCGTTGTTGAGATCAGGTTCTTTCGGAGACCTCCCCCTGCTCCTCCTGCACAGGATGAAGCAGGTATTGCTGATGGTGCTGATGAAGAACTAGTACAAAAAGGTGTCGAGAGCAGCAGTGGTCTTGCTGTAGTCGGCGACGCTTGCGTATGATTGCTTCTTGCGGTAGTAGGCGCAGAGGGTGAAGGCCTCCCTGCAGAAATTACAAAATCATTTCCCTTGCCCACTGTCCAAGTGCTTCGTCCCCGTGTGGGCGCGCCGACTGTTTCTGCAAAGCTGCGGCCTAGACTTCGACCGTCGCCGTGACCCCCCGCGTCCGATGGGAAGCTCCACGAAGGCCATAAGGCAGAAGAGTCAAATTGCACCTGATCTGCATGATGCAAAATGCCGTCACTGCTATCGTGTTGTAGGCAGTCGCTAAATATCGTCTTTTGTGATTGCAGGTGTGGTTGTAGTAGTAGTTCTTGTGCTCTTTTATTACTTTGGTTTAGAAGTTCCGCGTAGCATCTGCAGCTATCTAGTCCTGTGCCTCTACCATTTTTTTGACTAGTACTGCTTGTGTCAACATCTTGAAAAACAAAAAAAGAAGCATCTTCGTTGTCCGCGGCCGCCTTCCAGAAACCACCAACAGTAGACGACGTACCGTCTTCTTCACGACCACTAGAAGCAGCACAAGAACGATCAACTTCTCGAGAAGTATTTTCAGTCTCGTCATCAATATCGAAAAAGAGGTCTTCCAGATCGGAGTGGTCCACAAGTTCTAGGTCACTGTCGTCACTTAGCGCAGCGTGATGCCAGGACGCACTACCTATTGAGGGTTCGGAGGCCGTGAAGGTGAGCGATAAACTTGCAAGGACTGGACGAGGCGGTGGACAAGGAGTCATAGACTGATCCACTTCCTGCGCTTGCTTATGTTGTTGCTGTTGGTGACAACTTGGCAAAATCATAGCACTAATCCTCGCTCTAGTAGTGCCACTTTGATTGACGCTATCGTGCTCAAATGTCGTTGTTGTACGGCGTGTGCTACCACGACTACAACTAGCACAACTAGAAGTTGTTTTACTAGCACTGCTACTGCTATGAGACGACTTTTCCAAAACTCGTGGGTGGATGTCGACTTCAGTGCGATCCAATATCAGGCTGCTTCTTGATTGTAGGAACATAGTGTGAAGCGCAACTCGAAACTCTGCCTCCCATGGGTGCTCGTCACTTTCACGGCGTAAGATCCGGATCTGTGACAGAGATAGACATGATCATAGAGACAGGCTGGGATTGGGAACGTCTTCTGGCAATAAAATGCACATCAGGACGACCACGAAGAGGAGGACATTTGGTCCTCCAAAGATCATTGTTGTAAGTACCAGGACATCGCCAGTCAGCAGGTGGGGTTTGGTGAGTTCTAAAAGCCAAGTTCCGCTTTCTTTTTTCGATACTGGATAAAGCCTCGTGGGACGGTTGGCAAGCAAGGATTTGCGCAGAACGGACGTTCCCGTCGACGTACTAGCGCCGAGTGGCAACGATTTCTTGTAGGCAGCTGCGTCTTCTTCTAGCCCTTCCTGTTCAATGGTGCCAGAAGGTAACTGCTTGTTGCTCGACTTAGTCGATACCTCGATGCTATCGTCATCCCAATCCCTGCGGCTCCAGATCTCAAGACAGTAGCTCACTGGTGAAGCGATGTCGCTGGATGAGAGAGACTCAAAATTGAGACCGAGTGAGCACAAATAGACAGCGGATCTTAGGTCCTCTGCGATTGCTTCATCAGAAGATAAAGAAGATGATTCCATGCCCACGTTGTTACTATGACTTGCACACGTCTGGCGCCCCAAGTGGTTAGCCTTGTCGGGACAGAACGTGTTGAGGAGACGAGGTACCTGGGTGCGTTCTTGCTTCGTTGGGCTTGTGAATTCGACGCTCCCTTGCTTTTCTTCACGTCTAATCCTCTCTAGTAACAGGTGAAAGTAGTGCAAGTAGCGCTGCTGCGACGGCAAAACATAGTCCATCCGAAAATAGGGCTCCAACCGTTGAGTGCACATTTTCGCCAAGAGATCGAACGGCTTGCGGTCTGTTCGAATGGAGACGACGATGAGATACTTACATGAAGATAGATAGTTTTCCTAAAAACGGCGAAGAGAAGTCTTGTTTCTTTAGCAAATAAAGGACGCGCATTTATGTATTTCTGGTTATTTGTTTTTTACAGCTAATAAAATTCAGGTTGTGCGTACTGGAGAAATAGCCGATGAACATCGCCAGAAAGGCCGCCGTTCTTGCGTATCCTCGATAGCAGTGTACAATCGCAAAATGTTGCTGATCTCGCTTGAGATACTGGACTAGCTCCTTGCATAGGTGCAACGCCAGCAGTAGTGGTGGAGAGGGAAATCCCCGGAAAGAGACATCCCATACTTGGCCGTCGAATGCCTCTTTGTCATAAACACGCTCGGACAGATTCAACAAAACATACTTGTCGCCGTACCTGCGATATGCATAAGCGTAGCTGCAGTGCTACGGAATGAGCAAATATTTTCACACGAAGTCAATCATTGTCGAATCAAGGTCACGATTAAGATCGGAGACAATGAAAGTGCGGGAGTAGATCGATAGCAGAGTAATTTCTAAGGTTTGCCAGCTCGCATGGCATGGAGTACACGGATCGCATGGAGTTGCATGGAGCTAAAGGGGGCGCTTCTTGCGTCCCTTATGGATCTGCGCTCCATGCACTCCATGCTACTCCATGCGCCAGGCCACGCGTGTTATAAACTGCTCTGCTATAATAATCTGTACTTCGCGTTCAACATGTTTGCGACTCGCTCTGTTCTCGCACTGCTTCCCGCAGGGTACTCCATGAAAGCAAGACGCCTCGTGACGATGTGTACTTGGGGAATTTCCGTGCTACACGATTGTAGACCTCCACCGTTGGCGTAAACATTAGTGGTAGAAGCCGCGTTCTTTCATCATCGTTATCCCGACTGAAGTGATTTCGTTCGGATTCCTCATACCGATTCCCTACATCACAGTCTCGTCAAGTCAGGATAAATGCGATTCTGCGATGATGAAACAACACCAGCCGTAAAGCGTCCACCTGCATCTTCCTCCACGTTGCACACACGAGAATTATGTTCAGTAGAACCTCCCACGAAACACTTCCGGACAAAGCGGGCGAAAATACCTTCTGCGGACCACATGGTTGATACTGAGTTTTTCACCACTTAAAATTCTTTCGAGCGACTCAGAGTCAATGTGCACCCATGCAGCTGCGGCATATATGTTCCAAGGGTGGAGGCTCCCCCCGTGTGGATGGCGCGGCGGTCGCGTCCGCGCGCCCTTTTTTCCGCGGTGGTGACAAGCAAGGACCTCCAAGGGCGAAAGCCTCAAAAGGCGGAGCCGGAGGCCCCTGGCGGCTCTCCACGCGTACCCCAGAGGCGTCCCGACTCTTGGGCCCTATCAGGGGGACAGCCTCACCCGGGGGGAGAAGGCCGCCGAAGGCGGCCACGGTCGCGAGGCCTGGCACCTTTGGCCCTCATCCCCCCAATTTGTGGCAGCGTCCGCCACCACCAAACACCCGGAGGGTTGAGGACCAAAGGCGAGGAGGAGTGGGGGCAAGGCGTGCCCGTCTGGGTTCTGTCGGATACATGCAGCACGGCGAAAGGGGCCAAGCCTTGCCACCTGCTGCCCCCGGAGGCCTTCCACCTCCCAAGAAACTCCCCCAGTGAGGAACCGGCACCCTGGAGGTCTGTAGGGTACAGGCAACAAGCCGCAACAAGCCAAAGGGGGCCAAGCCTTGCCACCTTTGCCCCCTTCGGAAGCCGTGCACCCCCGGCCTTTGGTGCTTCCACGGCCTCCCGGATGGGGGCTCTGTAGGGTCCAGGCAAGAAGCGCCAAGGGGTCGGCGGTGGGCGTTTGGAGGCCTTCCCGCCCGGCAGTCCTCCGGGAAAAAGGATCCGGTGCGGGAGGCCCCCCCCTCAGAAATTTAGACCCGGGGGGGCCTTGGCCCCTGGAATATATATTATCATAATATATTGTTTTTGTTAGTCATAGTCTGTTATTTTTGGGTACTTACTAACTGAGTAATTAGTAGCTGTTTGTAGATCTTGTTCGTGTTCCTGTAGTTCCTAATTACTTATAATGATGATGATGTCACTTCTAATATGGAAGACCACGGAAAGAATACTGGTGAGCAGCAGCAACATTTTCAGACTTTTGTTCCTGCTAGCTACTTCATCTGACAGATTCCTCATGCAGCTTACGCTTTCAAAAAACTCTGTATGCTTATGTATTGTATGAATCTAGAAAAACAATATCTCTCTTCTGCTCCTTCTTCGTGTTCTTTACAAGGGTATGTCAGTTGGTTCTCTCATTCTATAAACTCAGAAGAACAACAAGATAGTGCTCTTAACGACGTGGAGGCTCACTTGAACCTCAACGACTTCGTTTTGTCAGAGAATGATGCCGTCGCTGAATCCACAATGATCTTCGGAATCAAGAATATTGATGATTGGCTGGGTTAGGTTTCGGTAACAGTACAAACGGACAAAGCTACGCAGCGACTGTACTATACGAGGCAATAGTAAGACTATCAATGAAACTATGGACTGGTCGTACAACTCAGGCTAGATCAACAAGTAAACTGTGTCATTCCGTGGATTAACAACAGTAACTTTATCAATCGCCCTTGCTATACAATGAATAAGCCAGCTTCTTCGACCATCCCTACTACCAAGTTTATAGGATAGGGAGCGTTCGCGTTGACCGAGCAAGACCTAAGAATTGGAGCTAGTTTCCTCAATTGGCCCCTGAGGTTACCCAGCGGCACACTGTGCTCGCCAGAACTGTTTCGAGCTTCTCAGTAAGATCACCTGCACTAACTATGTTCCGAGCTAGCGCTGAACAGCACTAGTCTTTTTTTCAATCTAGCAGGTGTCCCTGTAAGACTCAGGAACGCAGCGCCCGTCTCTTAACAGCGATAAAGGAATCAAGTGGCTTCACAAAAGTTTCACCAAGTACCCCTTTAGACTGTGCAGACAGCTAAGCACTGGGATCCGCCCCCAGTGATCCGAATAAGTGAGCAAGAGTCTCTGATGAGCGCTCCCCGACGACAAGGCACCTTCTGGCCTAATTTTTCTCTCTCTGCTTTGTTCCGTTCGCTACGTCTGTTGTTGTTCCTGCTGCTCTTGTTGCGCCATTTCTCTACGGTGATCCGCTAATGCGTTGGCAATATGTCGTCGTATTTGTCGTTGCGTCATCTTCTCTTCCATGCTGAATGGTTGCGCCGGTGTCTCTCTCATCTTGCTTTCTGGGTCAAGCACTAGACTTTTTTGCTCTTCCACCCATGGCTGAATGGCCGTGATATTATTGCTAATAACTACATATGGCGGAACCAGAAGACTAATATACATACGAAGGCATCACCATCTTCCACCCTGTTGACGTGCGCTAGAAGTAGAATGGTGAGTCGTTAACGGTTATACTTATTGGTTGCTGACACCGCACTCAGTCGGTTGATATGAAGCTGGGACGTCGAGCGCCGCTCCTTCACACAATTAGGCTTCCTCATCCTCAATCTCATTTACGTTAGGAAAGGTCATAAACATCATAGTATGATCTCGTATAAGCTAAAACGAAAACCGAAGCTCGTTGCTCTGACCCCTTGCAGCACAGCATAGCTCCACTTTTTTCGAAAAAGCTTGGCCCAAACATGGGCCTAGATGGAAGCAATCCGGCTGCTTGGCTAATGCTAAAGAGAAAAGACTACACAAAAGAAGAAGACAAAAAAACACGACGATGAGCGCGACGTTACGCGGCGCAACCATGTCGAGCGCGTCCCTGTGCTTCATATTGAGGCCCTTCACTGCTTCCCAAATTTATGAGAGCAAAGACATCTAGAAGAGCCCACCGCGCGACACGCCGAACTCCGCAGGGAACGCAGGTGACCGTGGCCCGGCATTGTCGCCCGAAAGAACACACACCGCGGCGACCGAGCGCGCTCACAACTCACAAGTGACTTGCTGGCCGCTCACTTCAGTGGCCTCAGCGCCGCGCAGTCAGGGGCCTGGCCTCTGGGCTCACCTCTGCGAAAGTCATGCCCAGCAAGCACGCGGCCGCAAGCCCTGCCCCTCTCTCCCCTCCCCTTCGTCTTTTTGTCCCCGGGGCTGGCCGTTCGCCCCGTCCTACCTTCCACGCCCCCACGCACCCCCTTGGGCTTGGCACCCTTTGCTTTCCTCGCCGAAGCCGGCAGCATACGATACAGCCACACGCTTGCCCATACCCATGGCGCTCGAGGCAGTGGCTGGCAGTCTGCTAGTGCTAACCACGAAGCAAGCAAGAAAAGCGCTCGCTGTTGGTCTTGTTCTAACTCTCGTGTTCTATCGTCGGTCTCTGTTGCATTGATTTACGTCAATAACACCGAAGAAGGGGGCGCCCGTGCTGTCTCATCACCCTTGAGTTGCCCGCTACATAACGTAACCCACACGCCATGGGTGCACGCCAATGAGCTAATAGAAACACACCGAGGCAAGCGCCCCCGCGGTGAGGACTGACTCTGCCCCTCATGGTTTGAAGTTGGGGGCAGAAGCCGCCCGACTACTTTCAATTAGTGGTGCCGCGGCTAACTTATGCACGGGCGCGCGACTTAGATGGCGGCGCCTTTAAGAAAGTGGGCGCCAGGTGGCTTGCGTGCCAAGCTCAGCGCAATGTCCCGATGCCATACGACGCGAAGCGCACCGCGCGAGGGAGCGCCCGGTGGGCGTGGGGGAAACTATCGAACACCGAAGGACATTAATTATATTAAGACGCAACGAACACGCAGGCGCGCGCCTCATGTCTAGGCGATGAATGTAACAAGCCAGCTTCGTCTTCGCCTCCTCTGTTCCAGAGTCACCTGGTAAGTTCCGGCGGTGTTTTCGTCACAGGCGTCCAGGCCTCTGCAGCACTCACCTCCCCCGTCAAGTCTCTCCCTCTCGGTGGGTTTGCGTCGTTTGTCTTTGCTTTTCTGCTCTGTCTGTGGCGTGTGTGTGCCTTGTGGCTCTGGTCTATTACGCTCCCGCGCCGTAGCCTTGGCCAAATCCTTCGAGGTGTGTACATGAGACAAGGGGGGCGCACTTAATGAGCCCAAGGGGCTCGCTCTCGCCTTGCTCTTGTCTGAGGCGGTCCGAGTTTGCAAGCACCTCCCCCGCCCTCCGCTTGCCTTGCTTGGATTCCGAGAGGCTGGGTCGCTCGCGCTGGGCTCCGCTTCCCTGCTGGGTTTTGACGGCGCTTTCGTCGCGCCCGTGCGCCCTCGCTCAGCCTCGCTCCCCTTCGTCTGTGTTTTCTTTTGTGTCGTTTGCCTCCCTGGTCTGTCCGTTACATGTGTAAGTCTTTTGGCTCTGGTCTATGACCCTTCCGCGCCATAGCCTTGAGCAGGTTCTTCGACTTATACGAGACAAGGCGGGCGCATGTAATACACCTAACAGGAGCGCATGACAGCCCTGCGCTAGCCTGAAAACGTAGAAGAACACCAAGTAACACAAGAAGAGCGGTCGACACTAATTATTTGCGTAAATAAACATGGCCAACAACATTCTTTAGTTCGAGTTTCCAGTAGGTGATGACGCATGGCGACATATCATCGAAGGTAGCTTCAGGTTCAGCTCGGCCTCAAGAATGCTCGCTGTAGTATTAAAATCAAAATTAATAGCTTGAGTCATCTACAGAAAAGTTCTGCTGATGTGTGTGTTCTGTTTGCGCACGACGACAGAAAGCAGAACATAGACTAAGAGCAAGCTTCTGCACGATTGAAGCTACACCTCGGTGTTAAATTGCAGGTCCGAAGGGTGGATAGGCGGGTGGCGAAAATTGTTATATATGTTTTAGGGATGTGAAAGGGATTTAAAAGTGATAATATGCTTTGAACACATGAGTATGCATGTGCTGAAGACAAGCTCACATCATTGATAGCGTGACGACTTGGAATGTCGATAACAAAAGTAAAAGAAGAGCATTCTATGTCTAACTCAACGCGGGTGCTCCTCGTCAGGTCGTCATCGTGGTCAGTCAGGGTCTGCGTCTGATCACGATAACAAAATTAAAAATATGCTACACGTTCTCGATGCATCTGCATCCTCGCAAAAGTAGATGACACTTTGCTTGGGCCAGGTACAGGGTCACACCTACTCAATTGTTCTTCGCTCTTAATAGGTGCATCTATTTTAGGACTACAAACGGAAACGACTTTCCTCCTCGTCACGAAATATTCTACAAGACATTTTTTTGAATATCTGTTATTTGCCTCAATGTGTCGTCTAGGTTTTGCCTAGAAATGCTCCAGCACCAGCTCCACCCTTCCGATCACATTATGCTTAGATAGTACCGCAGGAGGGGTAGTCTTTTTAGCATGTATTAGCCTTATTTTTTAGTAGTTCACCTGGTTCTGGTGGTGATATATGGTTCATCAAGCACGATCAGATTTAGCATATTCTACTTTCTCACCACTAGAAGACGCACACAAGCAGTAGATATCAATTACGGCTGAGGAAGTCCTCCATTTTTCACGTGTTGGACTCAGGCTAGGCTTCTTTTTCTGTTATCCGAATACCAATATTAGTCAATGCAGTGCTGCTAGGTGCACGACCACGAGCAGCAGCAGTAGAACCAACAAGACCATTTGATCAAATTATGCAAATCACATCCGGACGATCAGCAACTTCCTGGCATTGGTTTTTTTTTTTGATTAGCCCTATCTGCTGATCGGGATCGACTTCTCTGCGCTCCTTGCGAATCATTACCATCCAGGACCTTATTCTGAATCTGTTAGTTGATAAAGTTAAGCGAAGCATATTTTTCCAAACGGCGAGGGGAGGAAATCAAAGCGGAACGAGCAATTTTCTATTTCGATCCGGAGTCGCTTGGTTCTTTTCGAGTCGGTCTGGGAGTTTTCTGGGCATTTCCAAGAGCGAGCCACTCTGTTCGGACGAACTCGCTGACGTCTCCTCCGACGAAGACAATAGCTGCTTTGCCTCTGCCAGCGTCCTGCCTGGGGTCCCCCTGCCACGCAGCCGATTTCGAGCTTTATGACGCGCATGACTATTCTCTCGTGAGCTCTGGCTTGTAGTAGACCGGTTTGCTTCTCCTCTTCGCGCTGCCTTCTTCTTTTCGCGCTGGGCCACAAGCTCATACACGTCAAGATACTCTACCTCACTATTGACCTGGACCACGTGCAGAAGTCTTCTTAGGCTCGACGTAGGGCGGATCAGAGACTCCACTGAAGGGTCGCAGGCCTTCACTCCGCTGCCTCTCTCGCGGGCCTGGAACAAGTTTGTGGATAAAATCTCCTCCACAGTTGCATCAGACTTCGTAAATATAATGTAGGCACGTGCCAGTTTTTCCAGGTGTGCTTGCGATATAGTGCCTCCCGACATGATGTAGTTACCCCACTGCTGGAATTCTGCTTGGATCATGCTTTCCAGTTCCTGTTGCGGAATCACATGAGGAGGGCTGGCGCTCCATTTTTTCGTTTGTTCCCTGATAAGAGCGTCTGACAAAGTTGGTACGCACTCCTCAACGACGCGTTTCCGGCAATGCTGACGAGTCAGATCTCGAGCAGCAGCACGAGTCGGACTCCGACAAAGTTCGCCTTCGTTCGACGCGCCGTCACCTGATTCAGTACTGTCATCGCCGTCTTCGTCGAGAACAACAGCTTGGTGTGTCCCTTCATGGGTGCTGTCGCTGCTCTTCTACATGAAGGGGGTGGGTAGTAGTTGGTGGTAGTATTACGCGTAGCTTTGGTCCGAATGTGAACAGCATGAGAGATGGAACACTCAAAGAAAACTAGCTGCCATGATCACATCAGGACAAAAATCCTCAGGGCAATAATTATTGGTCATGGGGTTACCAGAAGACGGATGAAGCTAAGTACTTTCTTGGTGATGTGCTCCGCGTGGAGCTTTCACATAGGGCAAGAACTCAAATTTTATGTGACTCATAACATCAGTGCTGGAATTATCGCTAGAGGAAGTCTCATCCTCCTCTAGCGAGCGTGATGAAGACCTTTTGTCCTTTGACCCATGTTTCCAATGGACTTTTGTTGGGACGGTGCCTGGCATCATGGGCGGTCGCCCAGAAGACGAACGACTTGACGAGCTGCTGCTCCTCGAGCTACTGCTGCCCCCGCTATATACGAGGACATTTGCTGGTCCTCTTGTCGGTGGCAATATTGTAGTGGTTTTTCCAGCAGTGTTGCTGTGGTTATTACCAGGAATAGAAGCAATCTTGGCGCCTTTTGCATTGTCCGACAGCTCGTGCTTTGAAGTAGATGATGAGGCGCCACCAGCACCCGCACGGGAAACTTCACCACCATTTTTCTCACCAGCATCGCGCTGGCCGGTTAAGAACTGCGCTTCTGACGGCTCTGGCCATTCTCTTGTTCGTCCCTGAAAGTAGATTCTCCACAAATCTAATTGACTGCGAGCTAAGAACAAATCATCTGCTGGATCTGCAGTAATACTATCTTTAGTTTCCTGAGTGCCAACAAAGGGAGCCTCATCACCCCCAGGAAGAGTCTTTTCGTCCAAAAGTGTCTCCACCCGCTCGAGCGTCTGCGCCTCTACCAGCCGGGCCATCCAAGCATTCGAGGGGGGGTTCGCACCTTTTCGAATTTGCGGTCTGCCATCAGAAATGTTGCTAGGTTTTTCGTGTCCTCTTTTGCAGACCATGTCACCATCTCCTGTGCCCCATAACAATCGGATGGATCCAAGTCTGTGAGGATCAGCACCAGCGGCCGCTTCATCTTCGTAACCAGTACTCGGCTCAGGATCGTGTACTTCTGGAGGTGCAACAAGCTGCCGGATCAAATCCACTGCTTCTTGACGTCGAAAACGCTGACAAGCGGACCTTGCCTGACCGTGCTGGCTATCTTCTACTGCTCCCAGATTCATATGACCACTATCTTCCTCCACAACTCCTCCAGTTGTACATGCATGTCGACCTCCTCCTTTCACCACCTCCTCCAGCGTACTTGCAGCGCCGCGGCACTGGTGTCCTAGGGTGTCATCTTCGCTGAGATTTTGCGGACTTCGAGGTGAGTCCAGCCCCTGCGCAGAACCACGACATAAATAAAACCAAGACGAACAGCTACATGTATAGGATGGAAGTAGTGCTGGCCTGGATGTCTTATCACAGCTGTTGTCTTTGACGCCACCTTTTTTTCGCGGTTCCGTTTCCGACGAAATGTCTCTGAAGCCAGCACAAGCACTTTTTGTCGATTGTTCTGATGAAAAAGTGTCTTTGAGGCCAGCACTTGTTCTCGATTCTGATGACAAGTCCCACGCAGTCCTCAGAGGGAGGTCCTTCACGCTCGATTGACCACGGAAAGAGAGCCTTTCTTCATCATTGCTCTGCCTCTCCGTTGGACCTTTCAGCGAGGCTGCGCGAAGCGGCGAGGACATCCCCACAAGAAGCCCCGACCAAAAGAGAAAACCAAACATGGTGCTACTTTGCTTGTTTCGGTGCGTACAGGGTATGCATGAATGATCGAAAACGATATAATCATATTATAATGAACTCGTTGTGGTTGTACCAAGTAAACAAAAAACGTCAACTACTACTTGGTCATAATCATACATATTATTAGACGAGGAAACTTCTATCTGCTTGTACTTAGTCTTAGTTGATGATCTTCGGTGGAGGCGGCCTCCAGCGCACAGTGTCGATTTTGTATGTGTTGTGATTCTACTGCTAGGACGAACATGAAGATGAACATGTTCATAAACGTAGATACTTGAAGAAACGAATAAATCGAAATCCAACTCGACTCAAACGCGTTTCTTATGTATTGTCCCGCGTCTGCGAAGGCAAAGCAAGGATAAGTAACTTGCCACATCAGCAGAATGATAGCGCCAGGCTCTTCGTGACCCGTATCGGGTCGCGTTTCTCGGGTTCCTCCAGTTGCCCACCCTAATTTTTTGCGCGGCGCCCTTCGGGTGGAGGTTCGTGAGACTTCGAAAAACCTTAACAGGAGCGCAAGACGCTGCGCGCCGTGTCTCTGCTCCAACCATGCAACTTTTTCCGCTGGGTGGCCCTGCGCGGGGCGTTGAAGTACTAGAAAAGAAGGATACTGCAGGCCAGAAGAGGGGGAGTTTGCCAGTGGAAGACAGCCAAGGGTGGGCAGTCAAATGTCTGCAACGGGTCCAGCGCGGGGGCCCTGGGGGTGTAGCATGTACCACACCGGCCCCCCCATCTGCCGAACAAAGGGAAACCGCACACACCGCGACCCGCCCAAACAGCTCCCGCAGCATGTTTCTCATTTCACAAGGGCACCCTTCGGCCGCAAGCCAGAGACGCGCCCACCTTGGCGGTGACCCCTCCCACCGCAAAATCGAGAAACGAAAACCCAAGCCCAGACTGACAGGAGTCCCCAACGAACCAAACTACAAGCGCAGGGGGCCGAGGCACTTGCTCCCGACCACGGCGACCGCGTGGGGAGGGGCGCGCCACTATCGACCCCAAACAAAAGGACGCAGCGCCGCCCCAGCCTTCTTTTGCGAAGGAGCTCCCAAAGAGCGAGGGCGCGCCGCTTTCGGAGTGGGCACCCTTGCGCCCGCTCCACCCTGCTTCGCTACCATTTCGCCGAAGCTAGCTTCTTCCGGCAACTCTTGGCAACTCGGTCCAGAATTGGAACGCTTCACTTCAGCAACTCGAGCAGCCCGTGGCAACTCGAAGCCCGTTATTGGCCTTGCTCTATAATGAGATTCATATCTGGCCTCTCTGTGTCCTTTGAAAATCGATTGTACATTTTCGAGTTAAGTGGTACTGGTTGTAGACAATCAAACATTTGCTCTTGTCAAAAATGAATTCAACTTAAATTATATTCAATGAAAATCAAGAACAAGATCAACAAGAACAGAAAAAGATACCAGAGGGAGAAGGGTCCTTCTACACGAAACGTCAACTGCATGCGTGGCATACCCCTAGTCCTAGTCGCACTAGAAATGTTGAAGTTGTAGATCGATGAATATGCATATTATTTGTGTAAAAACGAACTCTCGCATCCTCCGCCAGCTTCGAGAATATGTTTATGCCTATAAATTCCGGTGGAGCTCGTCTAACTAGGAATCAAAAATTACATAAAAAAACAATAAGTCCAGCTATATATAAAAAACTATAGTTGTGGCCACGCTTCAGCTAGGATCCGCCTATTTTAGGCGCCGCGTGTTCGTCCAACTGCCCTGGAGGTCCTATAAATATAATCAAAGTGGCCTCTTGGTCTTGGACGTGTGCAAGCAGATTTATACCTGACAACATTTGCACTTCGATCGGCAGTCGGCACGACCAAGAAACTATGTTACTTAGATGACTCTCTCCGTTTGCGTTTTGTTTTTGCACAAAGAACGTGAGGCTAACAAAGTTGGCCTGCGTGTAGGAAGTTGTCTGAGTAAACATCTTCACGCGATGTAGTGTCGGTAACAAATTATGATTTTTACGATGAATGATCGTCGAGATTGGCCACAAAATTATCAGTGCTTGGTGGCGCTAGAAAGTGGATCTGTATGTTTTGGGCATCATCGTTAACATATTTTCTATAGATGCTGTCCCGAGCATCTCTTCACATCTTCATGGACTGACGAAGCGAATTCTGTGATGATGATCGTGTCTTTCGCATTGGGCCAGAAATTTCAAAGTGCCAAAGAGGCGGAACCTTCTGTCAGTTCGCACGACGTGGACAGCAAACTAACATGGATCAAAAATGATCCATCGAACAGAGAAACAAGTGGTTAGGAAAGCTTGAGCCGTCTTGAGCTTGGGGAAGCCTGACTACGATGAGGAATTGCTGCTTCCAGTTCCATGTACTACAGTCTTCATCTTTCTGTTGATGCAGAGGCTTCATTTTTGAAAAAAATGCCGCATTTTTGATGCATCTTCTCGACTCTAATCTAAATCTGTAGCTGTATTCGACTTTTTTCTCTCAGCGTCGCGCAGGCAGCCGTACAAGCAACAACGCTGCTTGAGTGGAGAGAATGTCTGTGCAGTAGTAGTTGGAAACAATATCATTCGAATATGGAGCAGTAGCAAAAGAGCGAGGGGAACGAAGCAGCCCCAACTGTGTTATATTTACTATTAATCCGTATACTCACTATATGTATGACTATCAACACTAGTAACGATGAAAACGCGTGATATTGTTGGTGGAGCATATCTAACTAACTAGAAAAAACAAAAACCGAAAAAAGAAAAGTCAGGCAAGAACTTACCTACTACTAACTAAGCGCCGGCGCTGTCGTGGTCCTGTCAGCCCCAGAGGTCTCACCTTCGAAGGCAGGCCGGAGCCCTGTGCAACGCCCCCGGTGAGTGCTCAGTTCTATAGTTGTGCGCACAGGTTTACTCGCAATAGGGTACCGGTTCACCAAATAAACCCACAACCACAGAAAAGGACACTATCTACTTCGTGCTATAGTTAGCCTTAACATGGCGTGATATTGATATTGATAAGTATTGATATTTTAGCGAGGATCAGCTGTGGCAGTCTACGTGAACTACAAGATCTGTTGCCGCTTGTTGATGCCACGAAACGATACTCGTGGCTGTGTTGAAAAAACAGTTTTTCGAATTCACAAACATCCGGCAAAACAAGATCTGCGCCTGCGTCACGCAACCCTCCCGATTGCCCTGCTCCGGTCAGGACGCCAATCGCCAGTCCGCATCCGCAGTTGAGTCCCGAACGTTAGAGTAAGTATTGTAGTTTAGTTGAGCAACATTCGTCTTGATCTTGAAACCACGAGGAACACCTTGATATTCATTGTTCTACTTTGTCTTTGTTCATCTCCTTTGTTAATATTGATGCAGATTTTGTTGCTCATACGGATACGAGTAGATAGGTAAGCAAGGAAAAAGAACTGTGATGATATTAGCACATGACCTGCTGCTGCATACATATTGATACTACTGGAGTGTGAGAACGTAGGAGTACACGAAAGAACAAGTCGACAGCAGTAGGTGTATGAATGATATGTTCTTTCGATTGAGGACTAAAATACATAGAGAGTGGTGCTAAATATCAGTCTACGTTTAGAAAAGCATAATCTTCAATTTCCCTTGCTGTGTCACCCGCCTTCGCTACGGTTCCAACGTCCAGAATTTTCAGCTTTTGCATTGCCAGCATGGTCATGTACATAGGGGTATGGGCGTCCCTTAGCAACATCGCCGGCGCAGACCGCAGCGTCCACGTGTTCCCTCAACCGCAGTTTCTCGATTAAATTCTGTTGTATCTTGCTTTGGTACCCGGTATTCAGTGCAATCTTACACCCCGCAGACCGTAGGTTCGAAAAGCTATCCAGCAGTCCTGGGCTAATCAGAGACACTGGTGAACCCGTTCGAGATTAGAAAGACGAAATAGCGAAATTCAAATTTCGTGCTTACTAGGTCATGATCATGAATAACAAGTCGTTCTCGTTTCTACTCCTTTTCCTAATCACTTTCACTTGTAACACTTGATTAACTTATATATATAATTCAGTCGAAGCTAAAAACAGAACTATTAGAAGATCTTGATATACGCTATCCAGTATAATTTTCTCTGGATATGTATGAAATCCTAGTTGTAGTTCGTAACGAAATTATGCATCAGTGATCTCGGATTCGAATTGCTGGTTGATTTTACGTGCAAGAAAAGCCGCAAGTTTTCTGTCTTGGAGAAGTGCGCTTGGGTTCACTCGACCTGCGTAATTGGCTGACCAGGGACGAAAACTGTAGTACGAGCCTGAATCGCTACTGCCATCGGTAGAAGGTCGGGAGGCGGTGGATGCTGGAGATGTCGAAGCGGCAGTTCCTGAAGATGTCGAAGCACTGGATGCAGCATGCTGCGGATGTGACAGAAGAAAGCGTACTAAATGACGACCCGAGATTATTCGCTGTCATACTTCCAAACAAGCGGTCTTGCGTAGCTTAGAGCAGGACGAGGAACGGCTTAGCAGAAAATCCAGAGCCGTCATGATTACTTGCACACAGGGAGTCGGGAGGGGAATAAAGGCCATTTACAATTCAAAATAGCATGATAACGAGCACGTTCTATAAGGACGAACTCTATTGGAGTACGAGAAGCCTGTTGAATTTGTTTGATGCTAGTACTTCTACTTGAATCGGTACGCCCTGCTAAACCCCAAAAAATTCATGATTACTCCTAAACAAAATGCGCAACGACTTCGGCCTTTTATGCACCATGCCAGGGTAGCCTTCATCATCGCCTACATCGAGTCCAGCGTCGTTCATTACTTTCTGAAGCGTGGTTTATACATCACAGGCCCGTCCTCGTTAACTGTTGTCCCTGCCATGTCACATACAAGTAGTTTCATGTGAGGCACTCGCTCCTCGGGAGGAAGCTTCAACAAACTGCGACCGCGACAGCTTCTCGAGGTAGAGAAGAGCCGTTGGCCCACGTGCCGGGCGGCCATCCTCTCGTCCTGCAGGCGTCGCCCTTGCTCCGCAGCACTAGTCCGTCTCGCGAAAATGCATACAACGCAGAACTGCTCAATGGTGCGAAGCTTTCATATTCTTGATGAAGGTCATCTTCGACGAGCACAAAATAGTACAACAACAAGGTTATCGAAAAAGGAAGCCTAATTTTCGTCAGAAGTTCTGCATCTTATGCTTCTCCTTCGTTTTCTGTCTTTTCTCAACAAGCAGTGCCAGCAGAAAACTTCAGGATCCAAAGTCCCCCCCTAGGACAAAAGGCTCTCTCGTCTCTCGTCTACTCTACCGATTGCATAATATTCATCGCAAATCGAGAAACCACACACCTAGAAGCATGTCCCACTTACAAGTACAAGAATTACGACCGACACTTGTATTCAATGTACTGACTTCCACTTCGTTCGGTCAATCTCAGTCAATAGATTAGAAATAACACGTTGGCTGATTGCTGCTTCTACACATGGGTCGGGAGGATGTCCTGCCATCTGCTAATTTTTCTTGCGAAATATGCATTTGGATTTGGATAGTACATGCGAGTGCGAACGGTACGGTGGCGGTAATCAATATCGTTTAAATTCTCAGATTCCTTACCTGTTTCTTCACTTGTTGCATGTTAGTGCTGTGGAGCACCTACCATGGCTCACAACGTATTCCTTCTCTGGACTAGTGTTGGATACGGTAGCTCTATATCGTGGGGACATGGTTGAGTCAGCCTTAAGAACTGCACGGGGCTGACAGGATCATTGTGGGGATTCCACACGGGTCCGGTAGCAGGGGTTTGCAGTCCATTCGAAAAAGAAAACCGAAAGATATTGATCATCATGAGCATTTTTTGGAGCACATTGTTGTAGTGATACTGATAGAAGATGGAGATAGTCAAGGAGGAGAGAGTCGTATCGTCACACGCTAGAAATCGCCTACTGGCGAGCAGAATCGGTACATTTTATGAATCCACTTCTTGTATATTAGTCGGTCCTTCACATGCATAGTTGTCCTGCATTCATCATAAAAACGACTAGTCTATCTGTCTTGTCTGAATGTCAGCAGCAGCAGCACGAATCATGAAAAAGGGTTTCATACTGGCGGGTAGTCGTTCGTGAAAAAACATAGTCATCTTCCGTAACCGTCATAGCCTGTAGTATATTCTGGCCGGCTACAGTCACCTAGATTGTTTAAGCGATTGAATTCATGGATCCAAATAGGAGAAAAGATCTCGACGTTGAATCAAAGAAGCGGATCATCGGGAGTCTACTTGGTTACTTGCGGTTATGTTGGTTACTATTGCAAATACGGTTAAGAGTAAGATTTTCTTTTGAAGCTGGTAACTAATCGATTTCGTGCTCGTTGTCCATGCCATACAGCAAAGGAATGCTATGAACAGTGGCTGTGGTGCTTAACTATGTATGACAACTGAACCATGAGTCATCTGTACATCAACTGTCCACCTGAAGAGTTTCGACCGACTCTAAAGAGTGATCTCTGAATGTAGTCGGAAGCAATACAACATCAGTCAACAAAAAACATGTTTAGGGATGAGCAATGTTCTGGTACTAGTCAAAAGAACTTCGCAACTGGCACTTGCCAGATACGATCTGCAGCAAAAGTATCTCAGGACTGCGAGAAGACACTCGAAATTTTGCAAATCGCCAACAGGCAGATCATGTCAGCTTGCTCCGTGCGCGAGCCCGCAGCAAAATCGAAGTTCTCGGGAAAAGCATGCGCGATGAGCTCGAAGCCAACGTGTCGATGTTCGAATCTTGCCATCTTACAGCACAGGTCGTCCACCGTGTCCTGAAAGATCTTCGCAAAGGGGTCCACGGAGGCCGCCACGTCGCTCAAATACCGATTACAGCTCTGCTCCTCCGAGTGGTCTTCGAAACGCAGTTTGTAGTCCTTCTTGGGCGCAGAAGGCGGCGGCGCGAACGGATCTACAGTATCGTTGTCCTCTTCCTCTTCATGTTCTACTTGACGCGGGTCGGCGGCGACAACACAGCCCGCCGCAAGCGCGTCTTTTGCGGAAGGCATGCTTCCGTCCACGTCTGCTTGTGGCGGGTTATCTTTGCTTACTCCACGACCACATCCATCTGGCGGCTCTTTGATCTCCTTTGTTAAGAAGGACACAGAGCTTCCACTTGGCGCGAATGATGCCCCTGTCATTTGCTGCTGCATATCCGTGCCTGGTTTGCCTGTGATCGTCCCTAGTACGGTTGAAGAAATAGACTCACCCATATTTCCTCCTGCTCCCCCACACGCCGATGAAGATCTTGCGCCGCCAACTGTACTATTGAAGAATGCGCCACCCGATGGCCGCCCTGTAACGGTATTTCCTCCCGGGCCAAAGCTGGACAGGGTCGTGTTTTTGCTGCTGCTCGCAGACCATCCGCCTGGAACCCCGCCTGGCAGGCTATTATGGTAGATTTCTCGCATCTTGTCGTGGTGAAAGCTACCACTAGACGAGGAGGTGTAGTGCATCGGGTCCATGTTGTGCTCCTGAATTGCTTGAAAAGCAGCACCGCGATCTCCTACCTCGATGTGCTGCCGCTGCGGCTCTGAGGCTTTCTTCCCAAACATGCCTCGCATGGACGCGAAAGAGGCTTTAGGAGGGTCTGCAGATTGACCACCTGCTGATGAGGAAGATGCAGTCAAATGCTGACCGTCAGCGCCAACTTGAGCGGTTGCTGAAGCTGCGTACTCTGTATCTGTCAGCGCTAGAGGGTTTCTCGTCGTGTCCGGCACTCTTTCTTTCGCAATCAGCGCTATCTCGTCTCGGCTCTGGTAAAATTTAGGCGGCGAGAAGTAATGAAGCGCCAGCATTCCGAGGAGCGTACGCGGATTTGGGTCAAGATTTGGGTTCCAATGGTCAAAGATTGCGAGTTTTCGCGCGATCGTCGGTATCACGAGCTTCTTCTGATTCACTTCCCGTATCCTCGACATCTTTTGTCTAGACCTTGCGAAATCTAGTAAAGACGCGATGTCTTGTGCCAGAATTGTTCCACCGTTCGACGATTTTAGAGCCTCCTGTGCTACTAGCGTGGTTTGCGCGTCCCCTATCGTGGCATCGTAGTCGAGCTGTCGACGCTCTCCAGGATAGTCTGAAGCGCATGAGCTACTCGGCCCCGCCTCCTGGATCTCTTCGAGCACTTCCTCCACTACCTCCGACTCGGCAAATAGACTCGCCATGTCCTCCTCCTCGTCACCGTAGGGATTGTCTTCCTCGTCTACAGGATCCTTTCGGAAAGGCACCCCACCCGTGCTGCGCGCGTTCGTGGAGCGTTTACCATCAGTTCCTCCGGTTGCGTTGAGGTCGGTTTTGTTGCCTGGTGTTCTTTTCCGCGCCATACTCGAGAAGTCGAGGTCGTCAATCGAGCCGAAGACATCTTCTTGTGGATCATCTTCCTCCTCATCCTCTACCCGGCTTCGCGACACGCCCTCTACTTCCTGTTGACTTGTCATGCCCTCCCCGACTATCTTGCCTAGATTCTTCTTTTGGACGGGTGCGGATAGCTCCCCTGTACTGCGATGCCGCCGATCTGCGCTGCCAGTCCTCGTGTCTGGAAAAGCCTTCTCGAAACGCCGCTTCAGTTTGCACGGCGGAATATTCACCACAAGCTGCGGTGGAAATTGCAACGGTCGCTCGGAGTCCCTCGTACCTGGACGACTGCCTGCATTGTTCGTCAATGTCTCCGGGCCTTCGAGGAGGTCTAGTCGTGCCGTCTCAGCCCTATCCGCGGCGTATTCACCTGATACTGCAGCAATCACCTGAGCTTCCTGTATCTTTCGCTTCATGTTCTTTGGAGCAGCCAGCATCTCCTTGCCCGTTGCGGGATTCACGATCAGTTTGCCCCGCGGTCTCGTCGAGAGGCGTCGCTTCGGGTCCTCGCGACGCAACACCTCATTCGCGAGCTCTGCACGTGGGTGCAACGGCGGCAAAAGGACGTTTAAATCGAAATCCACTTCCCCATCGTCAGCATCGTCACTCGATTCCTCAGTTGAGTCTAAATCGGTCGAGGCATCCGGGTCTTCCTGAAACGTCAAATTGTCTCGATGAATTCTTCTGACAGAGTGACACCTCATCCTTCGAAATTCAACCTTTGAAAGACATCAACAGAACAAGTGCGACTGATCTTCAGAAAATCCAAGAAATGCTCATTTTATCACATTCTTTGCAAATTAAGAGCACATGTCGCGAAAATATCTAAACAATTGGCTTCTATCACAGTTATGATGAGTTGTAGTTTGAACAAACTTTCGAATTTCAAATCGAAAATTTTTTCCACTTGAATATTTCAAGAATTTTTGATTTTATTTATATAGTTTTTCTAAATTTACACTCAAGTGAGTGATTTGAAACAAAATTTTTGATGTGAGAGTTTTGGTTAGGTCTTCTAGTTTCGATGAGACAAATTAGTTTTTGCTCACGACAAGATACAATTACAAATCAGTAGCTTCTTCTGCTTATTTTTCAGAAAAGTCGATCCATTCGAATCTGGTGCTTGTGTATCTAAAAATGCAAAAATGCTATAGTATCTATACTACCTCTTCATCCTCAGCATCATCATCTTCTTCGTCCTCTTCAAACGGTGTGTCCTCGCCTGGTCCAGCTTCTCTCCTCATTTCCTGATAATCATCTTCCTCTTTGCGCTTCGCGCGTCTCTCTTCTCGCAGTTTTTCGGCCTCCTCTTCAGGGTCGGGGATACCCAAGACGTCAGCTGCTGCAATGAGCTCTTTTGCGAGCGCAAGCTGGCGTAGAATCTTATCGAAAGCAGCGTTAGTTGCTCGTGCAATCTTGGCGCTCTTATCGAGAAGCATACGCTGCAACGTCTCCTCATAGTCAGAGAAGAATTCAAGGGCGCGCTTGGACGTGTCGATTTCGAGGTACAGAGTCACGAACTCCGCTGCGCGTTGGCGGTCGATCACTACTTCCGCGCCGTTGCCATCTGCTTTGTAGGCGAGGAAGTAGCCTATTTGTCTGCCCGGCTGGAAAAAGCTGTTTTGGTAGAATACACCGAGGATGAAACGCCGCCTCCGGGTCAAAGCAATGACCTGTTCTCGCTGTCTTTGCTGCGCAGGCGAGATGTCTCCGCGCTCCAACTCAAGCTCCTCCTCTAGTTCCGGCAACGTTTTGTTCGACAAGACTAGTTCGTGCCGGTTTCGCTTTGCGCCCTCCGGCTCTTCGTCTAGGTTCATGCCTGGTGGGCTACTCCACTTCAGGATGCCGCCACTCCGATTCTGCTGCTCATGACCACCGAGACCCCCTGCCCCTCCGATTCCTCCCATACGCGATGATGCTGTGGATTGAAACATCGTCGTCACCGTCGCTTGCTGAGCGGGCAGCACTGAATCACCCGCGTGCGAGAAGGTCTGCATCGTCTGAGTCAGCGTTTCGCCTCCAGTACTATACTGACTCCGATAGTACTCGGCGTCTGCGTTGAAGTTGCTCGTTGCTGTCAGCTGATCCCGATCTTGGCCGCGGCCCTGCTGGTGTGGAAATCCAGTTTTGCTACTACTTCTTGCGCCTAGGCGCAAGTCGTCAGCGGCCTTCGTGAGTCTTTCCTCCCAGTCTTTCCCGCCAATCACTCCACCTTGCCGCTTTTCGTTCTTGTCGTAGTTTGCATATGGATTACCACTTCCTTTTGCGGCCTCCAAGAGGGCAGCCTCGTCTTTGGTCATGGTCTTCGCCTGGCGTTTTCGTCGGCGCTCCTCTTTGCGCGCCTCTTCCGCGAGGCGCCGCCTTTCTACGCGCATTTTGTGGAACTCTCGTTCCATCTCCAGCCTTTCCAAGTCGATGGCACGGTTCTGCGTCACTGTTCTCTCTATTTCATCTCGCACCTGTTCGAAGAGATCCAAAATCACAGGTCGGGCGAGGTCCCGCTGTATTTTGGGAATTTTCTGCGTCACGTACCGCTGGAGCATATCATGGCGCTTTCGCGCACGTCCCCACGTTGTGCGCGCGACCTCCGCTATCTCCATCATGAAATCTAACCGAGCTTCTTCACTGCCTGCTTCCAAATACACGTAGTGTTCGTCGGGACGAGTCCTTGCTCTACGGTCTAGTTCTACTAGCTTTCGCTCGTCTGTTGTCTCTGCATCTACGACCTGCAACTTCAAGTTGCCCCACTCGTCGAGGACAATGCGTTCTTCCGTAGCAGAAAAATTGCGATACCGCGCTAAGCGCTCGCCGTCGTCTGTATTTGCAAAATCACCCATGCTTAGCGAATTTGTCGATGGAAGCGGCGGCTCCGCGTCCTTGGTATCCGCAATCTGGAGGATCTCACGGATGCGTCGTGTCACCGCCACACTCCCAATCGCTGTAACCGGATAGAAAACATCAATTATTAATAATATCCCTCGTCTTATTCCCCTCAACGATGCTTATTGATGCCTATCTATATGCATTTAAGTTGTGAACTAAAATCATACCTATATTATGATCTTTCTTCTTGACCTTCACATTGATCTTGAATTAAATAATTGCCTTTTCATCTGCTCAAGCTCAGGCAAAGGCATACAAGAATGACATAATCTTGACATCAATTTATCGTAAATCAATACTTTTTTCGCCCGCGTCCGTATTTGGTGGAAAGAGCTCAAAATATCTGGCTTCGCTAATTCTCGCTGACACCTCGAAACTTGCAATCACCTCTAGTAGAGAATAGAAACGGTAACTCAAGAAGCAACATGTGGCTGCGCACTTGTCTTTTTCACCCGGTAGAATTTTTCGATGTCCAAGCAATTGCTTTAGCATTCGCTCGCGTGTTTCCGCTGATATTTCGACGAAAGCACATACTACGTCACCCAAAAAGTTGTGGCTTTGCATCTTGCGCTTTCGTTGTTTCTCCTTCATGGATACCATCAGCGATTTCTTTCTCCGTGATTTCCGCCTGATGAAGTAAGTATTTTGAATGAAGAATGGAGACGAACTGCATTTAATTATCTAAGAATAGATGGATAGGTAGTCCTGTATTTCTTGACAAGTTCTTCTTCTTTACTGGTGGCAGGCTAGGTATCGCAAAGGAAACCGTAGTGATCTTGATCCACCACTTGTTCTTCTTTTCTGTTGCTGAAAACACTAAAATTCGTGTCAAATACCGCATTATTCTTCCTTTTCTTTCATGCTCCGACTCGCTTGCACTATCGTCTCCGGGCACTACCACCCGGTAGTCAGCTACCTTGATGTTCGTATCTCTCAGCTCCCGCCGCTTCCTTACTTTTGCTTCTACGTTGTTGATTTGCTCGAGCTCCTGCTTTTTCACGCGGGCGTAATACTGCGCGGAGCTCTTGAGTTCCTCGAAACTAAGTAGTCGCTGATGCAAAGGCACATCGTCTTCGGAATCCTTTTGCACTTCGTCTTCCTGGTACGCTTTGCGTCGTTTACTCCGCACGGGACGCGGCGCGCCTGCCCGGTCAGCCTCTTTCACATCCGTACTTTCAGTACAATTCGTCCGCCCTTGTGCCCGGCTGTTCGGCCTTGACTCCCCCTCCGAGGATTCGGTGTACGCTGACTCGTTGTCAGCGTCAGTCTCGACCAGTGGCAGTCCGGTGAAGGGATCCAATACGTGGAAATGCGCGCGCCTTCGCTTCGACATTGTCATATTTTCCTGGTTGCCGCCTAGATTCAAAGCACTTTTGCCCGTTCCTCCGTACTCGATATTCACGCGCCGGTTGACGTCTTCACGCCGTAAATTCGTTGCTTCTCTAACGTCTTCCAGTGTCTTTTTCCACGCGTTCGGCGCCCTAAAATTTGCATCGAATCGTTCATTAACTATGGCCTTCGGCATCAGCATCATCTTGCGGGCCTCCTCATGCCGTTCCTTCTCACGCTGCTCAGCGGCGAGAAGATGAAAAGGGAAGGGGCTACCTATCATCATCATGGCGGCACAAGTAGCACTACTCGTCTACCTGCAAGACGGAGCAGTTCCAACGGTATATCACAAGTGACGGCCGTGGAATTGCAGGCTACCTAGTTTTGTTCAGTAACGCAAACTACGCAAACAGAGTTGACGCGGCAACTTCCAGCAACTAATTTCAGGAAAACAGATGGGAGAAGTGTAGCTTCCTGGTAGTGTTAGCAACTAGATACAAAATATGTCATAACCAAATTTCTGAAGCATCTTGATTTTGATCATGGCCCGCTCCATCTTGCCCGTGTGCTGCAGCTTTGCCCGTGCCGCTTCACATCTTAGAATGATCATCATGGCAACTCACAAACGCAATGGACCCAGAGGCTTTTTTCTAGTATAATCAGAAGCGTCAGGTGGCCTCGAAAGTATACTTACAAGAAGAGGGACTCAGTGACTCTATCCTTCTGACTACAACATAACCAAATCAGAGTCATCAAGCTTCTAATTTTATTAGGAACGTCACGCCATAACCTTTGAAGGCCTCCCCATGCGGACGTGTCGATCTTGTCTTCGTTAAGCCTAAGGAGCTGGTTCTTCTCTGGTGAGAAATGCCCACCCAGTCGCACCTTTTCGCGGCCCCATTCTTTCTCAGTACGCGGTAGCGACCCCTCACCTGAGGTGAGCGCCAGCTTTCCGCCGAAGCGACCCAAATTATTTGGCAGCTTCTTCAGTGGCGGAGCGTCACCCGCCTCGTGCCGGTTGCGGAGAATTGGCAACAAAGGCGCTTGTTGCGCAGCTGCCATCTCCGCTGCTCGCTTTTCACTCTCGGCTGCCGCACCACTCGTGCTGAAGAGAGACGTGCCTTGTTTCACAAGCGAACTGCCTGCGCCAGCCATAATCGAAGAAAAACCCTGGCGAAAAGGCGAGCTACCTCCACTTGATGAACCCGCCTGCCCCGGTGAGCCGTCGTATGCCGGCGCCTCATGTCGCCCCTCCATAAAGGGTTGAGAAGTGTTGCTATTGTTGTAGTGAACGTCTTGAGCATGATCTCCTTCTGGCGGTGGAGCAAAGTGTGCCCCCTCTTCATTGCCGGCTGGATTCTTGTCAATGTCGAAGCTGATGCGCCGTGATTTGTTGCGTTCGCGCTGATCCTGCCGAGCTACCTCTTGCTCCTGCATGCGCGCTCGTCGCTCCTGAGTCAGTCGAGAGTAGAGAAGTGATTATCATCATGGGGACAAACTGAAAGAAACTGATGAAACAACTTCCTTCAGTCTTAATACGCCGATTGTGATTGTCTTGGTCAGGAATCAGAATCACGATCAACGACAAAAAATACGTCAAATCAATAACCAATGAAAATCGTGCGCAAGAACAATTATACTTTTTCTTGTCGCATTTTTTCCTCGCCTTCCGCCATCTTCTCTTGAAAGACGTTGAAATTGGCTTTGGAACAGGGGACAACGTCGAGAGTAGCGTCCAGAGCATGCAAGACAAAATTGTATGCTTCGTAGCGATAATAGCTTGCTCTCATCGAGGGAAAATGAAAAACGCGAACCCAGCTGCTCGGATCGCGTATGTTGGATTTTGGTGGCGGTTCTTCCTCCTTCTTGCGCTTGTATTGGCGCGTTCGTATCTCGTCAGCCCGAAATTTCGCTATTCTTACGAGCTTGGCGACCTCGTCCTTATACTGGAGATATTTTTTTGCATTGGGTGCATGGTTCGCGATCATGCGTGCGCCAAACTTTTGCTTCTTATCCAGCGCTTTTCCGTGTAGCTCTTTTGTGGTCTTAATGTCCTTTAATGCCTGGTCGAAATCTATGCTCAACGCCAGCGGAGGCTTAGGTAACCGGAACTCTGCGTCGGGTGCTGTCTCTGGTGGTCGCGACCATTTCAAGAAGATCTCTTCTTCAGCCGGACCAGGCGCCCCTTTACCGCGCTTTATCGGAGAAGCGCGAGCTTTCTTCTTTTCAGTTTCGGCTGGGGCATTGTCCGACGGACTCGTGAATTCTAATCGGCTACCTGCGTCTTCTGATTCAGTCTTATCGTGACTCGAAGATGGTGGTTTGTCTGTGTAGAGGTCACTGGGGTCAAATCTGTTAGTGTGGTCTTTGTCGCCGTTAGTTCCCGCTCCTGCACCGTTCTCATCGTCTTCTGCATCATCCTCAACATCGTCGTCGTCCGCCTCTCCACCATCCCTCCCTTTTTTGCGCTTTTTCTTGCGGACATTCTTCTTGTTCCCGCTCATCTCGTCGCCGCCGTCGTTCCCCGCGTTATCCTCGTCGCCGGCTGCTTGCGGATGCCCGCTCGCGTCTTCAGCAGCAGGCGCTGAAGCAGCTTCATGACGGTTATCAGCTGCTGCAGCTTCATCGATCGGGGGCTTGCCATCGACTGCTTCTTCGCCTGGTGCCGGTGCTTGCCCATCCTCCTCCTCTCCAGTCTGAATGCGTATCTTTGGTTTCCTCTTGCCTCCGTCCGGTGATGAGTGGTCGCCTTCGAGAAGTCGCCGCCTGCTCACGCGATGCAATTCGCCATGCATGGTGAAATCTTCAAGCTGATCCTCAGCATAGTCGCGCCGCCGTCGCGCAGCTGGAGGTGGCGAGGAGTGCTGGCCTTCTGTAACTTTGGCTGCACCTTTCGAGGCTTTGTCCTTTTTCTTCTGGCTTTCATTTTCCTTGCCGTCTTTTTTTATCGCCTTGACACCAGAAGCGGCTTTCCAATCGAACTCGGCGTCTGACGCCGCTCGCTCGTCCTCGGACAACACACCCTCGCCTTCGATCCCTAAAATGTGGCTGCGCGAAAACATCCCTTGTCCTTCCTGGAGACCGGTGAGTGCAGCCAAGTTTAGACTCGTGCGCCCCCCGACCACATCCTCGGCGTCAATAGGTGGTCGCACATACGCCGCGCGCGTATGGCCCTTGTGTTTTTTCTCGGGCCGCTTCTTGTGTGGATTCATCAAGTAAAACTCCTCCGAGCTGTCGTCCTCAAGTGTCCCTTCTTCTTGACTACCTGCCTTGCCACCGAAACCACCTAACCAGTCGAGATTACTTGTGGTTAACCGCAGAGTTCGCGAAGAGTTTGCCAATGCAGAAGTAGGGTCTTTGAACTCACCCTCTTGATCGTAGTACCCGAAGCTCTGGATTCTTGTTGGAGAGGGTACATCCAGACAATCGGCATTTGAAAGTAAGTAATCTTCCATATCGCGCTTGGCTAGCTGCCGAATTTCTTGTTCTCCCTCCGAAAGACTGCCGTCGGAACGCGGGGTCCGTATCTTCTCTCGTGCCCCAGAAACTTCATAGAACTCACGGGTCGGCATTGGTGGAGGAGCGGGTGGCCGCAAGTTTACCAGTGCTTAGAAAAGGAAAAGAAAGAAGGTTTAAGTTCTTGCAAAATAAAGAGTCATCTTATAAAGTAGGGAGTTAGACATAGACTAAAATTGAGTTGAATATTCAGATTCAGTTCACTCAAGTTTAAAGTTATTAAATGGCGGCAATTACTACTAGTCTCAAGGCTAAGGCTACCTACATGACCAAAATCATCGTCACTTTCATCACGATGCATCAATGTCTCTGGCTGAAGCACAACGACACGGACGCAATGAAATCTAATATATAAATACGTATGTTGAGTCTAAGTCTATTAATTCCGAGCCATAACCTCCAGCGCCCCCTTCGCTAAGTAGACCCGCCTCTTTAGCTTCCTTCCAGTTTTTCGTTCGCAACTCTGTTCCACACACCTCAGGCAGAGGGAACGTGTCGGGATCATGCTCTTGTAGCTTGTACTTCAGTTTCTGTCGGGCGCGTGGGGACAAGGAATGCTTCAAGATTAGAGGAACAAGAGCAGAGAAAAAAACCGCCATGCTACCAACGAACCATCCAACACGACATGAAATTCAGAACAGTACATAGTTAGAGAGCCTTGTAGCTGTATCAAAGTCAGCCGCGGAACAAGGGCTCGCTAGGAGAGGTAGATAGACAGGGCACATAGCATTCGCTGCAGCGACTCCTGTTCTCCAATGCCACCACGCTCACGGTCGTAGCGTTCCATCTCCTCCTGCAACCTTTCCTCTAGGGTGCCCGCTAATGTTTCGTAATACTGATTCCATTTCTGTTGCTCAACCCACATACTGAAACCATCCACGTAACGATCGTACATTTCCTGGTGCGAATTTGAGTTGGTCAGTCACTATTGAATGAGACAATGCATGGCTCATCTTTGTGTTCCTGGACACGATGTGCATTTGATGTGCGCTTACTTGGCTCTTTAGTAGAAGTTAGAGAAATTATACGAAGCGGACGTGTGTACTTTTATGAGTGAGGAAACATCATCAACATCCTCGTGCTACAAACGAGTACCTCGTCCTCACGGTCGTAGTCGTCATCCGTCAATCTCCGTCTTTGAATACTATTCCCCAAATACTCTCTTTCACCAAAGAAGCGTTTGTCGTCTCTCCATTTTCTAGTGGGGGTTTCACCCAGTTTAAATTGTAGCTCGCTATTCCGCTTCCGGATCATGTCCTTGAGTTGCTTCCGTGTAAATTCTTTTGGGTCACCAAGATCATCGTACAGCTCATCGGCTGGAGATTAGGGGAGCCCTCATCGCTTTACAATATCGAGTAAAAACGCAGTGCATGATCTCATCATGAAGTCTCAGTCATAATGACTACCGGTTGTAAAAAGATTCTCCATGTACGACTAACCTAGGCGACATCTTACCTTGAAGGCTAAAAGCCAACATGAAGTTCGCAGACAAAGGCGAACTCCCACAACTGCCACAGGAAGGACAAAAGCCACAATATCCGATTATTCGAATCCTGTCCATCTGTACACCAGCAAGCCATAAGTAAATCCTAGGTCGAGCAGCACGCGCACTTTAAGGTCGTCGAGGGTTTCGTCGGCAAAGATGTCTTCATCTTCCTTCTCCTCTTTCTGGAATTTTTTGTGTATTTCGCGACGCACAGTATCCGACAGAGGTTGTAAGATTCGGTGACGTGTTTTCAAGCGGTCCTCTGGCTTAGGCTTCTCGCTTCCTGTTGAAGGAGGTACGTGTGAATGGAATTTGTACTGAAGCATGTTTTTGCTAAACTACGAGTCGTGCAGAAATTTAGCGACTTGTATCTAAATTCATGTTGTAGTTGAGAGTAAATTATATATAAAAAATGTGACGAATGATACTCCCCATTCTCTTGAGCTTGATTTTCCGTTGTAGGGTAATGCGCTCGTTGTGCTTCTCTTCTCCTGACTCAGGCGTTGTCGGTCGGTCCTCCTCATCTATGCAGTTGATGTCTTCGCTGCGAAAAAGCTTCTTCGCGGTGAGGACGGCAGTTCGGTCCATTTCAAAACCAGTGACTTCACCCGGACTGTCGCCTAAGCGCTTTATCTCAATTTTTAGCTTCTTCTTAAATTTCTGCATCTGCCTCAACTTTTCATCCAGCTCCTTCTCTTCTGGACTCTTGCTGGAGTCCAATGCGCGCGCCCTGGTGGGTCACGTGTGAAAACGAATAGAATCAAACATGACGTCAAAGTAGGTCATTCGCTCCAGCTGATTCTTAGCCATGAAATGATAACAAACTGAGTAAGACAACGACCTAACACAATATACTCCTAAGTGTACAGCTAGCGAGAATACCTTTCTTCTGCCTTTTCTCTCCTCTTTCTGCGACGTTTCTCTTCTTCGGTCTCCTCATAATCATCGATTTCTTGCTCCTCATCCTCCTCCTCTTCGCCGCTCTCTCGACTGCGGGGACGTTTTTCTTTTTTTGACTTCGGCGTCTGCTCCGCGGGGGCACGCTTTTTGCGCCCGAGGAGTGAAGCGAAGAGCGTCACTGCCTTCGCCTTCTGCGAACTCAGCGTCGTCTTCACTTTGCTTACCTGCATCTGCATGCTGGCCGCCATCTTGATCTCTAAGCCAGCCAATCGAACACGAAGCTGGGAAGCAAAATCGTTCTCGTGAAAAGGTTGCCCGTATGCACTTGAACTTCTACTGCTCCAGCAACGAAAAGCGAGGGCACACCATTACGACCTGCGAGGCGTTGCTGCAGCTACTAACGTCAAAAAGCAGCCGAAGGTGAGCCAGTAGATACAACAAGTACAAGTAGTAGTTTTGGCTCAGGACCCAAGAAGCGCAAAACTCTGCTGCTGTAGGAGAACATCCAGTAGGAGCATGCACCAAACATTGGCGGTCATTCACATTTTCTTGGGATCATAAAGCTACATGTTTCTAGCGGGAGCGGCATACTGTGAGAGTCCCTCGAAAAGATATCCAACCAGAAAATTATCAGAAAAAGCGTCGTACTTCCCTTCAAATAGACACGAGGTTAGTGCATCCTCGAATCAGGTCGACTGGGATTTTCAATTCCATAAACTCGATCTGTACCTTTTCCTCACTCTGGCAACGTCATTCAAACATATCTATTATCTTTGCAACTGCTAAGAAGCTTCCATTAGAGAAAGATAATAGAAGTCGATAAATCTGAAAATAGAATAAAATTCAAACGTATCCTAGCGTTGCAACAGCAACTCCGTCCCTGTTAAAAATCAAGCTAATAAACTCGACAAATTTAGTTCTAGAGGGATGAACATTTTTGAACAAGCAAATGCGGGCCAAGTCATTGAGGTGTGGTGGGTTTTCGGGTCTATGGGCATGGGGGGTCCTCCCGAGGATTTGTCAGGAAGGAAGGAAGGAAGGAAGGAAGAGAGGAGTGGAAGGCGAATGGTGGACTCTCTCGATCACACTCTCGGACGAATGTAGAGACAGCTCGAGAGACGACATATTAAAGACTCTCCTATCATCAATTACAATTTAGTCCTCTCAATCTCGTCTCACAACAGGTCACAAGAGTCGTGTTCATGCTTTTTACTACGTTTAATGTAATTTCATGGTAGGGTCAGTCTATCCTTAGATTCCATTCAAACATCTTCGAGTTACCGCATGGCGATGGCGCATGCCAACGTGCACTTGTATGCCAAGAAGCAACCGAGCTGAGGTGAAGCGATGATCTTCGGAGAAACAGATTTGCGCACACTCGTGGCAATTATGAGTGCACTACCGAAACTCGTTCCCCACTTTCTCATCATCATGGTGGCCCATTTCGGACTTCAAGCCTAATGGCGGGACAAAACTGTTCCAACAGTGTGTGTGTGTGTGTCAAATAATGACGGCCGTGGAAGTGTAAAGCCTAGTGAGGGGGCGTTGTGAACCTGTTTGAACCTGAAATCTCTTGAGAAAGAGAGGTAAGAAGGGGCTGCGAATCAAAGATCCGCAAAAGAGTACATGGTAGTTGCCTTTTTCCCCCGTGATCACTCTCATCTTACCGAACCAGTATTTTCTAAATGATCTCAGGTATGTGCGCGTTCTATTCGACCTTTGACCGAGTGTCATCTCCTTTCGTAAACCGATCTTCAAGCGCCCGCGATCTTCGTTGTATCGTATGTGGCCGGCTTACACTCAAGATACATAGTCTAAGAAAAGCACCAGTGTCGAGGAAATGGCTATGGCAAACGTCCCAAAAACCATGGTCCTCTCCGGCACATGAAGCGTTGACGCTTCCATCCTTCGACTTCGACAGAATAAAGTACTAAAATTAGGTTCAAGCTCCTGCAGCTGCACGGCTGTGCAACTACATCAGTAATGATGATCAGATGATCCGAAGATATGCTTTCTCACGTTTGGTTCATCCACAGCACATGAATCAAGTGCTACGAGATAGCTAGGGTTTTCAGGATTCAATTTGTCATGCATGCGGAGACCGAGAACGACGTCGATAAACAAGCAATCACTCTGCGCTGAAAGGAATCGGACTGGCGAAACGAATGTGGAAATTGTAGTATACGTAGAGAGAGCCGTTTCCAGTGTGTTATCATCGTCTAACGGTCTGCACCGAGGAAGAAGGAATCGTATAGACATTACGGATTCGTTGCGCGACTCCGCGAGCATTGTCTGCTAGGTTATATGCGGCTTGAGCAGCCGGATTAATATGCCGGCCGCTTGCATGAGCTTGTTGTCCTTGCGCTGCTACTTGTGGCTGTGCCATCTGCGGCTGGCCCATGTTCGGTTGACCTATCATTTGTGGTTGCATTCCCGGTTGCTGCTGGTACATCATCACAGGCTGTTGTGCGCCTGGCTGTTGGTACATCATCGCCGGCTGCTGTTGCTCTTGTTGACCTCCGGTGCCGATCACATAATACGGCCCACTCTGTTGAGTGCCTCCGAGCTGTGCAGCTCCCACTCCTTCAGTCGAGGACTGGGCCATCATCATACCTCCTCCTACAGGCGAGGGTGATGGCACTGTAACGCCCGCATGAGGAGCGAGATAACTCGGCTGAGCAGGCTGAGCAACATATCCTGACCCGACGGATCCGGCACTAGTATTCATCCTGTCGCCAACTACTGCGCTTCCACCGCTTCCCCGCCCTGAAAAGCCTATCATGGCACCACCCGGACCTCCGTAGTTTCGCGCATACACCATATACGGATTGGATCCGTAAGAGGATGTTGAGACACCCAAGGAAGGATTTCCCATAGTACCTGGCTGCTGCTGGTGCATGCCGATGCCCTGCGTCGGAATTATAACTGGTTGAGCGGCCATGAACATCGACTGACCAGGCTGCTGCCGCGCCATAAGTACGTTGCTGAGATCTGTATAAGAAAATACTGTGTAGTTAGGTATAAGATCGATGGCAGGGTCAGCAAGTTTTTGCAAGGAAGTAGAATCAAAATATTGAAATCCCGACTTCGATTCTCGGCTGTGTTCGACTTATCTTTTAGTAACCGACAGCCACATAAGGTGTATGCGCCTCACATCGACTGTCACTAACTTTTCTTCGCGAGTCTATCTGAGAGCGAAAGAAATTGAGTTTGAAACTCGCTGAAACTAAATTTATGTACTCGATGCCACTGCCTGCTGATTTCCCGAAAATACGTCGAGGGTCGGTGAGTTTCCCCTTTGATTCTCTCGTGTCAGGTTTTCTGGATTTGCAGCCTCTGGGAGTGCCGCGTAGAGTGGGTGCACCTTGTGGTACTTCATTCCCGCTCCCCACATGCACTGTGCTTCGTAGTAGTCGATGTCCATAGCCGTGTCTGGGACCGGTTCTCCCAAAATGAGCTGCTCACACACCGTTCCCGGCCACACAAGCAATGTTTTTGTTAGTTGCCGCCATACAGGGCGTGGAACCACTATGCTTGCTACGCCGATGAGGGTGATCAATACAGTAAGGCCCTCGTACATGGACCGGAGATCGCTAGTGAAGGCCCTTTTTACGAAAAAGAAGAAGACAAGTGGAGCACAGACGGCGATAAAAAACTGCATCACGGTGAGCGCGTTCATCGCGTTTTGCGCATTTTTCGTGAACTTGGGCCGGCTCAACTTATTCAACAGCATCCACTTGTCGATCGCGTACTGCAGTCCGAGGCCCACTGCAGACAGCACCATTGCCCACGGGAAAATTGGCCAGCTTAGAAAACATCGAAACTCTGTAAACTATTATAACAGCTCGTCTCATCGACGACCTCAAATATCTAGCATACATAGACATACATACTGAAAAAGTAAAAAAAACTTTCGTGAAAAATGAAAAGTTTCAAAAGGTAACTATAGTCAGCAGTGAGTGCTAGGAAGATTTTCGTACGTTTCGTAACATGATCAAGAACGAAGTGAGAAAGAGTTTAAGGGCAACTGCGTATCGACGCGGAAGGTCGAGCTCGCTTGGTGTCCACCACTCGTAGACTTTATCTTTTGGGAGTTTCGTGGTCTCGAAATTTACTTTGCTTGCGAAAAGGCGTTGCCGCATGTAGAAAGCAAAGTCGCAAAATCCAAAGAAAGGCATGATGAGAGCGTGAATCGCGATCATTATGCACATGCCAATCGCAAGTCCGTTCTCGCTGAGAAACCAGTCTGCAGGGTCTCGATGAATGATAATCTGAATGAACGATGTGTTGATCACCATCGCGGCAGTCATCTTGATCGTTGTGGACCTACAAAATGTGAGGTTCAACGAGAAGAGATAGGAGGACTAGAGCTAGACTATTTCTTCTCACTGACACTCAACAGGAAGATGAGTAGAGATATTGATATAATTATTAGACTCCCAAAGAGTATTACTTTCTTGATTAGACTTAGAAGCAGGAAAGAGTATCCTTATGGTATAATAGAATATTTTTACATGGTCTTCGCCTATGATCAGTACCCGTCCTCGCTTGTTTTGGTCTGGTGATACTCATGCTGAGTGAGCTCTCTAGACGCATAGAGCAGCACAGCATTCAAAAGAGCAACCACTAGCGCTGGAATGATGCTTAATGCCGTCCCGCCCCCGCGCCATTAGAGATGAGAATATCGGTTCATCACGAAAAAATCCTATCGAGATTAAGCGCTATAATTTGAACTTACTTCCGAAGAGCAAAAGAAACCAAGGCAACCTGACGAGGTAGACTCAAACGAAAGCAAAAACAAAGTAAGCCGCATTCCTTAAGACGAAGAGTTCTCCTTCAGATCCTCGCCCCAGAGGTGCAAGCCAAAGGTGCACGCAAAGCAAATACCGATTAGCACAGCCATCACGCTGTAAAGTTGATATCTTTGAAGGCTTGTTTCCCATGCACTTCGCCCCAGGTCTTCCCAATTCACATCCGATGGATTAGGCGCACGTTGGACAGTAAGTAATCTTCCTCCGTAGAGCGGCGCACCCTTCAGCCAAGCGAGGAACAAGATCGAAGTTAGAATATTATGAGAAATGGATATGGTTGGGCTTCTTGCTGCTTCCAAGATGCAAAGAAGTTTGTGAGCGGCTGGTGCGGGTGCCTGTAGTTGGCTCATGATCATTCTCAACATATACCCGTGATGTATTTCAAAGATGTGAGATTATCATGACGAGATGTTTTATTTCAGGACAAAGTCAAAGTAAGACTAAGAGGGAACAAACATGATACAGTTACAGGCCCAGACGACGTGTTCATCCATAACAAGCAATCGGGCGCAGCGCACCAGTCTTCCAAAAATTTTGCGAATCTGAGCAAAATCGAACGTTCCCACTTCTCTAGGCATTGTCGGTGGACACGTTGATCCGCAAAGACTACAATGGCGACGCCACTTCCCCTGAGATTGTGGGCCATCTGGCTCTGCTTCAACTCGTCTGTGACCTGTTGGAACTGGTGTTTTAGTGCGACAGCGCGAGGATCATCCTTGTCCACGCCTTGATTCAACAACTTCCAGTAAGCCTGTCCGAGCTGGCGCTGTTTTTGGGTGTATGACGCAAACACTCCGATGTCCCATGCGATAACCACTTTCGCAACCTCTACTTTACCAGTGTAAAGAATGAAACGAGAAAGGGCCGTTGGGGTAGGCATCAATATCAATGGATCTTCCGCCGTTTCCCAGCAGTATAAAAAATAGAGTACTTGGACTTGCCATGGGATAAAAAAGTTCTACCAAATACAACTGCAGCTGCACCTACTTCTAGAGCCGACTTCTAGAAGGAAAGTTGTGGTTCGAAAAAAGTCTATTGTCTTTCCGGTTCTATGTAAATCAATCGTTCGCCCCTCCTCCCCTAACAACAATCCTGATATCTGTTCTCCATCAATAAACTTCGAGTTTTAATATAATTACAACCATCCATACTACTGCCCCGCAGTGGGAAAGATGAACAAAGCCAATCTCGGTCGACAGCATTGTCTTCGAAATAGGCTTTGATGCGGTCTTCCTCACACCCCTCCGGACCGCTTCGCGGCAAATTATCTACGAAAACTGCATAATCGTTCGGATGCACGGATGCGGCATCACATCGCGCGTCAATACGCTTCTGCCGTGGTTGCTTAGACGATGACTAACAAGACGAAGACCGACATCAAAAATATTTGCTGGAGTATCACAGTGAGAACTGCAGCTGCTGCGGCGTCAAGCAGTAGTGGTTACTGGTCAGCAACTAGTACAACTAATTTTGCTGATCGATGCCTCGTCGGGGGCCACATCCTTTAGTTATATGTATGCAGGTCTAAATAGGTGTCATCTACTGTGCGGTAAGCTAGTATGGCTTTTCATAACTCCGTAGATTCCCGTGGAGATGTTCAGTAGGAGCAGCAGAAAGATAAGTAACCAAACAACCCACGCCTTGTCGAGTCCACCTGGTCCTGCGTTCCCCATGGAGCAGAAATTGCTATTGACCATCGGATCCCCGGGACTCCACAATGCCAGATAATCATCCCGATTCTTGTGGCATTGGAATGCGCCGAACATTGCGGGAGCGTAGAACATCAGGATGAAAATCGACAAGAAGATCAGGTACTTCAAGAAGTCAAAGTATAACACCATCCCCGGACCAAGTTCGCAGAATGCCATGGGACTACATCCCATCATAAATTTATCACATTGAAGAATAAAATCTTCAAACCTGTAATAAATAGTTATTTCAAATAACTTATTTGATATTGATGTAGTGGAAGATATCAATTCATAGAGCACCATGCGCATGCCAAGTCAAAAAATGATTTCAATTCGTGTCTGCGTAAGGCTACACAGACTCAACAGACGTCGGCGTCGCTCGCAGTTTTTTCGATAATAAGAGAACCAAAAGCACAAAAAAAAGCTCACCACTTCAAATAACTTCTAATGTCTCACCTTGCAAATCCCATGTCAGCTAGCTGTTTTGGGAGATCAAGTCCATTCTGATTTGCCATGCGCCGAACAGCCTCGAAGGAGCTCTGCACCTTCCGGACTTTGCACAACTCTTGATGTTCCAAGGCGCTCTCCAGTGTCGGACGCTCTGCGGGTGGCTTGGTTGCCGCAGTCGGAGTCTGAGCCACTGCTTGAGGTGCGGGTGCTCCAGCGGGTGCTTCAGGCTGGGCAACAGTGGCTGGGACCATGGTTACATTCGTAGCTGCCACAGCGATCGGCTGCTGCGCACCGCCAGCCTGTGGCTGGTTTATAACCATAGTCGCCATGGTACTGCGCCTGCCTGAAGTCCTACACAACGAAGGAACTACTTTGATAGTACTAGGTTCAGATGAAAAGCAGTCAGACGTCTTCTATGCCTATGGGTATCGAAAGACAAAGATCAAAGAAAATAACCTGACACATCAAAGGACCACAGGTGCATGTACAACGAACAAGAACCAAATACTTAATCAAGTACGTTTGCCATCGATATACTAAAAATGTGCTGAAGTTTACTCTTTCTCGCGCTAGAAAAGAAATCTTAATATGCAACACGCAGCTAGTAGCGAAGCCGGTGTATCTTCAGCAGAGACAAGTAGCATCACTGTGCAACGGGTTGTCAAAAATATGGATAAGGAATGTACAACATGCTTAGCCTCAATCATATCTTTTCATTATCCACTTCCAATATTCATTAAGAGCTGGATCGGGGACGTTAAGGAAGTTCACGGTAGATGCTCACACTCACGCTCTCTCTCTCTCTCGCACTTGCGCCCCTCACGCTCTTCTTTTTTCCACTCGGATTTCAGGATTACAGATCCAGAAGAGACTCTCGTGATTCTATAAACTCAATAAATAATATCGCCCTTTATCATGACTGAAGATTACATTCGTACTTCTTGCATGATTGCACCTCACGCTTGTTGAAAGTTACAGATGCACTCTCGATAGTTGTTCTGGCTCACTTCGTCTTCATCCCTCACAAACGACCTCTCTTTTTTGTTGCTGCTTGCGTCTATTTTGGTCACGATGATGTTTGCCAACCTCAACCGAAGAAATTGATAAGAACTATAGAAGTTGTTGCAGTACATCAGCATCCTCTATGTCACACAAGGATGCATCATCCTAAACGGTCGATATCACGCGAAGTCGAAGATATGAGTGTCTGTGTTTCTTCTTTCGTTTTCGTTTACATGCTAGAGAATTTCAAGGTACTTGCGTGTTACGATTATGACTGTCCGTCTTTTTTTGTGGCGCTCCAGGAACATTGAAGAAGAAGCGGGTGTGTCATCGTCTTGCTCGGCATCATCTTCTTCAACATCAGAACGTTTGTAGAACGGGCAACGCATGAGCTCAATAGCCTTGAACGTTTCCCTAGATCCCCGCTTGATGTCCTCAACCTCATCCCATCTATGAAATGTGAGGGCGATCTGCCATGCGCCACCGAGCGACGCGACGCCCATTAGGTACTCTTCGTTAGGTTTCAAGGAAACATCATTTTCATCTCGAACATGGTCAAATGTTGCCTCATTCGCTGCATTTCTTTGTTGCGCTGAAGGCGATGACGATCCTTCTGTAATGCGGAACCAGAGCGGTCGATCTGGATCCACAGGAAAATAGCCTCTCTTGTTGGGGTTGCTGTCGAACGTTGTGCCATCATGATCATGATCATCAAGCTGCTCACGCTCAATGACCGGAAGGGCACCGTAAGGACCAAACGTGTGAAGCCACTGTCGCACACTGAGAGGTTTACGTAAACGGACCTTGACCCAGCAGTGTGGCTCCTCGGGTTTTCTTACCTCTCTTGTTCCTTCTGCCGTTTTGGGGTCAGACGATTCGTTCTGGTTTTGCTCCTGAGAACCTACTCTTCTTGTATTCTGTTCCCTCTTTTTTCTTCGTTTTTGAAGCGATTCGTAGTACGTCTTTCTCTGTGCTTCCTTTCGTCGAATGACTTTCATCAACTGTTCGAATCGCGCCTCGTCTTGTTTGGCATCCCTTTGAGCTGCACGGCGGTCTGCGCCTCCTCTTGACATTGACGAATCAGAGCTCGAAGAATCTGTGCTATTCGAATTAGTGACTTCACGCCTTTTCCCATGAGAGGAAGAACCACGAGCACTGCCGCTTCTTATTCTCTTTTTCGATTTCCGGTGTTTTCTCGACTCTTCGCGGTCTTTATCGTTCTCGCTCGAGGAAGCATCAGCGTTTTCGCTCAGATGTTTCCTTTTAGCTTCTTTACGCTTTTTCTCGCGACGCCGCTTTTGGAAAGCTGCCCGGGTTCTTGGGTCTTCCTCAGTTTTCTCTTCGTGCTTACTCTTTTTCTTGCTGTCACTGCCACTCATCTCCTCGTCGAAATAGTCCGCGTAATCTGGTGCTGAACTACAGTTATTTTTGGTGCTCTTGCCATCCTTCTTGCTGTCACGTCCTTCCGCTTCCTGTCTGCTTTGCCGGGCCACTCGCTGAGCACGGTCCCTAGCTGCTCGCGTCCCGAAGGGCTCGGCCGGGCGTGGACTGCACGGTGGCGTCGGTTCGTCCCCCCGATATGGGTCTGCTGTTTGCGTGAAATCCAGCTGACGCCGCTTCTGTGGGTCGTTGAGAAGCTCGTACGCTGACAAGAGACGCTGGAATGCGGCTGTTTCACCTCCCTTATCCGGATGCATGTGCCTCGCCATCCGCTTGAACTGCGACCGGACCTCGCTGTCGGAGGCATGCCTAGGCAGCCCCAGTATTTCGTACGGATCAACATCGCCCATTATGCTCGATTATTGACTAAACATTCACCATCCATCAACATGTATTAAGTCTACGCAAGTATGCGCATGGAGGCCTGTGCGAATATGAAAGTTGTTCGGGGTTTTCATAATATTTGAGATAGAAGAGCCTTTAGTATCTATACACATACTTAGTTCGTTGCCCAACACAACCGCCGAACCAGTAAACAGACTCGTATGCCGGAAAGTCTAAGAAAACCACAGTTAGCCGTTGGCGCTCCTGTCCTAACGCTTTATTAAACCCGTCGCTTGCAACGATCCAATTGATATTGAAGAAATACATGAGTCTCTGTTTTGTGTCACTTCTAGCAAAGATGAAACTCTGTAATGGAGGTAAATTGTCGTGGTATTCGTATTATAGTAGCTAGAAACAAATTAGCAAGACCTGGGGACAGATTTCTATTCGTCACTCAACATTTTTCGTGAAGTTGATCGCCAGACGAATTGTACAAGAAGCACAACAGAATTCAAACTGAGTCACCGCTTGACGCACAGCCTAGCATCACCCTCTTGTAATTCAACTCCTTCCCGGCCTCAGCAAACACACAAGAACATCTTCAAGAAAAGCGTTGTGTCACTTCTTCCGCAAGAATTTTTTACAAAATGGTCATGGACATGGACATGGATCTGGATCGCGATGGATCAGTATTTTCGGAACATGTATGCTGTAATTTTAGGTGACTGGTGAGAAAAGTAAAAATTGCTCAAAGTAGGAAGGCAAAGCGTATCGACCCAAGAGATAGGAATCCTTGTAGGCCTCAGTTATCCCTAGCGCATCGCCATACGCTGAAGCGGCCATTTGTGTAAAGCTGAGTTCGTACTGATGGTACAGGAGCGGAATTCGAATTATCCTGACGCAAGATGTGGTGCAGAATGTGGGTCACAGGAATGTGGCTCTGAGCAACCAGCCACAGCTCGCCCCTCTCAGAAAGCTTGGGATGAGAGCCGCAAAATGCGCCTCGGAGCAGCGTCTCCACAACAGTAAAAGAGTCTGCATGGCCACGATGGACGGGAGGATTCGACACAATGAGGTCGTACGAGAGCTTATCTGTCGTGGGATCACGAGCCAAAATGGTGCTCCAGCCATCGGATAAGAAGAGGTGTCGCGCGTCCGGCACATTCTTGCGTGCTGCTACCAGAGCTAGAACGTCGTTGTCGAGCAAGTCCATGGCAACACTACCGCTACCAGCTGCAGCGTCCCCAACACGCTCTTGCAACTTGTGCTGCTTGTCCCGGAGCGATTCGAGCACACTGCAAGCCAATACGCCACTCCCACTGCAAAAGTCCAATACGCACAAGCAGCCAGCTTGGTTTTGTTTCGTACCCTCGAGTCCCAGTCCCTCTGTGCTTTGCAGTGTCCGCTTTTTCTTGGTTGGTAGTGAAGTACGTGAATCCAACACTTTCGACACCATGAAGTGCTCCCGAAAAACTTGCACCAAGTAAGACGTCATCACATCGACCCCGCCGGCTGCGAAAAGCCCAGGAAACGTTCGCCATTTGCGTTGACCTAAAATTGAGTTTGGGTCGAGCGTGATGCTGCTTCCACGGAGTCCCAGTGGTGCCTGCGCCGATCCCATTTTTAGCTGATCCTCTTCGCTAGTGCTGACTTTCTCGTTACCCAGCTGAACATGCAAAATCGTCGATGAAGACGATGAACTTCCTTTGATCGTATGCGTTCCTTTGAGCAGCCACATAGGTCGACGCCCTTCTTCGCGATCGTGATTAGCATTACCGTAGAGGGAACCTGCGCGTAGCTCTTTGACCAACCTTCGCACTTGCGCGTCGTCGGCGAAACCAAATAGGGCGACAACAGTGTTCTCGCTAATGCGTCCAGAGCTAGCAAGCAGTTGAAGGGTTAGCTTCGCGCTTTCCCTATTCGATCCTAGCGCAAGAAAAGCTACACTGAATGGCTCGCCACAGGATGGACTAGGTTTGGAAGATGATGAAGCACCTACCAGCTGAGATGCGAAAGCCCCTAAAAACGCGCTTCCGGAATCGTTGGTCAAGCCAGCAATCCCTTTCTTCGTCTGCCATGTGGTGCAGGGAACCTCGGTAGCGAAACGCGACCAGGCCGATGATTGGATCGTCATCTTATCGGTCATCTGCGTTTTATCCTCCGTATCGTCACGTGTTGCGAAGGCAGGGGTATCCTTCAGAAGCTTGCGCAGTGCCTTTTGCGTCTTCGCCTCCACGTTAACGAAGAGACAGGATGCGAATCTCGAAAAATTGCCGTTAGATTCAGAAGAAACAGCACGGCGAAGAGCTGGCCCAAGCCCGCTTTTGGCTATACATTCCGTCAAAGCGCTGGCTTGCTTTCGATCGGCCGCCACGGGTGCTGCTCGCATAGCGTCAGAAATGGCACTGTACCGTGCTGCATTCGCGTTCTGAAACTTCTCAAGGATTGGCGACACCGTGGAAGACGCTCTGGCTTGCAAGACGAAAAGAAAGTAATCAGTCTGTGCTAGATATTGCCAATTATCAGAAGCAACTTGCAGCGAAGCGGTGCTGTCCATGAGGGTCTCCACTTGTGCCACTATTCGCGTCACCAAATTCTGTTGGGTTTCGTTGAGAAGGGCCTCCGAGGTTCCACCAGATACAGCAGAAGACAATGTTGAAAACGTGTCTGACACCGTGGATTTCTTGCGCTTGCTCTTCGTGGAGGATATTTCGGACGTAGCATCGTTCTGGTCAGCGATGTTAGCACCTCTCCTAGATGAATCGAAGACACTTCGGCATAGAGCGGCTAAGCCACTTAGTGCCATACCACAGGCGGACTCTGTACCGAATTTTTTCAATTTCAGACTTTTTGCCAAATGCGAAAGCGTCTCCAGCTTCAGAGCGAAGTCGTCGGAAGAACCGGAGGAGCTACTGCCGAACTTACCGATTGCATGAATGCAGTAGGATAGCTGACCCGGTGACAGCGATTGCATTTGCGCTACGAAAGCCGTCATCAAATGCCTTTGAGTCTGCAAGACGAGTACCTGAAGTCTTTTGCTGTCTTTTTCAGTCGCCTCAACAATTGATACTTCCTCCGCATCTAGAGTTGCCACAGCCCAAATAGCATTTGCCAGGTCAGTACCAATGAGCTCCACTTCGGAGCAATCACACAAGAGACGAGAACAAAAACTGGAACATATTGACGCAATCTGGATTGGGAAATACTGGCTCAGGATACCTAGTGCCCAAAGCGTGTTCGAAAGCGACATCGCGGATTTCGCTTTCAAGGCCTCAGAAGTCGACCGGCTTTTCTTGTTGCCAGAACTTCTAGTAGCGTCTACCTTGTTTCCCGTGTAGTTACTGTTATCCGTCGAGCATGCGTTACTGGTCGCTTTTTTCAGTCTCTTACTCGAAGGCTCTACTTCATCTTCTTCTTCTTCTTGGCTTGCTTCATGTACACCGATAGTTGACTCTGTCAATCGCCCTTGCTTTGTACCTTCGAGCTCTGCTCCGTAGTCCTTCTCCACGGCGTGTAAAAACGCAAGCAGTGCCCCCAATAAAGCAGGAATAAAAGAAGCGCGGCTCTTCCGCGCCTTTGCGAGCTTTGCTAATGACCACAGGATCGTGTGAATGCTTGACTCCTCGAGCTGGCCCTCTTTTGTCGATATCGTACACAGATTCCGCACCAGCTGGTGCCCATCCTCATTTACAAGTCGACGCAAAAGTTGTGCCTGCCTCTCTTGAGAGGTGCATGCGAATCGTACCGCACGTTGGATGGCGTAGTTTTCTTGTCCACTAGATTTACCCTTGTCACATAATGCAGGTCCGAAGATGTCGCTGCTTTTGTCATTCGATGCCAGTGCAAATGCCTTAAATATCTGAGGAATCAACGTAGGGCTAGTGCTGGTTTTGACCAATCGACATAACCAGGCATCGACAATTTCGTGACCACCGACTGCATCCTGTTTGTGTGATGAAGCTGGCGCACTTGATTTGTTGCCTTCATCGAGAGCTTGGTGAGTATCCGCAGACAGAGAACACAGGCTGCAAAACGTACGCAGCAGGTGCTCCTGTAAAATAACATTTTCCAAACACTTTTCTGCTTTGTTCTCAGACTTCGCGCACTGCTCCACGAACACTCGCGCAAGTGGAGGCACCATACACTTTTTTGTCGTTTCGTGAGAAGGCAAAGCAGCGACGGAAGCTATTGCACTAACGCATTCACAGATATCCCGCGCTTTGAGCTTTGCAGCATTGGCGCTGCACGTGTTTTCGTTTTGCTCACCAACCATTTCGTTTAGTCTCTTCGCGAGTGCAGACCAGACCTGATCGAATGTAAAGGCAGCAAGCTGCTTTTCCCTCAGGCGCGCCCAACTGCTGAAAATCACCGTAAAGGTCCACGAGTCAACAGAAAGTTGAGACGCTCCTAGCAGGAAGGATAAACGCTTCGCAAGCTCGCAAGGAAGTTTTTTTTCTGAGGAGGAACCGGAATCTTGTGTTTCTCGGGGGGGCCCAACCAGTCCGGGAAGTTTCTCGCAAGCCTGAAGCACCATCGCCAGTTGCGACAGCGACATTTCCGACACGGTCTGCACAAGGGCCTCACGGAACTCGGAAAGCATCCCTCCTACCTTGTTGTAGCCCTGCTCAATTTGCAAGTGGAATGCGGCTGCTGAATAGACAATGGTGGCGAGTTCCAAACCCCTCTTGGATGAGGTTGCATCTTGTCCATCGCTTCCTTTGCCACATTTGCCTTTACCCTTCTTGCCTCCTTTCTTACCCTTTCCCTTGCCGCTCGGGGAAGCTTGACTCTCACCCACACTGTTGTTGAGCAAACCAACTGCAACATCGATCAGGACCAGTGCTGCTCGGGAAGTGATATCCTTTTCTTTTGATTTTGTGCCATTAATATCGTCGGCTTTTCCCTCATTGAGCCAAGACGCGTCCCGAATTTTGGCTATCGCGCTCAGAGCATTGGCACAGTCCTGCAAATTAATGTTGACACTCTGTGTGGCGTGGCTCTGGACTAGCATCGTCATTAGGCTTCGAACGACGTTGCACAATTCTGACGGCACCGTTGGTGAAGACTCATTTAGAAAAATTTTGGAAACACTCCACAGCACTAGCGCTATGCCCATCGCATCAGACGCAAAACTGTCGATCTGCTTTGAGGTAGCCTGACACAGCTTGGTATAGAACGTTTTCGACGAGACAAGGCTCGACGTCGAAGAAGCACTTGATGATGAACTTGCGGTTACTATCTGTTGCAACGACGCCAGTGACCACCATATTTGCGTGAGCTGTCTGGACCACACGCTGTTCTGTTCCAAGTACCATTCCAAAGTCTTCACCAAAGCGGTCCACTCATCTGACATCGTCACATTCGAGGCAGTTGAGGGTGGAGATAACCCCGTTTGTTTTGCCAGAGTCTGCAGATGAAAAACCAGGTCACGAGCCGGAAGTGACTCGATTCCATTTCCGCCTATGCTCCGGAGAGCCTGCATTGTCGCTTAATGTCGTTACTTCTGAAATAGCACTACAAATACATGATGTTGCTCATCCTCAACACTGGCTCCCAACAAAAGAAACAGTACACTCAATAGCAAGCAAGGCATCAACAACACAGAAGTTACATCAACATCAGCAAGAAACTATATACCTGTTTTCTTGTCGCGTATCGGGTGTTGGGAAATGAATTGAAATAAATTGCCGTCGTGATGATCTGCATACGCACAGGAGCGAATAAATGATCATACGCCTATGCGTATGCCAGCAAGCTCTATATGAATGTATGAAGAGATAAATATTTGCAACACCACCAGTTCTTGCGAGTATATATATTTTAGGGGTCATTGTTACTACACTCCACCAAGAGCAAGATCTCCACTAGTAGTAAGCAACGGGCTTCGTACCTAAAGAGATGTCGAATTAAGATCTTTCCGCGTACTAGTAATGATCGGTGCTCTGGCTGATTCTGTTTTCAAAACTCGTATTTGATCTGGCAAATAATAAGTGACGAAGATCCATAGTGCGCACTAGGAGCAGTAATTGTAATTAGAAAGTCAAAATAGACTTTATTGGAACGCTGAGGACCTATTCGGATAGAAGTAGAACTGGAACAAGCATGCAGCAGGAGTCGCGAAGATCTGTTGGGGCTTTTCTCGTTGCGTGATCGCCATTTAGAGCGATCCACAGGGTCGAATAGAGTGATGATCTGTCAGTGTAGGCGATGTAGTTTCTGAGTGTTGTTATTCGTCAGGGACATTGCACTACCGAGACCGACCGAAGATGCCACATCGTTAGCAGCCATTATAGGCACACGGAGATGAGCGGAACAAGAATTATCATGAAAAAGCGAAATGGAAATGCGATCTTCTACTATTTATTCTTAGGCGGAAGAAAAGTCGAAGGAGGAGATTCGATCGTGCCCCGCTTTAGTGAAGATACGCTAAAAAATCTACGACCCAACAGAGATCTGGGAGAAATTTGGAGCGTGAGAAAGTGACAAGTCGGATGATCACCCGGAGGAGCATCTAGGCCTCTGCTACGGAAGCAAGGTTGATAACTCTAATCTTTCAGCAATCTTTTCGGCAATTTCGAACCGCGGACGAGAAAAAAGAGAAATTACTTCGCAGAAATTCGAAAAGATGAAGTCAAAAAGCAACAACACGATGATAGATAGTATCTACGACTACGTAGAACTTGAAAAGCTATGGTGAAACTAGTACTAGTTATGTGAAGATAATTCCAAATGTAAGCCTCTACAGTATCTTCTTGAGGTGCATTGCTGTGATTATACCCTAGCAGCAGACAATTAATCTCAAGTCTAGGCTGTCATTGATTTTGATTTCCGTACACAAAAAAAACGCTCATTCAAGGGACGGAACGTTGTGTATTATTGTCATGAAGCGGAATGGCGGTTGTGGTGTCGTGTTTGTTATGGTTATGCGTCGTGGAAAGCAGAGGTACAAAGAAGTTAAAAACTAAATGCATATTTTCTGTGGATATGGAGCGAGGCGAGCAAATAGTGGAGGAAAGGGTTGCAAACCCAATTGGATAGAGCCGTGAAAACAGGATTTATATGAAGATGCAGTGCCTGCTTGACCAGATGTTTCATGGTATGACTTCATCTTGTTGGACGCGCTTTGGGTGGTTTGCCTAATACTTGCCCATTCTGCTTGGCAGCGGCCTCACGTCGCGCCTGTCCAGCCGCCGAATTGTCCACAGTGGCACGCCTGCTGCTTTGAAATTTTGTAGTTGTTTTCGGTCGTTTCTCAGACATCTTTCTACATCGTACCGCCACTGCGTCGAACTCACGCAGGAAACCAGCCAAGGTCTTGAGAAACATTTCACAAGGCTCCTTGTCCTCTGCGAAATACCGCGTCAAATATTTGCCTAGCAGCTCAGTGTAGTTCCACTGATTCGTCAACAGCGCGCGTCGCATCTCCCCACGCGTGACACACTCGTAGCAATTTGAAACAGTGTAATGTGCGTAGAACGGTACCGATGAAGGACTCCGACCAGGTGGAGGAGAAGCAGCAGGTCCGACAGGAGATGACCCAGGCACAACTGTTTCCTTGACGGTCCCAGATCCAGTTTTCTGCTCGGCAAGCGGTGACGGCATTGCTGCAGTATTAGCAGGAGTGGGGCTGGTTTGTGCTGATGCAGCAGGCTGCTGATACCGCATTTCTCGTGCCGCGAAGGATACAGCGTCGCCGGCGACTTTGATTTTCTCCCTCAGGTCAGCAAAATCGACGCTTTGCGCCACTGCAAGCACGTGACTCAGCTCCGCCTTCAGTTTATCGCTGGTATCGAGAGGAAGTCGCTGCACGAGAACCGTGAGAAGGTCGACTTCACCTCTATCACCTTGAATCTTCATCTCTTTCAACTTTCGCAGACTCCCAATTGAAAAGGCTTTCGTGTAAAGCACTGCGTCTAACGCGTCGTCCTCTTCTTGCTCTGAGGAGAAACTCTCGGTTGTATTTGAGGTATCCTTATCTTCAAGTGCCGTGGAGGAACGCTCTTTCCGTCGCTCTTCCTGTACCTCCTCTACAGGTTTACCTTCGTCTGTGTTCTCGTCTTCTTGAGTACCGTTTGAGCGAGAAAGCGAGCCGCTGCCTTCGCGGGACACGCAACGACCGCTGCCGCGACTGCGCGATCTTCTCCCAGACACCGCAGCTGTGAGATCGACACCGTAGTTAACGTAATTCCCGAGTAGAAGCACTGTCGTCAGTACCGATTGCAGAGACTCGCTATGCAGACACTGGTAGACCGCTGCTTCCACCGCAAGTAGCTCACGCATCAACGAATCTTGATAGGGCTTGCCTTTTTTGCTTCTAGACGAAGCTGTGGTAGGCGTGCCTGTTGCATTCATCTCAGCCCGAAGATCCTCTGGAATCTGAGAACAACGCGCGTAACCAGTCAGGCCTGGAGGTACGGCGCCCAGTGACCCAAAGCCCGCAACCTCAGTGCAGAACTCACGGACTAGCTTCATTACCCCTGGGTTGCTGTCTGCGTGCGCAACTGCGTCGAATGCTGCTGGTTCCATAGCAAGAAAGGCGGTGATCGATGTGCCCTGTGTTCCGTTGGCTACACCACTCACAGAGACAGGGACGGAAGCAGCAGACAGACTACTCGCTGCACTCGTTGCGATGCTTGCGGCAGGAGTCGAGAATATCGCAGCTCGAAGGGGCTCCAGCAACTTTGCATTTTTTGTCTTGGACGAAGACACTGGGCCTATCTGCATCAGGCGAGCACAGCGCTTCTCCAGCGCCGCGGCTTGCGCGGGGTAATTGGTCCCGCTGCATAGGGAGGAGTCGAGCTGGAACTGCATCAAGCGTATTCTCTCACGTGGACGTTTCACTTTTGACGCGAGGCTGATCATAAACTGCTCCATCGGGTGAAGCAGGTGTAGCTTTTCCGCAGGAATTTTTTGTATTTTCTTCTGCTCTTCGTCGGTCGGAAACAACTTCTTATAGTTTTCAAGCTCATCCATGTCGTAACGAACGAAAAAGCCGACTCGCAGCCTCTCTCGTGATAAACTGCCGCTCCGGTGGCTTGCCGCCGGGGGCAACAAGGCTAGAGCACTACGAGTTGTATGTACTGCGGAGGCGTGTTCGTTCTTCGCTTTGTCATCCAGAGCTGCGACCGTGCGCGACCCGCGGGCCTCGTCATCATTCGGCGTCGCCTCATCGTCGTCTAGCTCCGACAGCTCGTTTTGCAAATGGTCTGCCACAGCAGGAGTCCTAGTAATTGCGCACTCCTTAACAATGACATCAGACGGAAGCATGCTCTCCAGGGCTCCAGCACTTGCCGACTTCTTTCTCGCTTCTTTCCTTTGCGTTCTATTGAGAAGATCTGTTTCCGTGGCACTCATGTCTTCACATATCGTTGAGCAACTTCTTGTCTGCGACAGAGCCCCATTAGACAAGACAGTGTTCTGTACGGTAGTCGACTGTTCGCTCTTCGGCGTGCTGTCGTCTGTAGAGGAGAGACTGGCGAAATCCCGCATCGATTCTTGAAACTTCTGTGCGTAATGCCGACTTTTGAGCTCCCTTACAGCACCAACGTCCCGAAGCCTGTGAAGTGGCCGGCACTTGAGCAAATCGGCAACGACGCGATCTTTTGGCGGCAATCGCGCCAGACAAACAGAAAGAGCAAGATGCCGATCACGCGACAAAAACGGCTGCGGCGCATCGTCCTGTTTTTTCCCAGCACGCTTACCACCTTTACCGATCGCATCTCCGTTTTGCCCATTTTCATCTCCAGGCTGTCCACTTCCTGCAGTGCCACTGCTGCCATCGCGCGCGCCCGATGTGCTCTTGGTGCTCGACGAACGCACGCGAAAACCATACTTTTTTTGGAGTTCCGACGCAAAACTCCCTACACTCCGCAAGGGAGCCTTCTCGCGTGCGGCCAAACGCTTATCTAGTGCACGGCGCTTGTCGTTTTCGTCGCCAGAAATGGACTCTGATGTGGCCGACTCCTGCATCGTGGCTGCACGTTGTAAACCGCCTATCGATATTTTTTCACACACAACTCCGCTGGATGCAGAGCGACCGAACACCGCCCGTGGGACGATTTGCCCATTGTCACCGTTTGAGGCTGATACGTTATCACCTTTATCTGCCGAGCCCGAAGTCGTTATTCGACCTAACGGCTTAGTGCTCGACGACGTGCGTTTCAAAGTCTCAGCGCGGTCTTCTTCGGTAGGCGCGCTACCTGAGGTATCACCACCCCTGTTGGGTTCGTCTTCACCCTCGATGACAAGGCTACCGACGCGTGCCTGCTGCTCAGCCTTTGCTGTATCACCAGCAGCGCCAGTCTCTGTAGATGCACCATCTTCGGCCTTTGTCTGCTCTGCTGTATGTTGACCTTCTTTTGTTTTGCCGACTTTTATTGCTGATCCGTCTCCATTTTCTGTAGTCTCATCTGAAGATGTCTCCTCGTCCTCCATTAGTTGCGCACGAATTTCGGCTGATATTCTTGACTCCCATATAGTTTTCCTGCCTGTTGCTTCCGTCGAAGTATCGGTCCAGAACAGCTGTTTTCCAAGAGGCAGAAATCCAGGCCGCTTTTTCGTCCCTGTGCTACCTTTTCCTGAGGTCTTCCCCCCGCTTTTGCTTTTCCCACCCTTCTTTCCACCCTTGTCGCCGGGTGGAGCTGGCTTGCCTCCTTTCGCGGGCGGTGCCGGCTTTCCCTTCCCTGGTGGTGCAGGAGCAGACTTTTTTCCCTTTCCACCAGGCACTGGCGATGGTGACTTACCCTTGCCTTTTTGAGCGTTCGCGTCACCTCGCTTTGCAGTTGCAGGCGAAGGAGGGCCCTTCGTGGACCACTTTCCTTTCGTAGGGCCGCTCTTGCCCACAACACTAGACGAGTCTTCTGGTGATGAAGTAGATGCCACAGTTCCAGCCGTTTCCGCTGAATAAGCTCCGGATGGAGAAGGCGAGGCCGGACTATCTGCTCGACTGACTTCCGATGAGGCGCTTGCTACTCCAGTGTAATTCCCACCTGTTGAAACAGTTGCAGTGACTGGCACAAGCGCGATTTTGAAGCCGTCAGGTACAGTAACCATGTGCCCGCCACATTGTGAAGAAGGCGTAGTCGATCGTGCACCGCTGGAAGTCGTGGCCGTTGGCGATTCTTCTGCTGCATTTCTCTCGCAGCGGCTCGACGTCGCAATACGGACAGCTGCACTTCCACCAGCATTCGGCGAAGGCGGAGGATACGTCGACGGCTCTCCGGCACCAGCTCCAGGATGCAATTCGATAATGGGCGGTGGACCACAAGAACTGAAGGCAGCACTGTGAGGTGGAGAAGTAGATGGGCGTCGAGGTAGACTAGTGCTCAACATTTGTGGGTGATTTGGTAAAGAACCCGGTGGGGGCGAACCCGAGGGCGAACTCCTTCGAGAAAGCGGCTGTGCTAGAGCTGCAGCAATATGCTGAGGAAGGCCGACATCAACACGTGAAGGTGTTGGAGGCCTGTTCTTTCGCCCGGAGGACCCGTGTGCGTTTGCTTCGCCCATCACAGCACGCGCTTGGTGGCCTGGAGTTGTTGCTCCGGGTGTGGCACTCCCACGGTGCGGTGCCCCGCTCGCATCCTCCTTGAAGACAGACGACTCACAGTTTAGTGTTTGCACCTTGGTCGTGTGTGGGAGGTGACCGTTCGACTTCAAAGAACCTACTTGCACTGGTACAACTATCCCTCCAGCCCCTGTGTGTGTGTTTTTCCCTACAAGATTTTGGTATCCTTTGGTCGTAGGCGAGCTCGTCGGATTTAGTGCGTCCAACACGTTGCCACCGCAAGCGGCAGAGACGGAGACCGAAGGAGTCGAGGCAAAACTTTGCGTATCCTCACTATAGCCAGGAGAAGCGACGCTCACATAGAAATTCGAGGCTGACAGCATCGCGATCTTGTCCACCGCAGCACCAGCGACGTCTACTGAAGACGATGGACAAGGAGAGGATGTCACTATGTTTATGGAGTCCACATTTGAACTACGTGACAGGCGCCGTGGGCGTGGTCCTGGCTGCCCCATCACAGCGGGCAACGAAACTGAGGCTGCAGGATTCGGTGAAGCAAGGTATTTCGCACTACAAGGAATCTGACCACCGTCAACGAGCCTTGTTCCTGAGGGAAGAGTATCCACCGTGGCAATTCCGGTCTCGGTCTCAGAGCTAGATGACGATAAAGCCAAAGCAGGAGTTGGACACGCGTCTGAAGACTGGTAATACGTAGTAGAACTAGTAGAGTCAGCGCCGTCTGCTCCCAGCCCTAGTTCGGTTGTCGTTGAATTTTCGTCGCCAGCAAGGTCGTTTCGCATAGGGCGAACAGAAGCTGGCGAAACGAACTCGCAATCGTGCATGCCAGCGACACTGCTAGCATTCCCATGTTTCTTCGAGCCAGCCTTTTGTGTTGACGAGTTATCGGAGTCAACTGTGTGACCAGACGCGGACTGAGACATCTGACTTGTGGAGCACGCAATAGCTCTTACAGTAGCACAAGCTTCAGTTTCACTCTTACCTTCACTCTCTGACCCTGCCGAGGCAAGGCCTTTTTGATCCGCAAGTCCGGCATTCCCTGCGCCTTCTTGCCGTGAGCGACGCGGTGGAGGCGGGCGTGGCTGATACAGTGCTTTCATCTGACGCTGCTCTGGTCCACCGTCATCTTCATTCGAAGGGCACAGCAGATGTCCGGAAGAAGCAGCAGTTACACCGTCGACCGCTGGCTCTGCTGCGCTTGGTCCAGGTCCCAGTGCAGGTCTCTCCAGACTTGACCTATCGTGGTCAGTCCTCCTTGCTCCTGGTTGCTCACTGGTTCCCTGGTGAGGATTAAGCAACTGCGGTGATTGTAGATGGGCAGCCTCTGGGAATGCCATTGGACCTGTGAGCGACAACGAGGAATCCTGGAGACCAAATGCCAATTGCCGCTCTATCGCCGAACGACTCAAAGGTGAAACGAGATCGTCGCGGTCGCATCTTACATCGCTATAACTTGGTTGGTGCGATGAGGATGCTGAAACGGAATCATTGTGACTCTCGTCCTCGACCGGTGGAGGAGGTAGAGCGCCAGGAGGGGCTTTTTGGCTATATCTTCGCTGCGAAGCCGAGCTTCTGCTGCGTCTGCAGCTAGAAACCCGATCAATGTACTCTGCAGAAGGCTGCCTAGTATTTCTTTCGCATGGTTCTGTTCCTCGGAGGTTTCCGTCGACATACTCATGGTCCGTTAACCGCCACGGCTGTTGCTCTGAAATAGCTTTTTGTGTGGCCGTTCCGGGTGCTACAAATACGTCAGCCGGCAGCGGCAGCGGTGGTCTCCTGGTACTACTGGTCGAAGATGACGCAGGTGATGTACCGACGACAATGCGGCCCGCTCCTTCAGGAGGCGCAACGGCTCTTGGTCGTGGGAGCGGAGGCCGCGAGGATGCTCTCGATGACGACGAAGGCAGCGCTCCTCCAAGGTTATCTCCAGAGGGTGACGTTAATGGTTCAGCTGACAGGACATGGACACTCTTTCTTCCTCCATCGCTAGGGCGGGAAGCTGAAGGAGAGGTTCGATTGCCGGAAAGGCCATGTTGAGCGTACTGCAGATGCTCCGCGTGGGATGTTGATGTCATCGTCTCAGAACGAGCGTCAAGCGACTTCGCTCGTGGCAGAACAGGCGGCAGGAACGCTTGAGCGCCGCTATATGCCCCGGCTGCAGCCGAGGACGACGAGGCAGATGTGGCTGCTGGTGTGCTTTCGAGCTTCTCTCGTCTCTTTCGGTGTTTTCGGGTCGCCCGTGCCCGCTTCCTCGCTTCAGCGTGCCTTTTGACGGTCTCTAGCTCGGTCCGGCTTTGGTCCACAGTAGCGTTGTCGAAACCAAAGTAGGTTTCGAGGAGAGACAAGGCAGTCTCCAACCTGTTGTTAGCCAGTTGCAACGCCAGCTTGTGTGCCTGGGAAAGGTTCGACTTCGAAAGGACTCGTGTCGTCGTGGGCGCGGGGCAATGCTTAGAACTCATTTTTCCACATTTTTGATTTCAACCTTCTGCTTTAGTTTCTGATGAGTAGCATATAATAAATGGGAGAGACAATGTGCTAGCTCTCAAGCAGAAGAACAGCCGAGAACCGAGCACCGAGCAACCGAGCGATGCATGTTGATCTTCAAAAAGAAAAGAGTTTTTTTAGAAAGATGAGTCAAATATTAATCAAAGAATGATAGTCAAAAGTCTTAACATACTCAGCTAGCCAGCGCATCTTTTCGAGCCGAGGTTTGCACTGATGTCGCCGACTGAAGAGAAGGTCAGACCGGAAGAGGATGGTTGGATTGTTCTGGGCATACACACCCACGCTCTCCAACTCGATCTGCGGAAAAACTGCACACTGCAACTCGTGCGCACATGTGGTGGAAGCATCATCATTGTTCGGCGTTCCAGGTGCAGGCGAAAGCAATGCAGTAACACCAGGAGCGCCAATCGGCAATGCGGCAACCTGATAAGATAACACGTCTTCAACTTCAAATACAAATGTGGAATCTTGATCTTCATTAAGACTGAGTGTAAGTTGTATTCCTATTCACGTGAAGAATTCTCATTTTCTTTCCAGATTAAAATAACATTTTGTATTTTGTAGCATACATGCAAAAGGACAAGTTGTTTGGGTACCTGCGCAATGCCATTTGTCACAAATGGAACTTTGGCTTTCATTTGCATGATGCCGTTCTCAACTACCGCAAAAGGCTCGCATGATGATTTCGATGATGACCTACTAGTGGTTTTTGAAGAAGCAGTTCTCGTCTTGCTATTGTGACTACTGCAATCTGCAGCTTCTTGTTGTCTGCCCAGAGCTCGTTTTTCGCGAGACTGTTGTTCCATCGCTAGGTCGACGGCATCGGCAAGATCAACTGGAGCGATAACGCACATTGCTCGAAAACTGTCAGGGAGCGACTCGGGAGGAAAGCCGCGCTCCAAGTCTACGTCATCTCCACGAAACTTGATGTTGAGAAGCATGCTCTTTTTGTCTGTGCTGGTGTCATCGTCGTTTGTTTGGAGATTCTGACCCACCGCATGAGTCTTCGAAGTGCCTTTTCTTCTTGACGAGTCTTCAGTTGACGGAGACTGCTGTGTGCTGGAAGACACTGGACCGGAAGATGCTGCTAAGGGAGCGTAAAGGTCGGCTTCGTCCATAATTGCTGTCTTCGTTCCTAAAACGATCGTTGACTTACTTCCATCACGCTTGGCAGAGTTGGCGTTTGCAGTTTCGAGTTCGCCATGGGCAGCAGCGAAGTTCGTGTGCAAGTAGTAGTTCCAGCATGGTGCGTTGTCAATGTAGCAGGTAAGGCACACGTTTCCTTCCAGTAAAACTTGTTCGGCAAAGTGAAACACCGTTTCCCGCTCGAAGTGCATTACTTGATAGTAGCGCGCCTCGCTGAACAAGGTCAAAACTTCGCGAAACTTGCCATCGCGGTCTTTCAAGTGGTCGGTTGCGAGCGAGGAATTGTAAGCGCCGCCGCCCGATGCCACAGCAGTTCCAGCGATGAGGCCTTGGCTGTTGTTGTAGTTCTGTGCGCGCCTTTCAAAAATTTCACGCGTCGCGGCAAAAGCTGCTTTACTGTCGTGTTTCGAGGGCGTTCGCTGCACACAGCTTAACACGCCACCCACTCCCGGAGTCCTTTCTACACAGCTAGCAACCGCGCTTCTTAAGAAGGAGAGAGTCCCTGATTCCGTTGATGGCATGCTAGAGCCTGGTGAGGGCGCACCAGACGCTGCTGCATTACTGAACATCGTGTTCCTGTTACTAGTATTCAAGTGGCCTATACTTGGTGGCAAATTCAACATTGTCGAACCAGTCGCTTGCCCCGCGTTCAGGACCCTTCCATGAAAACCAGCTACGGTATTCTTGCCACCCTTACCCGACGCTCTTGACGGTGGGGTGTACGAAAAGCTAGAGAAGCTGCTCACGCCATTCAGGGTCGGTGTTCCAAACTGCCTTTTGCGTAGCTCCGAAGCTGAGAGGCCGTCTACTTCCGCGGGCAGAGCAGAGGACATAGTCGAGATTGCACTTGCAACACTGCTCGATGACGCAGAGGAACCGAGACCACTGTAGCCACCAGTAAGAGTTGAGAGGCTGTCGCTCAGCGTTGATGCCTTTAATAACGAGGAGGTTGGTGCTTTGTTCTGCAATTTTCGCAGTTCAGATGCAGAAAGGGAGTCGTCTCCTGCACTCGCGCTCGGTCCGCCGGAACGCATTGTGGAAAGAAAAGAGGGCACAACCACGGCCGCACTCGCAGTAGAAGGTGGTGCGGGAGGTGGCGGAGGAGGAGGTGGCGGAGGAGGAGGAGGCGGTCGCGGAGTTTGATGTGCTACTAGCTTCTTCTCCTCGTGCAATATTCTTGGTGTTCCAACAACATTATCGACGGACACACTCGTCTCTTCGGGTTCCGGACTGCTGCGTGAAGATGCGCTCGAAGACAGAGGGGCACCGCTCACATTCACAAACGCTGCATGCCTTGACACTGAAGGTTCGCGTGATCGCGATCGCGGCTGCCAGAACGCTGAGCCATGCGCAAGATCGTGTAATGACGAGCAAAGCGACGCCTCCGTTTGTGCGTCGGAGTTGTCAGGGGAAGAGGCATCCGGCGAATTCTCAGAATCTTCATCCAGCAAATGATCGACGGGTCCTTTTGATAAGCTCGCTGCACTTCTGCTCTGAGAAGGAATCGTGCTATCAGTCGCGTCACTCGAGTACTTGTGGTTGAAACAAAACACGCGTAGGGAGACGCGATGCGGCTCTGGCATGTCACGAAGCGTGACAGATTTCAATCGAAATTTTCGAGAAACTGTTTGAATAGTTCCGTGCCCGCAGGTTTCTGTGCCGGCAGAATCTTTGTCACGAAGCTGGTACGGGGACGCGTGATTTTTGCAACCGTCCGCAAGAACTTGCTGATCAGCTTCACCATGATAGGAAGACTGATGATCATGTGCAACTGCAGCTGAACCATTAGCAATACGAGGTATCGTCTCCAAAGTGTTACAAGCGTTCCTTGCCAAATTCAACTCGCCTCTGTCGTCTATTTGCGGTGGTCTGATGGCCAAGGCGGCACCAAGAGCGCGTTCTCCGTGGACCAAAAAAGTCGAGGACTGGTCCCGCCATAACCACCCCGGCGACGGTAAAAAAGGTCGCTTTCGTTGCCACTCGACGAGAAGCCGATCAACGTAGGCCAGGAATCTAACACATGAGGGTGGTGGAGCTACTCCTGCCTCCTGGAATCCAAGCTCTGGGATCTCTGAAACTTTCGCAAGAAGCTCCGACCACGGTGCATCACGGGCCAGCGCCAACGCGTGTTGTACTCCGGGAGCCGCCGCTGGATGAACATGAGATGCCGAGACAGCACCGCAAGGGGCTGCAGCAGTAGACGAGGTATTTTGTGTCGTTCCCGATACCGAATGAGGCGCAGCAGGATCCCGCTCCGCACTGCGCGTAAATTTTTTGCGCAAGGTCGGCGTTGTAACCAAACCAATCGTTTTCGGCGGAAAGCACGAACCGGCGGTGCTCGGCTGAGCTGAGGCACCATTCGCTGCGTCATAGTCGCGAGTTCCACGCACGAGCTCTGGTGATCGGATTGGTTGTGGTATGTCGTCAACTCGCGCTACTGCTTCACCTCCCCCACACTCAGAGGGCAATGAAGCACAGGAACTCGCTTTGCTCGGGAGAGAGCCAACACTATCGGAGGAGGTGACAGAGTCCGACGGAGGAAGTTGGAGTAGAGATGAATCTTGATGTTCCTCGTACGCGCCCACATTATTCTTGAGTGCTACCGAAGACGAAGAGGCGCAATAACGGTTTGCAACGAGGAGAAAGAGCAGATTATGAAAGCTGCTGTCTTTGAAGTGCACAAAAGCGATGTTCCGCGGATCCAGGTCGAGCCACCAATAAAGGGATAGACAAAACTCCAATATTAATTCCAAAGCCGGCGGCCCATGGTCACTGCTAGAGTTGTAATCGAAGCTGAGCAAGCGCGATCCAAATTTTTCGGCACCGTATTCTTTCAAAATCGAGTTGCCAGATAAATCGAAAATCTGAAAAAAACACCTGTCCTGTTCCTGGCCTTGTTTTTCAGTTGTTTCGCTTTTCGATGCTGCGCCTGCGGTAGGTGTCTTGTCTCCACCAGATGTCGCTACTTGGCTGGCAGCTGTAGCTGCTTTGACGGCCGAAGCGATACTCAGACCTGGCAATTTTGGAATATTTTCGGAGAACGACTAAGTAAGCGTTCCCTCTAAGTCTTTCGTAGTTTCCTAGAATTATGCCAACATCTGGGAGACAAAGGAATACTCTTCACGAATGTGGCCAGGTCATCGATGTTGTTCCGGTGACACTCTTTGTGAGTAGCCAATAGCCAGGGGCTGCGAAACAGTACAATGCGCTCCGTTAATGCAACCACATCAAGATCTGTGTGCCTGGTCACCTCCATCGTGATTCACTCATGCTTGATTCATGAGTAGATGATATTTCTCTACCAGAACCAAACTCTGCATGCGTTCAATCATTCTACGACAGCAGCACCAGTACGTATGCCATGCAGTCGGCGACCTGACTCAAACTATGGTTGTATAATGAGGATCATGCAGTTGGCGGTCGCTGTTAATGCTTTTCTCTTCACGCACAGTTTCCATCTCTCATATCGGGTCTGTCTAGGAAAAGTAATTGGTCCACACGGTTTTTCATTTTACTCTAGCAATTCAGTTACTTACTACAACAGCCTGGATATCTCGTCTTTTTTTTTTCGCTCTTAAGATTCTCATCATCTCTACTCTTCTTCCGGTAGTTTTTGTCATCTGGACCCACTCTGATCTCTTATCACAATAACATAAGTACATGTACAACTTGTAGTCGACTCACATCTGCCACTGAAGTACAAGGACGGGGATGAGTTACGAAATGACGTTCTACTGCATCTCTTTCGTACGTGGTCGGCAGTTGCTGATGCACAGCGGTAGAGCTGAGTTTCCGATTCATTGAGGACTTCTGGATCGCGTGATGAAATCCATATGATAGCTTTTCCTATGAGTGTTTCTTTCTTATACTACAACAACATTTACATTGTTTTGTTTCACGCGAAACAAAAACAAGCTGTTGAATGATAAAGGTGCCATCATATCATATGTAAACTGGTATCCTCCCAAGGACATTCAGCATAAAGATGAAGTTCTGGGTGGAGAGTGAAAAATCATCTTAATTTTTCAAGAGCTCCAGGAACGCTAATTTCCGCAAGAGAAATATCCTTTAAGGCTAATCAATGGCACCCTCAGACAAGTAATTATACTACATGGTTTTCCGCTTCTTTTAATAGAGTTTTTCAATGGTCAGGAACAGCAAGCATCGTTTCCTTTGTGAACCCTGCTGTTAGCAGTCTTCTTCCGGCCTTCAGCCCTCATAATTTTTTTTCTTCCATGTCGCTCCCGAAGTCGTCGCCGGGTTTCGCTTCTCGTTTTTACACCGGTATCAGGTAACAGTAATTCTTCCAGACTGGCTTCTCATTTTACCCCCCCTCTTGCCGCGCAGAGCAAGTGCGGCCCATACAGGTCTACCATCTTTGTGCAGACTTTCGCTATGTTTCTGCAGTCGTCGATGCCATTATGATGCCGACCGTCCAACTCAATGTCGAAAGCCTGCAGCATACCTACCATTCCATAGCCTTTCTGATTGTGCGTAGCTTCGAAGGCGTGCTTCACGTTGCACCAGGATTTCACTGGACTTTTTGTGGCCCACCAGTTGGCTCCGTGCGCCTTCTCCTCGACAGCCCCTTTTTTGGCGGCTTTCTTGTCCTTGGAATTCTTGGTAGCAGCAGCTTTTTCACTTAATGTTGTGTCATTTTTAGTACCAATGTCGTGGGCGACATCTTTCTCCTTGCCAATAGAATTCGCCTGTTGTCGCTGCGAAGCCAAGTTCTTACTGGTCACTGTGCGCCAACTGCTTCGGCAATGCCTGACCGAAATCGAAGTCACCACACAAGAGAAGCAAAGCATTCGGATACTGAGCCACAAATCGAAGCCATCGCTTGAAGACGATCGGGAACGGGTCAGCGGCCCCCACCTGCTCTTGGTCTTGTGTTACTTATGCCTGTTAGCCAGGTATAAAACTCCGTCACGTTGGGAAATAATTGCGGCTTCACGTAGATAGTGATGAAACTCGTTAACAGGCCTTAGCGAATAACGTCCCTTCTTGCTCGACACACTACCTTCAACGAGTTCCACAACAACGGTAGGAAACTCGATGATCTCAGTAGCGAAGTTTTCAATCTGCCACTTTGGATCACTCCACTCCGGGTTGTGGTCTCCGCGAGGAATACAATTGTACTCGAAATCGAGAATCGCAACGTACTTGTACGCCGGCGCGATGGCCGTGTTGCCATCCGCGCTACCGGTGGTCTCCGCCCCTTCACTTGGATTTAGTTCGAGTTTATCAGCACGACAGAAAATATTCACAAAATCCTCAACGAGAAATGTCCTCCTCAAGATTATCGACCTAGCCCACGCTCACCTCGGCGGCGCTCGCGGCAGATGCTGATCGCTCTTGAACTTGATGGGCCGACATGGCTTGAATACGAAACCGTTTCTGGAAATAGAAATATGAGACTTTCGTATGATACTCTAATATACAGAAGTTACAGACGCAATATAACCCGTCCCAATTAATATTTCTTTGGGTAACCAGGTTTATATCATAAATTGAATTCGAAGAAGTAGACGATGAAGTAGATCCATCTAGATAATGTCGTTTGTATTTCTATCGCGGTCGTGTTGGCGTTGGCCTTGGCTTGTAAAAAATAATATCGCGAGCGTGCGCAACTTTCAAAAAATCTTGTCACGAAAAATCAAGTTCGATGAACTAAGTAGCTGGCGGGTAAGTATCAATTGGATTCGGTTCTAGGGTGGAAAAATGTCAAAACCTGCATGTGCACACGGAAGATGGCAGGATAGCATAACTCTTAGTTCTCGTTTTTTTTCGTCCGGCGTAGTCGGTGAACGTGAAACTTACTAGATTGATTGATTAATGATATTCCATGAATCCTCGTTCCGACTTTCTAGTGAAAGCGAGCCACGGAGAGGATTTTTCTTGTCAATTCCATGGAAGCGTTCTCTTATTGATGCTGATCATCCTAGCACCAGAATAACATCCTCTTTGTGTCGGATCGATCTTTCTCGAATGATCTTTCAACATATTCTGGAGATCTCAAACTCAATGATGGAGTTTCAATTCATCTTGATCTTTTGAGCTCGAGCCGAGTAGCCGCATCTACAGGAAGAGGTTTCTGCATGCGCATCACTAGAGAGGGCATGCATTCCACTGAAACGGGTTTTAAAGCTGGACCTGGACAAGAGACGACGACGATCATGAGCAGATAGGTACTCTATCAGATGAACACGCTGTAACACGACGCAGAAGTTTTTGATGTGCAGGTGGTTCTGCTTCAGAGTGATTCTCTACTAAATAGAGAGAACTATAAACAAATCACGACTTGGAAAAAATTTAAAGTCGGGTTGGAGCTGAGGAATCGGCCTGAAACAGCATAGTCGTGTTCGTGGGTGGCAGAAGGCACCGATGGTACTGTTGGTGCGGTTAGGCAATCACCTTTTCTATTCTCGCGAGTACGTCCTTTTCCATCTCGAAGAAACTTGAGTACCGCACATCACGCTCTCCGGCTTGTATAAACGCGTCTCCTTGTGCAGATAGTGCGATATTTCTTGGGAAAAGCCGCCTTCGTTTTGCTGCTTTCTCAAGGTCGTTCGCCTTGAGCTCAGGACCTGGATCGCAGAGTCGAGGTAGCTTTTTACCTATCCACGAGAAGGGGAATTTCTTGTTCGTCGCTTTTTCCGTAAGGAGAAACTCTACACACTGGCGCGCCTTATCTCTTGACTCAAATTGCAAATCGCAGAAAGTCGTGATTTGTTTTTGGTCGCCAGCAGCGCTTTTGCTAGAAGAGACCGTCGTTGACGCTACACCGGCAGATGAAACACCATCGGCTACATCCTGCTCGTCATTGAAGAGAAACACCGTTCCCTCGAAGCCACTTATTTTGCGATCCCTTACTAGTTGCTCGAAATCTTGCTGGATGCGTGAGATCACTTGTCGCTTATTTGCGTTTGTCAACAGGTCGCTTCCTGAGGCTGGAGTTCTTAAACTCGATCTAGAACTCGTCACCAGGTCGCCAGCTCGTTTCACATGTATGATGACTCGCGCGTCCCGGAGTTTCACCGTTTCTTTCTTCACTCGTACATCCAGGTCGTCCCTAAGAAAGCGTCTGCGCTCCTCATTCTTGCGCTCGATGTACGCGCGATTCGCGGCGCGTATTTTGCTGAGCTCTGCGCTAAGTTTCGTGACGCTGCTACTCGACGTGCTGCCTCCCATCTGAGAAGAGGGGTCTCTTCCGGGTTTGGCAGACACTCTGCCCATTCCTGCGGCTGCAGCATTAAAGAACATGGACTGCTCAGCTGCCTCCTGTCTTCTCGCTTCCGCCTCGCGCTCCCGCTTTTCTAGCTCTTTGGCCAGGCGCGCACGCTCTCCGCTCTGCTTCTCGAGCAACTCGCGTTGTGCCTTTCGCTTTAGTTCCTCTCGGTGAATCTCCTCTCGCACCGCCGGGTCCAGCAGCAGGTCGCAGACTTCCTTGATTTTCACGAACATGCTCGAATCCTTGTCCGCCTGTTTATCCGGATGATAAACCAAGGAGAGTTTCTTGTACGCCTTTGAGATTTTCTTCTCCAAGGCTGCCGCGGCCTCAGCCGGCGCACCAGGACGGCAGGCCGCGGCACCCTCGCTGGCATCCAACTCCAGCACCGCATATAAATCGGTCTTCTCTCCATACTTCTCAAAAAACTGCTTCAGACTCTGTCGAGTCGGATCACGCTTGGACGACGCCATTTTATACTAGTAGTAAGTATCTTCAAGAGGAAGTACTGTTAACGATGTGAGGAGCAGCACTATGGAATCGAAAAGTACTCATCTAAGTACGATACAAGTCAAACAAGTGGAACCGCAGTGATAATATTGAATAATACACATCAGTCGACGGAGCGTTAAAAATTTGGAGATGAAATCAGGTCAAAAACGTCCGTGGCCGCTGAAAATTTTTGCAACAATCATCTATGTAGGTGCTAGTTGTACACGTAGACCTAGCAGTCGGCTTACCATCCCAGACTCCATGTTATTGTTAAGTAATCTGCATATCATTCACGTACTAGAGGAGAGGTTTTCCTCCGACCTAGCGTTAAATGTTAAAATAACAGACAAAGATCATGAGAAATCATCTTCTCCACATTCCATGCATATGGATATGCTGAAATCACGAGGCACTCTATGTGCTCAATCTTGCATCACAGACAAAGATCACCTTCAAGTTCACAATGAGTGTCTCTAACCCAAGCGCGGCATAAAAATTTAAAAGGGGGGCGCAGCATTCGGGTCAATTCAATCTTCAGACAATTGCTATTCGGAGGTCGGAACCGCATCCATCGGAGCTTTTCAGATCATGATCATCGGTTCGAATAAAAAGCGTCTGTACATCAGCAAGAACATGACGAAGCCGCTGAGCAACTACATCCGATCTGATTCTGTATTTTCCAAGTTTTTCAGACTCAGACACTTTGGATTATGTTTTGAGAAAGTTGCTCACAACTGAGACTGTGCTCTTATCTTTGTCACAACTCGGATTTTTGTTGAAGAGTAGGTGACGTTTGTCTCTTATCATCTAGATCTACGACCAAAATCTTTTATTCGGTTGATTCGATTTTGTCGTGTCGGTCGATCGCGATTCTTCAATCTTGTTAGTAAGTACTTAAAAATATTTATGTATTATAGCTGCTTTCATTCAGGATCAGGATTAAAATCAGGAGTCGTTTGAGTTTCGTGGTATGCTGGGATCGAACTCCAAAAGCACCTGCTGTACTGATTACTACGGATACTTCTTAGTCCGCAACGGCCTGTGTAACGATGTTGATTGCTTCATTTTGAAGAACCAGTCCGCGCCTACCGCGAGGTCAGACGCGTTGAGAATTCTACAGGACGACCTGATGAAAATCAAAATTACGTTACTTACTAACATTTTTCTTTGTGGAAAGGTATCACGCGATGATGGTTTTCCGCAGGGATCGACATCGAAGCAAAAAAACTCTTTTTTAGTTTAAGAACTACTCAGATCTTCTTTTATGTAGCGCATTTAGGTAGGGACTAGGTACTTTTTGCTTCGATGAGAGAACAGTGACGTCGCTTTTTCTTTTGCATCATAAACATAAGCATAGATTGATAGATAAGTACTGGATGTATGATTGAGTCACTCAATGTTAAAAATCAATGTGAAGAACAGATACTTAGAATTGAAATAATTGTAATGTTGCCCCCAGATCTACTGTTTCTGTATGGTGAATTCTTCAACAAGGCCTTGGGATGAGTACTGAGATTCAGGGGTGGAGCAGATCCACCGAGTAAGCCTGCGTTTAAACATCAAAGTTATTTTTTGATAATGCCATCTGCAACTGCATTTGGATTTATGTGACTTAGCGTAAGAATTTTATTTGCCTGCAGTCCGTCAACTATAAATATTTCTCAGGACGATCAACGTCAACCGACGTCATTCATCGCCAGCTTATGCAGCTGCGACAAGTCCGCGGTCCACATGAACACGAACTAATGAAGAATCGACATACTCGACTGTTTCTCTCGCCTCGCGCTTCACGATGAAGCGACGGCGCCCGTGCCCACTAGAACGATAAACGTCGACGAATGTAGCTCGAAAAGGCTGTCCTCGTCCTGTTGGGCCACTGGCAACGTCAACAAGGGTCGCCTTTTTCTTGAGGACCGTCTCGAATGGAACTAGCTTCGTCGCACGCTCGTTGTCGGATACACGGATGCTCACCTCGCATTGACCAGCAAAGGCGGCGCGGATCGTCCCAGTGGAGTGGTCAAAGCGTTCGCGGAGAGCAGCAACGGCAGGAGGCTGTTCGCTGCTCGAAAAATGCAAGACGCAGCTGTCAGGCTCTTCGTTGTAACAGCGGACAAATGCCAGCCGAGGCTGCACATTCATGAACTGGTGGCCACCAGTACCGTCGAAGTCGCCACAAACTGATTCTTGTCTTCCCGGAGGCAAGAACCTAAAATTTGATTTAGAGTTAAGGTAATGATAAGCGAAGACAGAATATCCACCTGTCGCTTTTTAGCGGTGCCTAAGCTAGCAAGATTGGAAAAGTACTACAGATTATACTGTGGACCGTTGACGATACAATCAGAATCACTTATCTTAAGTAAACACTAACACTTCCCGACCTTCCCCTTCGGCTCCGCGAAAATGAAAATAAATGTCTTACTTAGGCAAAACCAAAAGACACAGAATCCTGTAGGCTGTAGCTGATTGCAATACATTGATGAGCTTCTTGTGTGGAAGCTCGACACCATGCAGTACTACCTCGGACTGTTTGGGCACCAAGGTCTGCCACTGCGCCACCCAGATAGCGTCTGCGCGCGATTCGTTTTCTCGAGCAACAAGGAGCTCAGCGCTCGCATTGCTCGAGGAGCCACCGCCATCGTCAGAATCTTGAAGCGACTCGAGCACCTTTACCTGTCTGCCGTTACGAAATGCTAGCGCAGCTGGCATGCCGTGTAGTATGACAGCATAGGGATGATTTCTTGAGAGCACCTGCGAAGCAACGGGCGGATTTCTGGGGGCGCGCATTATCTGGAAAGGGTCGTCGGAAAATGAGAACGCGGGCAGCCTTGGCGCAGTGAGATGCTGGCCTGCGAATTCTCAGAGAACACGCTACCTCCGAAGTAGCTTCTTCCCGCGGTTCCTGCGTTGACGCTAGGTGCTTGCGCGGCGCTTCGCGTAGGGGCAGCAGCAGCGTTCCTCGTCGAAAGTGAGCTGCTGGAGCCGGATGATGACGACGATGATGAAGGTTCAACATTATGAGAAGCGGGGGCTGGTCGTGCTGAGCGTGAAGACGAGGACGAACTAGTTCCAGCGTTGTTCCCTGAGAGTGACGCAGATGAAGCGTTTCTTTCCTGGCTCTCGCGAAGCGAAGCTGCGACAGCAGCCTGTATTTGCGCATCATCAAATGCGCCCTGATTTTTGTCTTCAGATGATTCCGGTCGCTCTTCTGATCCTTCTTCCGCGAAACCGCCATAGGCTTCTATAATCTCCTTCCAATTCTGCAGATGCCGCTGATTTTCTGCGATTTTGTCCTTCTGCTGGCGCCTCCTGCGCATGCTGTTTACCTCCTCTGAGCCTCGTATGTCCTGGTCGATGCGCTGCTTGTAGTCCTCATACTTATCAGCCGGACGCAACCGAGGCCGGATTTTCTCCAATTCCGTCTTCCGCTTGTGTTTCGTCGGACAACGACACGAGGGACAACGTCCGTGCTGGCTCCGATTTCTGTCTCGGCATTCTGCTCCGCAGAAATAGTGACCGCAAGCTGTCATCTTCAAAACGGGGATTAGAGATCGATTTTTTTTGAGTTGAATGATCACAACGAGATGACTGCTACACAGGTGGCTAATGTATCAGGCAAGTAGATTCGTCTCAGATGTATCAGCGTGAGTGACATTGACGTCAGTAGGTAGTATCATCTTGATCCCCAATGAATGAAAGAAACAAGAAAGACACAGCTGGCCCGGAGCAAGAAGCTTCCGCAACCACATCTATTTCTAAGTAGTAGCGCTATCCTTTGTCTTTTCTTTTCCAATAAAGACAATTACAAAACAGGCCTTAACATATAATCCACCTCGTCCAAGCAGATCACGCACATTTCCGTTGCTTCCTCATCGTCGGCTATGCCTGTCTCAGTCAGCGAGTCCAGAGTTACGTGGTCGCCCTCACCTGACCGCAGCGAACTCCTCTCAATAGTAACTTCCCCGCGGCTGCGCTTGGCGTTATCTTCCTCGAGAATCTGCGGCGGACGCTTGCCATTGGTAGCAGAGGAGGATGAGGAGGATGATGCCCCCGACGCTTGTGCGTGTGGGTCAACTATGACTGCGGCACGGGGGTCCTGCAACGAATACGAAGAAGAGGAGAAAGACGAAGGCATTATCTTGCGTTGTTCTAGATTCAAAAGAGAAGTTATCGTATGGGAATATTTATATGTTCCAACGCTCAGGGCGACGGCGCCCCTCCTAGCGCAGGGGGGGCGTACCGTCGCCCCGGACCCTTTTGGGAGCCGTCTGCCGGGAGTGGAAGGCTTCCAGAGGGGTCGCGAGAGACCCGGATGGCCTTTGCATGTACCCTACAGACCTGCGAAGCTGTCGATTGCTGCAACCAAAGGGGACGCTTCGGTTCGGCTTGCTGCCGCTGTCTCGTATTGCGCTTCATTCTGTGCGGAAGACGACGCGCTGCGCCTGCCTTTTCCCAGGGGCCCAAGGGGCCCCCTCCGCTCCCTTCCACTCCAGCCGCCTGCATGTACTCGACAGGCTTCCGACGTGCTTCGCCGCCGCAGCAGTGCGCCGGGTGTGGAAGGCCTCCGAAGCCGGCAAAAGGCGCAAGGCTGGACCCCCTGAGCCGTGTGGCCTGTACCCTCCTGGCCCTGCTTGCTCTGGAGACCGTGACCGCCTTCGGCGGCCTTCTCCCCTGGAGGCCTCCAGCCTGCGAGGGTCAGCAGAGGCCACGAGGTCCCTGAGGAACATGCAGAGAGGCGCAAGGGGACGCCCGCGCCCAGTTTTGACGCTTTCCACCACTAGAATCCGCGAAAATATGCGCGGAAAAGAGCGTGCAAGCGGGCCATCCACAGGGGAGGACCGTGCAGCCCCGCATCATATATATTGTATGTTGTAGTTGTGTCAGAGTTGCAAATTCTTCCAATTGTGACGATGTGTTAGCAGTAGCACTTTTACTAGCTGCATGTTAAATTTACGTAGACTGAAGAGATCGATTGCTATCAGCCACCGGCACCGACGTCTCGTCCGGCATGGATAAAAATTCGAGATCGAGGAGAGATCGACTTGTAGAGCACCAATGTTTCATCTTCGATACGTAACACGTATACGTGGCCTAACTTTACCGCTTCGCATAATTCATAGACGTTCAGAAAAAAAGCAAGGATATGACTTTTTGCATAAGTCGCGTTTACTTTCTAGATATTTGATAAAGAAGAAAGAGAAACTTTCTTCACTCATCAAGCACAAGCACAAGCTCACGAAGCTGCGCTTCTAAGGCCCACCGCCGTGGAAAGAAGTGCTTCAGCACCTCCGGTTGGAGGAGATGCAATGGAAAATCGCCGCGATAATAGGACTTTGTGAATGTTGCCGCACGGACTTCTGACTGCCACACTTCAGAAGAACGAGACATGCTCGAAGATGCACCAAACAACATCAGCGAAGGAGAGGACGAACCAACGACCTCATATTGATGAGACTCATTTACTTCGTTCTAGTCGTGTTGGTTTTGCCCTTCGTTAGCAGCATTGGGAAATATCGCGGCTACATTAGACTATACACAATTGTTCACTTTCACCTAGACCCACGTCAACGCCCTTCCAGTTCCAGCGCACAGCGCCTTTTTTCTCAGTTAGACGTCGGAGGCCACTCCGTCTCCTCTTTTCGGTCATTTATTGCCTGTTTCTCAAGCAATAAGCCCGAAAGAAAAGCAACTTGCTCTTGTAGGCGCTTTGTATCTTCGCGAAGCTTGGCGCTTTCCTCTTCTAGCGGGATTGTCACATCACGTTCGCGGACTTGGTAGTATAGCAGGAGCGCTTCTTTCTCTGCTGCACGCTGTTCTTGATCGCTAACGGTACGCTGTAAAAAAAATGTCACTCCATGATTAGAAAAAGGAGAAGTCTAAGAGCACAAGCAGTGGTCCAAGAATGAATATTTCTTCATTCAAAAAATATCAATATGTCCTTGCAAAAGCACATAAAATTAAGTTTAAGCTAGAGCTTGGAAAACTTGATAGGCTGTTGAGGTGGAACACTAAGCAATGGCATTTTCTTGAACATTACAACCACAAAGAAATGATTTCCTTAGAACAGCGTCGCTCTTCCCACGAGGTTACCATGTATTTTTCGTCGCAACAAGAATGATCTTCAATAACATGATCGAGAAAAAGGAGTGAGTACACGTACCTGCAATTCCCGGCGTTCAATGTCAGCCTGGTCCAGACTCGTTGCCATTTTTGCGGCTTGCGTTTTGTACATTGCGACCTTTGCCTGTAAAATTTCAATTTCAACTCGGTTTTGTGATAGTGCTGCCTCATAACGGATGCGCTCTTGCTTGGAAAGACTCGCTTCTCTTTCCAACAGGCAGCATTTATCGAGCAAGTCCTCCATTTCCACAAGCTCCTCTTGCCGTTTTTCTTGCACTAACAGGTGTTTTTGTTCCAGATTCCGCAGGCGCAGCCCGAGAACTTCTGCGGTGGCACCGTTTGGATTTGGTAGTCTTTCCTGGTCCTGATCAGCATCTTTGTTATTATTCAAAGCATTTTTACCAGGGGACGTAGATCTTTCTCTTTGTCTGCTCGACGGCGACGAGGATGTGATGTCGGGTGAGTTCTTAACCCTTTGTGGTCCAGCCTGTTTTCCTTGCCTTGCCTGAGTCGCTGCCGCTGCTCGTCCAGGCGTAACCGAGGATGACCTCTTAGGAACACTACTGCAAGACGAACTCAGTATTTGACTAGTACTAATCAGGGTTCCGTGACGTACTCGTGACGAGACAGAAGGAGATTTGGTCTTTGCGACGACTGCACTGCTTGAGGAAAGTGTCTTCGGCTTATCCTCTATTTGCTTAGTTGCGAGTCCTGACCCTGACGACGTGGTTGTACTAGCTGCATAAGGTGTGCTTGTCGGTGATGACTTAATATTCCGGCTTCCGGAACCACAGACTGTCGTGGACGTAGGTGACGCTCTAACCCGTGATCCTGATGGGTCCCCAGCTGAACCTGACTTCACGGATCTGCTCGTGGACGCGACTCCGAAGTTTGAAGACGGCCCTATCGAACTACCAGTAGCAGTACCAGTTCTAGTCTTCTTACTACTATCGGTAGATCGGCTCAGAGCAGGGTTTTTCCTTGTGGACTCCATCGCCCTGCTGTCCGCGCATTCATTTTTACGACCCTTCGTAATCCCTGTACCTGCTTCCGTGCGATTCTTACTACCAGTCATGTCCTTTTTGCTGCTTGTTGAGCAAGGCCGCCTCGTCCGCAGCAGCGCACCTCCACCCGAAGCTGAGGCTGATGCGGTTCCAGAACTCACGCCAGGACTTTTTGCTCGAAATGTTGATGAAGATGCTGGATAAGGGACTTTGAAATGCTCTCTCGTTCTAGATGACGCTCCTTGCCCGCCTTCGTAACTCGATTTGTTTCCTGCAGATACACCTTCCTTTCCGCCTAAAACCCTATCAACTGGACTGAATTCGAGCTTCTTGTTGCTAGACACTTTTTCTCCAGTGTTTTTCTTTGTTATTCTTATTGCTTGTTGCGGGTTATCTACGTCTTTTGTTGTCCTAGCGGCTGAACCACTAGAGCCAGCTTCCTCGGGACTTTCACGCGGAAAGGGCTCGTTAAGCCAGTAGTATATCAGTGGAACTTCTTCTTTTCGAAATTTTCGAGCATCGTTGTTTTCGAAATATGTCCAGGGATGACGTGTTACTTCGGAAATCTTGTCGCCCAACCAAGGGTCCACTAGCGTTTCTACCGTGGGCGCTGCTTTCACACGATTTTCGTCGCTGGAAATCTCCATTTTTGACCTGCGTGTTGTCTGGATCTGTCACTCGTCGGTCGCCAGCGCAGTCACCTTGATTTGCAAAATGCAGACGAATAGTATCAAAGCAAGGCTCATCCATGTCCCTTATTGTTTCAGCTCGGTGGTTTTTCGGGCAAAAGCACCTCCTGCTGCTTCCCGCCTCTCCATTTTTTTCACTCTGAGAACTCACATTACAAATATTGCCATGAACTAGTAATCATCGGGTAGATATTGAGCCACATGATCCCTCATCCCTAATCTCTCATCACATGCACGTCCTTGCTCAACAACCCTTGCTGCACTGCAACATGATCAACTGTGGCAGAAGGATCGACAGGATCAGCTTGCTTGAAGTGTTGAGAGATTGGATAGAGATGACACGCAAATCCTCGTCCTCCTTGCTGCTTGTCGGACGCCTCGACCTCCATTTCAATGATTATGAAGTGACTTACGATCAATAAAAGTTCTTCAAATGACGTTCGCGAATTTCCTTATTCGTTTTCACTTTTCACCGTGTATCCATGTCACGAGAACCTAAATACAAATAACACAAGCTCGATGCAATGTTGACGTGATACAACACTTTTGATGAGGATGTTAAGGTAGACGTTCTTGTACCTCTTTAGCTCAGCTGTTGTGTGTGGTCTAATCAGAAACATGAACTAGTTAGTAGCTATCATCTGTAGGTACAACATCAAGGGGAATCAGAGGAAACAGTAGTCGTATATTGCACACATGTAGTAGTGGTTGTTTAATACTAGAACTTGATTAACAGTTTTGATAAAAACAGCGCCTGATGCTGGTTATGACATTAACGAGTCGAAGTCGATAGAACTCTCCCAAGGGCCCAAGGTTGAACTCGAGCTAAGTAAAAATGACAAAAAAGGACTGCTGACAAATTAAGCCGAGACAAACATTACTTTATTCTGTTCTTCTGACTGATGATCATGACCAGCATCTATGAGTTTAAGCTCAGCAAGATGCTTCCATTCATTTAACAATGTCATTCATTATCATTAACGTGATATCAATCTGGGGTTCGACTAATAAATACAGGTATTTTTTCTATGACAAACACCAAGACATGACAATTGATTCTCAGCTTCAAGAATTCCGTTCAGGGCGCACCGCTCCCGCACCCTGTCATTGGGAGTTGATGCGTTCCTGCGGCAATGCCCAAGTTGTATTTCGCCAGTTTGCTTGCGGTTCCGCCCAAAGCATGCAGCAAGAAATTATCCAGATTTCCGTCAAATTCGTTAAGCAAATCCATGCGCTCCAGCAACGTAGCTGCAGCAGTAGGCTTCACAAGAATAGGAAAGTCAGCAGCCGACGGGAGTCTCGAAACACTCCAGGAGTTCTCCAAAAACATGTTCTGCTCCTCAGGCTCCTCATCAGCCCTTGCGACCCCGTCAGCGGTGCTCCGAGAGGACGCACCTCCATGCCCGAACGTTTCCACTTTCATTTCCATTTCCACGCTCATCTCGACAAACGCGGACTTTCCGGCGACTTCACCTGGACGATTCTCGAACGCAATCAAGTCTGGCGAATCCACCCCGAATCCATCATGCTTTGCAATTCCCAGTGCCTAATGAGAAGAATGGGTAACAATGTGAGATAGATGAGACAAAACTCGACCAACTATAAACAAAAAGAAAGAACACCAACGCCAAGCAAAAAAATTCTTTTAACTAGAGTTTCTCATTTTTGTTTGTAGTACAACTACAACTATGACATCAACGAGCTCAGCCGAAAAGAGATATGTGTACCTCCAACGCTTCAGAGATTCTAGTCCAGACGATGGGCGCTAGGTTGTCAGGTCGTAAGACTATCGCGCCGTACGGTCCAACCTCATCGCCAGACGGATCTAGAGATGCTGAAATGGTGTACCCGATACTTCTCGTTTTTGACCTGAAAAATTTGGAATGATGTAAGGATATTCTAGAGTCTTTTCGATTGCCCACGACGTGCGTAGTTGTTTTAGAGTCTGTTTTGGGCTTCACGTGAAACGATCCCGAACCAGATCCCTCTAATTCTAAACATGATCCATCCATCTGAGCAAAGGCAAAACGAATAGGAATATGAAGGCAAAAAAATGAAAGCTCCAAGCAGGAAAAGAATACTCGGCATCCTTTACGCGAGTCAAGGCTCCTTCGAGGGAAGCGACCTGCGACAGGTGCCTGCGAAGACTGAGTCGTAACGGGTAAAAGCTGTCGCGCACTCGCGCGATCTCGCAGCTTTGAGAGCCGCGTCCAGGCTCGAAAACGACGTAGACTTGTCCCGCAATCTTCGAGAATGGCCACACCAGATTCGGCGTTGTACTAGTAGTTGACGAGTCGGATCCCGTGTCCTGTGAGTACCAATCTCTCTCGTACTGGCTACGCAATGATTGTTGGTTTGTGTGATCATCAGAGGAGGTCGGGAGCACTCTAGCTGCGTTTCGCTGCAGAAGCGGTCCACTCCACAGGCTGAAATATAGATCAAAAGCGGTCTCCAGTTGGCTCTCGAGTTTTGCATCGTGGGCTTTGCTTAACTGATCTAGAGCGACTCTAGCGGCTTTCAGAAGCCCGGTAGACTCTGGCGGAGCTGCTTTCGTCGCACTCGAAGTCGAAAAGATCGAACTTGTTAAAATGCCACTGCTGCGTGTGCTGGGTGAAGATGATGCGAGCACATTCTCGGACAAGAGATCGACGACGAGCCTGAGGTTGATGAGGATGATCAGGAATCATGATTCTGGAAGACAAGCAGAAAACGGTTACGGTGGTCAAGCATAAAAGCACAAATGTACTAAGAGTAAGTAGATTTTTATACCAGACAACCCCCTTTCCCTGAAGTTGATAAGGCAGCTCCAGATTCGCGGCACCGACCTGACCCTCTGTCAGCGCCATCAACTGGCCCGCCGTATCGACGGTGCCTGTTCCAAAGAATGGCGTCAACAGAGAGAACTGCTCTGACCCATGGAAAAGCTCGGCTCCTTCCCTTCGACTTGGTAGCATCCACACATGATCTCCAGCGGAAGTGAGCAAACGGATTTTCAGTATCATACCCTCTGGTATTGTGCGCAAAAACTTCTGGATGTGCGGCGCGTCTGTATTTAGAGACACAGCTGTGGTGGAAAAACGAGGGGCAAACGCATTTTCAATTTTCCGCGAAGTGCTCCGAGACATTCGACGACCTGATTCCGTAAAAATGGGGGAAAAATTCGTATTTCTGCTCTATCACTTCAGCTCCTCGGGAAAGCATAACACGTTGATACTTACTGCAAGCAAAAAAATTTACCTAGGTGCATACGGTGAATAGTAGAAAATTTAACCAATTAACTGAGTACCCGATGCGTGATTCTTGCTCGTCGATGAGCCGAAATCTGCAGCACCAGTGTTTTCTCCGTCAGTTGCTGACTGACGCTCTGCAGCTTCATGGCGCGGGCTCTTTTCGGCAGCGCTAATCGCTGCATTATCGAGAACGAGGTGGACCTCGCTTGGTTCGGTAAACGATAGTGTATCGGGAAACTTCCGAAAGATGCGCTGTATATCGCCTCGCAGGGCTGGCACATCTTTGCGAAAGCGAGCGACATCGAGGGACAAAACAATGTCGTCACGGTCAGCCATCGCAGACGATATCGATTTCTCCAGATTTACGAGGCCCTGGAAGGCAGCCTGACGGAAGTCGTCTGGCGTTATGACATCCGCCTCGTCATCGTCTACGAATGGAATTCTCGAAGTGATGCGCCAGCTGGAATCCCCAAACTCCTGTTTGTTGTCCTCCACGGCGGAAACGAAGATAGACGCAGGCGGGTAAAACGAAATCGAAGAAGATGTTGAACGCTGTTCATCCGTTCTTGAATGAGCGCCACCTTCTATTTTCATCTCGCCGGTTTCTTCTTTGCCCGCGCGCTGTCCAGATTTCTCATCTTCATTTTTCCTGCTGCTCTTTTTGCTACCATCGTTCTTGATGGTAGAATCATCATCAAGATCACTTGGTGTCGTTCCAGGAAAAGAAGCTCTACTTTCGTCTTTCTCCTGATGCTTGCGGTTGCCCTTGCTCGAACTTTCCGCATGCTTCTTCGAGTGCTTTGCCTTTTCCGTGCGCAGCATCCTATGGCGTGTCTGAGGTTTCTTCCTTGCGTCTTCTTGATCATCGATTGCCGAGCCTGCTGTTGAGACTAGTTTCTCAGACACATCATCTTTGTCGTTTTCATCATGTTTTATGGGCTTGTCGCTTCTTCTCTTCTTTTTTACGCTGTCGCCTGCTCCGGGAGAAGGATTGTTAGAATGCTTTCCTAGAAAGGAAGCCCACACTTCGCAACCGGGACCAAATCGGTAAGAAGCGAAGTTCAGATGCGGGCAAAAGACCGCTCGTCCGCTGTTTTCCTCTCGTGTGTAGTACCACACGTGCGTATGCGTCACAATGCTGTAAAACAAAAGGCACAGAAGTGTCGCGAGGATTGCGCGTCGTCGCAAAACTCTCCTGTGCCGTTCCTGTTTCTCATCGTCTGCGTCGCTGATCCTATCCAACGGGGACGAGTAGATCCTCGAGGAAGTTCTGCTTTCATCCACATCCTCGTCAGACGATTGCGCAACATGGAGAGCTTCCGCTGATCCGAAGAAAAATTGGTAGTTTTCATTGCTGCTCATCGACGACGATTTTAGCGCCTCTACTGCACGGCGGTCTTTGTTGCCAGCCGCCTTCTCTTCTTCGAGTAGGTGCTCAGTTTCTCCATCCTCCGCCTTCTCTGCTCTATTTGGCGCTCCTGAGCTTATGTGATGAAGTAGATGGCGCAACTGCTCCCACGAAGATACAAAAGCGTTTTCGACGGAAGCGCCAACTGCTCTTGCCAATGACTTAGAAGCTGCGGCAATGCCAGAGCCACCTGCTGGGCTTACTTTGATCTTCGTCTTATCCTTTGTCGGAGAGGATGAATGGTGAAGATTTTCTGCTTTCCTTGTTGATTTTCCTGCCTGATAGTACAAGTGATGAGCTGGCTTTGCGGAGGCCGGGAGTTCAGCAAACTGTGAGAACTGCGTAGGTCGACTAGAAGTCCGAGATCCCTGCTTTGCATACGGACGATGGTGCTCAATGCTGTTTTTCTGAATCATCGCTGTGAGCATGCTGGTTGATGTCCCCTGCGTGTCGTGATCATTCACGCGGCTCTGCTCGGAAGTGCTACTGCTTGTTCCGTCTTCACCGCGTGACGATGTGACATTCGATCTGCTGATATCACTGATCCCACCATCGTCGGATACCGATCCGGCTTCCGATGCCTGTTGCTCCACATACTCGTCGTAGTCGTCCACTGTCCTGCTTTCTACAGCTTTCAGAAGTTGTGGCATTAAATGTTGACGTTCTTTTTGCTCTACTTTGCTGCAAGTGCTCGAAGCTGCGGTAGCCGACGAGGAAATAGAGGACGGAAGAGCAGAGCTAGTATTTCCTTTGGGCACGACTTGTGCGTGTTTTGTTGAATGTTCTACTTTGTTTCCATCTACTCCTGTAATCCCTACATCTTCAGCGTATCCACCTTCAGAAGCACGTATCCTCGAGTTTGTTTCTCTGTGCGCGGTGTAGAGATCAGTGAACCGAGGAGGCCGCATTGTCCCCGCACCTTGTAGTCCGCCGCCTTTATTTTGAGACAAGGACGACAGTTTAGCAGAGCTGCTCGAAGACGAAGATACAGTTGACGTGGGTGCGGTGGCAGTTGTACTTGCTGAAGAAATTCGAATAGGGACAGGCACTCCTGCTGATGCGATTTCTTTACTCGAAGAAGAGCTAGCAACATCGTGAGCACATGGCGGCTTATTGTCAATCGCAGTCGGATCCTGAAGCGCGGTTGCAGCTGCGGACGCTCGATTATACTGCCGTGTGGCGCTTAGCGCCCTAGCGGAAGAGGAAGCGGAAGGGAATTCCGTTGACGTCCCACCAACTCTGGATGTTGATGCTTTTGACATTACTGGAGCAGCGGGTCCGCTTCCACGATAGCCGCGAGGCGCGGCTCCTCTATGATCCGATTCGCCCATCGAGGAAGAACCCTGTACCATTTTCGATGAGTCGACAGTTGAAGCTAGACGTTGGTCCTTCTGGTGATGCGACGCTGTGCGTTCCTCAGATGTTGACTTGCTAGAAGGTACTGATCGCTCACGGCTGTACTTTGCTTCTGCTGTCTTGACGAATCTCGAGACGAACTCGTTCCGTCGTCGTGCCTCATCAAGCTGCTCTGCATCTCCAGCTTCATCCTCTGCACCTCCGCGGTCTCTCATTGACGCGGTCTCGGTGCTTCCCTTCAATTCATCCTGGTCACGCTGTAGTTGAATACTATTTTCGGCATGTGTCACTGATATCATCTTTATTCCCAAATTTGCATCGTGGGTGACGGTGTTGTCGATGCTCCTATCCCTCCTGGATCTGGTGCCTCGTTTTTGGCGAGTTGCTGCATCCGCATTCTCCAACAAATCAAGGAGTGCGACGATTTCGCGCTTTTTGTTCCTGCTCGCACTTCCCGCCGCATCTTTCGAATTTTTTGTCGATGATGTACCTGAAGTCGTATTTGGTGATCTCCTGTGTTGAGGTAGAGCGTCGTCGTGTGGTGGAGGCGGAGCCCTTGGTGCTACCATTGGTCTCATTTTGCTGGGGCTAATGCTCTTACTGATCTTGCTGGGACTTCGACTGCTTTTGTTATTTTGATGTTGAGCAGCTGTACTAGCATGCTGTGGTGCACGGAGATGATGTTGAGCTGGCGGTGGCATATCAGAGGCGAGCTCGTTTTGAGCCATGTCTTCATCAAGAGGCACCTGTAAGTGCAGAGATGAACCACCTCCCGCCGAAATCCGGCTGCTCGAGAGATCTAAAGCCCCTGTGGCCTGGCGCGCTCGTAGATTGGCTCGTGAGGCCATCGCATTTACTTGCTGCATATTTTTCAGACGCGCGATCCGATCGGTAAGCTCAGAAGCTCCACCTCCATGACTTGTGCCCGAGCTGGTAGTTGTCGACATCTTTGACGAGGCGGAAAGTGATACCTTCGACGAAGGTGCCACGGATGCTGGAACCTCCGAGGAACACGGCGATCGCCCTAGATGTGGCATTACTAGAGAAGCCGACGCAGGCTGATAGTGTCGTGACGTCGGTGACGAGGACGAGGGATTACGATTAGCAGATGTCATATTCATTTAATTATTAGTCGAGCTGTCCTTTTTTACATTTCATTCTTGGAAAAGAGGATCTTTGTATCTCGACATGATAAGCATGGCATCATGACAAGACGAAATTGTCCTCTACTACCGAACTTCTAATTGAGGCAGCAAGGCTTCAACATTTTTTTGTGCTGTTTTCAAAGCCAACATCACGCCAGCCTAACTTTGCGGGAGACGGCTAGCCAGAAGAGGTTGGGGAAAACGTTCATCTAGAAGTACTGGGGCTGAGGTACAGAATCGATCGCCTCGTTTTACCGATTTGCATTACCACGGAGGGTCGACGTTGCGGTGTGCACTTTTCCAGGGAAATCTCAGCAACAATCTCATGTTGCGAAACTAGTTCGACCGACGCGTGAATCTGTCCTTCAAACCGACGACGTAACCGGATAATCTCTCGGACCGACGAAACGAACCATATGCGATCATTGAGTATACTAGGACGCGTACAGCTACCTCGAAGCACAAATATTCGTTGTCGTCCTGCTCGCGACAGCTTTACTCAGTTTTTCGGGATATTCCGATATGATTCTTGAGGATCGAGCGAACACAGTTGTTTTAGTCTTTGCTATTCCATTTTGAAGCCTGCGACAATCAGACAAAGCTGGAAAATCTATTGATCGGTCAGTAGAATGTGAATGCGACTACATCCTTCCTTCGAAGATCATGATGATTGATGAATCTTTAAAAAGTATCTTATCCTCGATATCTTCACTTTTCGTGGGAAAACGGTGTATAGCATCTCGTTGCCTAGATGAAGCGGAGGAGGATTGAACGAAGGCTTTTAACAATCTAAACGTCCGATTTCAGGGACAGACTATGAAAAGGTGATGAAGAGGCGTCAAAAGTCCCAGACTCCACCAACAACAGCGGCCTCATATGAAAGATAAGTATGAAGATATTGCTAATTTTATTGACGAGCACTATAGCTACATCACTAGAAAAAAAATCAAAATATCAATAATATGCGTGACGCATGCTGCGCGACCCTCTGTCATCGATGATTAGGGAAGCAGAACCTCTTTTACCACGTCGCCTCCGGGTACGTGTTTAACCAGTCAAAAGCATCCAATGCCATCTGTGTGGCAAGGACTCGCCGAGATAGTCCCGTGCCCTGAACGTGCGTCATACGAGCGCGTTTAAAGTCTTCCGCAGTTGCGATCGGGTGCTCACCTTGTTTTCTAACGTTTTCTCTCGGGATTTTGCCGCCACCGTTGTCGGGAGGTTGGTTCAAGGATACGACGTGGTTCGCTAGCTGCTGCGAAGGAGATACTGTCGGATCCGGGTCCGCGTAAAACCGGTTAAGTAAGGCCAACCGCCCGCGTCGACTCGAGTGCACGACAAGGTCGATATTTCCCCAGTCGCGTACCGTCTGCTCGCTATTGCCGTTTGCCACAAGAAGCGCCGCGCACCTATCATCTGCTACTCCCTTACCCTCCAAGTGCATAAAATCGCCTGGTTTTATCCCGATATCTGTCATTTCATGATCAAGAAACAAAATTCTCTGCACTGCCACCCCCACCTCGATTACTTTACCGTAGTGTTGAGCAACTTCTACCTTCGGCGTCACATAGACGCCCGGCCCATTCGCACATCCGCCCCTGCCGTAAAACGAGATGGGGTCGTCTGGCTGGCTCGTCCCATGGTGGAAATACATTTTCCTCGGCTCCTTGAGTTCAAGGACCATACCCAGGTCCTCTCTGCAGGGAATCACTCTTTTTATGTGTTTGTTCCACCACTCGGTTCGCAACTTTTCGCTAGATTCATAGCTTAGTGGGTTGCTGAAAGGATCCGTTTCCACATCCGATCGCTGCACTCCCCTTTTGGGAGTGAATACAGCTGGCTGGTAGCGATCTTCAGCAGCAATTGTGGCTTTGGTAGCGTCCTCCTGCTCCCGAGAACAAGACAATGTCAACGGTGGTGTCACTTCTGCAACATGCGGACGGTTCAGCTCTGTAGACGAAGACGGTTCCGCTCTCGCAGCATTGTTAATAAAAGACAATGACTCTGCTTCTCCGTGCGGCTCAGGAGAAGATAGCGGTATATTGGACTTCAAGCCGTCCACCGACGCCAACAAGGTGGCTGCGATGACGACAAACTTATTTCGCTGCATCATTCTGGTGTAGTTCTACTTGTTGTGATATAGATATATTATGATATTCAGAATCGACTTCGACTTGATCACGTGCCGCTTGTCGATGTAGAAGGTGGATAGAAGCTGGTCTAGAAGAGGCAGGGAGATGTAGTTCTTGACTCAGTGTGAGACGAAAGTAATTACTTCGAGATTTATCACTTTCGCGCGAAGATACCTTATGCTTCTGCCCACTTATAATCGTTCGCTTGCTTCTTGTCCCTTCTTTTTGTTATTCTTTACATTCATAGAAGACATACACTAGCTAATAGTTTAAGTTTTTGTACTTCGATTTGTTCCTAGCAGCAGTTCTCCTTGCGTTTTCGTGTCTTTTGTTTTCATAGATCTCGAAGACCTAGTAAACAAAGGAAACTGTTTACTCGTGTTCAAAACCTGTTAATTTTGGATAAAAATGATTATGATCCATTGCGTTCTGTATTTAAATTTAAAAGAACGAAAATACATCATCAACAGTCATAGGAACGTTTTTTAGTCAAGATCATCGCTGTTGTCATTCTTTCATTCACGCGTGATCATCACGAAAAAGTAAGAAGCTGATCGATGGATGATCTTCAGGAGAGTGATCTTTGTACAATCTGCTAAGTATTTGATCATTTCATGTCCGTTCTGATTCATTTGATCTTCGCTGGAGCACTTCCGAGCGATCTGTCTTCGTGCTTCTCAGTTTTGGAAGGGATCAAGGCAAATATACAAACTGAACGGCTTGGAACTGGTGTTTTGACAATCGACGGTGTTGTCAGGTACATGTCGAGTCTACCGTCTCACGCCAACAGGTTTTACACGTTCTGCGAGATCTTGAGCTCGGTTCATGTCGTGCACGATGCTGTGCTGTGAGTCCAGTTCTTACAACTAGCAGTCGAGTTACGATATCATGTTGATCTTGATGCCAGCGTTGTAAACCTCAGATTTAGGCACTTTCTGTGACAACGAGCACAGCTATCATGTTAGTGTTTGTTCACTTACAGCTAGGAGGCTGCGATGACATTGACAAGCCAATCCAAGCCTTCCATGATCCCACTGCCTCGCAAAGCACTCGTTTGAAATATTGCCCATTGCCGTGAACGGATTTCCGTCAGTCCTAGACCCTCGCTCACTTCCGCGGCGGTCATCGCATTCGGAAGGTCCTGCTTATTCGCGAGAACGAGAAGTGGTACTCCAGTTAGCTCCTCCTCGCCCAGCATAAGGGAAAGCTCCTCTTTGGCATCCTGGAAAAGATTAAGAGAGTGCATGAAGTAGATGAAAAGGCTTTGAAGGGTCAAGACTGAGACGTTAATGCGGAAAGAAAATCGATAAAAACGATATTTCAATTCGCATTATTTGATGTTTTTTACTGATGAAACAGAAGACATGATCATGTTCTTGACGTCATAATTGTTGTAACCAAACATCAAGTATTAACAGCTCTGGGCTGATTCCACGCTGCCAGCTAGAGGCTCAACCGTTGAGACTGTCATCCTAATCAGTAGTTATCAGTATCAGTAGCTTGATCATCAGTGTGTCGTAATACTATACCTGGAGCCTTTCGCGATCAATTGAGTCGACGACGTAAATGATTGCGTTGGTATTTGGGAAATAACATCGCCAGTAGGGTCGAATGCTTGACTGACCGCCGAGGTCCCACACTTGAAAACAGATGTTTTTGTAGTTGACCGTTTCGACGTTGAATCCTATTGTTGGCGTGGTGCTTATTACCTGGTCCACCTTTAATCGATACAATATCGTTGTCTTGCCTGCATTATCAAGTCCCAGGATCAGTATTCTCACCTCCTTTTTCCCAAACAGGGACTGGAAAAGAGAAGAAAAAATGAGACCCATGATTGTGATTCTCTGTGCACGACCAGGCTCTACTGCGGCTGAGAAGCGCGACGAAGTGCTTACGTTGTAGACCCGTCTGTTCTTTTCTACTCTGCTTGCTTAGCGTTCTGTCCCGCTCGCGCTCGATCTTGGTTAATAATAATATAATACAATTGCGATGGTGGGTGCTTGTTAGTTTCTTTTTAACTAGATCTGTGTTAGTGGTCCTCGATCTGCTTCATTAGAATTAAGGCCAAGTAGACGCCCACTTCGGATCCGTCGACTGAACAATGAGTTCGTGCATGCGTAAACCCAGAACCAATACACCAGTATCGTACATCTGTAGGTTTTCCACGTAAATGTTCCTCAGCGTCTTCTCATGAAGAGATCCTAGATCACTCCCGCCGTCGCAGCGAGGAAGTACGATGAGTAGGTGCACACGAAGTGTCACCCGCTCCGGCCAACAGCAGCCAACCTCGACAAACGCTGGTATTGGATAACAACCCACTCTGCGATACCTACGCAAAGCAATCGAGGGCTTGCTCTTCCTTGCGCTTATTGCGAATCCTGCTCCACAACCTGATTGTGCCGGCTACGAACTTTGCAGTATTGTCGTTCTTCAGGGCAACGTCCCACTTAGAGTCATTTGGACGCGACCATTTTTTTCCATCCGTACGTTTTGTCACCCATAAATAATGTCACCTGTAAATCACGTTCGCCCTCGATTAAATATTTGTAAATAATGCTAGATGTCATATATTTAAGTCCCAAATCAAGCACTAGCATAGGCATACGCTCTAGGGGAAAATTCATGTTGAATTTTGTGCTCGTCTTGATGGGTTCATGTGCTTTGGCATTCGTGCATGGCTCACATGGCTCTTACCCTCAACCCTTATATGGGCACCTTTATGCCATAACCAGCACTCCATCAACGGTTTGGCGTTGGATAGGATTTAGGATGCTTACTTAGTTATATTGTTGAAGTGGTTGCCAAGAATTGCTATTCCCTCATCATTTTTCCAGGGTTCCAGCTTCATCCGCATCCACTTCCACAATAGAACACAGCCATCGGCTTCAACAGTAGGTACAGTCTTTGTCCTTAATTGAGCGAAGTCTTCCCAAAAATTACCTTTTTTTTGTGCTTATCACGACCGCGCGGTTGCGACCATACTACACACGAGTGATGCATTACTTCTAACTATGTGAATGTCTTGGAAACAACAACAAGCAAGTCATCATTTTTTTCATGCGTGCTAGTGTGTCATTTATTTTTGAAAAAGTATCATTGAGAAATACAGATGGAGGTTACATTTCTCAGTGACATCCGCTTGACTTGTTCTTTCTCTGATGCGAGGAAAAATGGGCGATTTACAATTTAAGATGTCTCCGAAAACCCTGCGGAGCGTTGCTGGGAGCACGTGAAGTCAACTGGGTTGACGGACATCGCGAGGAGCGTCACCCTGCGCCATGGTATGCACGACGTGCTCGCCTATGTGCTGACGGGGACGCAGAAATTATAGAAAGTTCTTCAGAGGTGCTGGCGTAGAGAAGAGACTAGGACTTCTTGTACTTCTTGGTTCTACTACTTGCTTACTACCAGAAATAGACTCTGACACTTCTACTTTTGCTGGAACAACAAAGTTAAAGGAAAATGATCAATTTGTTTAATAGGTTTATTCTTGCTCAACATCAAATTGGCATCATACTTGAAAATCAGCACTCACTCTAGTCTGTCACAGCACAAGTTCAACTTGTCCGCATGATATATTTTATAAGAGCACAAGAGTCTAACAACATTTCGACATCATCACGACAGAAATGCCACAAAAGACTGTTGTACTGAAAATAAGAGGAGTGGACGAATATCCACCCGACAATATATCGAAGCAAATAGGCATACCACGAATAAATCAACATTATGACATAATAACAATCGACTTGTTGCAGTTGCGGTAACTGATGTGCAAGATTATTCATACTCTTGCTCTACTTTTCTTGATATTTCCTGCAAGGTCTTTCAATTTCACGAACCATCTTCGAGGGCACGGCTTATTGAGTTAGATATGGGGAGAGCGAGAGGGCATTTTTAGTTAAGTATTGACGCGAAATCTGACTCAAAACTACAGGTCCGGGTATTCATTGAGTCAAAACATATCTGATGATGTTAGTCGATTCGGTACGTCAAAACCTATCTAAGTTAGTAGATGCATATGGCACAAACGAGAGCTCTTGGCATAGGCATGGTTGTAAAAGCAATTATAGCGCGATTGGTGCAGCGGACTTTGTAGAAGCACAACGCGCTGCACAAACAAAAAGGCGAGGAGGCGGAATCGCGAAGTCAGTGCGCTCTAAACTTATCTTCAATCTTAATCTCTATCCTTATCAAAAGAGCTCCGGTTAGCAGCTGCAATTATAATTCTCTCTCTCGGTTATTGATACTACGCAGGCACAGGAAAGTTCAGCTGGCCTAGAGCAATTAAATCTCTAGTAGAGGCTGGGACTTGCAAACTCCAATTATCAATACTACAAGACGAGTTAAGAACAGTCTCAGTTGGCCTCGCTTATAATTTATTAGGTCGGCGTGTGGCCATATTTTTGGACAGCAGTCTGGCCAGCCGCAATGTCCACGAGGGTTTCGAACAACGCTTCTGCAAAGGTATCGCAGTTCTCCTTTGTAAAGATCGCGTTAGAGAATGTGTAGAAGCAAGGGTACTAGAAAGCAGATAGTACGATTGCTGGAGTCCAGTTGTATCCTATGTATAAAGATCTCAGTCTCTGCTATGCATAGTTATCGCGTGGTATCTATTGCGTCGTTAGTTACAGGTGCAAGAAGAACAGAGCCCCTCAACTATAGCAATTACTTATGTTGGAAGAAGCACCGGGAGAAGGACATGAACAGTAAATTTCAAATTGATGAAAACAAAAACAAAAACTATGTTGCTGTAGTTCTACATTGTTGAGTGGCAAAAAGTGAGCCGTAACCATAGGTGGCTTCACCACCAGGATGTTGTCATTGGGTCCGTCTATGCTCGTCAGGATCTTGTAATGGCGCATCATGTGCTGGCAGATGAAGCTGGTCGCCGCTGTCGCCGGGCGCCCATCATTCTCAACAATGAATTCAAGGCCGTTGAAGAGACCGGACCCACGTGCCTCCTTCAGGATGACAACGTCTCCGTTAAGCTTTACAGCCGCACCACCAATATTGTGGTTGAAGTTTCCGCCCAGCGGCATCGTGGTGTTGCTGAATGCCGTCAAGGAAGCGAAAGAGGGAGATGTGGGGAGATGATCATTTTCAGCGCTGCTGCTAGCTGAAGACGCAGGGCCGGGCACTGTGGACAGAGAGTCGGAAGACCGCACGACAACAACTTCCATAGTCGGAGCAGCTGACCACAACTTTGAGTCATTTTTCTCGAGAATCACGTCCAACTTATCGTTCACGTTTTCCACATCCACATGTACTCTACGTCTACAACTAGCTTGAGAAAGAACTTGTTCTCGAGCCGCTGCGATAATTTTGTCTTTTGAGCCAAGTTTCTCGCGCATTACCTTCCTGAGGTACGCACCAATCTCAATCGCGCGCGCCATCAGATTTTCTTCCTCCAGCACGTCGAGCACCGCGATCCCGGCTGCACAACACACTGGATTTCCGCCGAAGGTATTGAAGTACTCCTTCCCGAGGCATTCCCCTATCTCCTTGGTCGTGATGACACACGCGAGTGGCATACCGTTGCCCATAGGCTTACCGCACGTGATGATGTCAGGCGCACGCCCTCCTTCGGGGGACATTTGAGACTGCCACCCCCAAAAAGACGTGCCATAACGCCCGAATCCAACTTGCACCTCGTCGAGAACGAGAATACCACCATTGCGGTCCTGCAGGACCTCTGCACAGGCGTCTAGATATTAGAAATCAGAAAAATTGGACCAAATTGATCGTGGTGCATCTTGGACCACAAGGTGTACTATGGCTATGGATAGGAACAATACCAAAGACAAAATAAAGCACGAGTAAAAGAAGATAAAGATTCACGTTGCTTACATGGGGCGAGCTGATGAAAACAAGAATGAAGCACTAGATTTTCCTTTCTAAGATAACTCCTTATTCTTTGTTTTTAGAGCTCCTTGTACCATAAAGGTAGCCATTAGGCAATGTGACCGCTCCTCCCACAGACATTCCGCTCTCGATGAACATGGCAGCAAAGCTTCTCCGACTGCAGGCTTGCGTCAACTTCCGAAGCGAAATACAGTTCTCCGTAGTCGCTTGTGGCGCTGCTGCATCTATCACATCTGCGTTTCGAGAATTTGCTGGGCTTCTTTGAGGGGAGTATGGAGTCCCTCCTCGACCCGGCGAGAGTGGCTCAGGTTGCGGAATGACTTCGATATAGGCCTGTTGTCGCACGAACTTGTAGGGGGATATGTCCACGACAGAGCGGGTGTGACCGTGGTAGCCGTGTTGAACCGAGACAAAATCTTTCCGTCCCGTGTACGTTTCAGCCAGGCGCATTGCTAAGTCATTAGCTTCCGAACCAGAATTTACGAAAAAAACCTTCGAGAACTTTTTTCTCCCGTCACCGGGCGAAGGCAAGATAACCTTACTAGAAAGTCCGTCAGGTGCTATGTCATAGCGCAAATTTGAGTACGCGAGTATCCGCTCCGCCAGCAAAACCATATTTTCATGCAGGTATCGCGTGTTCGTATTCAGCAGCGATGCTTGGCGCGCAATCGACGCAGCCACTCGCGGGTGAGCGTGACCCACATGCGGGACATTGTTTCGCGTATCCAGGTACTTCTGCCCAGTCTCGTCAATGAGGTATTGCCCCTCACCCCGAACGATCCACAGCGGCTTCACGTTGCTGTAGGAGACGGATAAATTTTTCGCAAAGAGCTCCGCGCGTCGAGCTATCAAGGCGTCTTTGCGCTCTTCCAGCGACAACTCGACACAAAGCTGGGCTTCTCCTTCGTTCTGGACGCGATCGTTATTCTTCGTTTCCTGTGAAGCCACAGGCTGCGTCGAATAGCGGCCATCCGCGCTCATGCACCCAACACGCCCTGCTGCACAACAAGAGTCAAAATCTGGACACCCTTTCAGTTTCAATGAGGTGGCTCCAGTTTCTGAGCACGACCCACAAACACCCACGGAGCCGAGCAGATCACGCAACGCATCCAATGAGGATCGCGACATTTTCGTGGGACAATTTCTTTCGAGGATCAAATCAAAAATCAACAGGGTGTTTATGTGAGCCTACTATGTATATTTCTCTAACAGATCAGTCGGAAAAAATCTCTTTCTTTTTCATCCACGATATGGACAACGAGGACAAGCAAATTAGACAAGCGATAAAATTTTCGCAAGAATGTATGGCGTCGAAGAAGACGATTCACGATCAAGTATGTACTTACTCATATGAACAATGATGGAGGGTTCGGGGTGTTCTATCAACACAAAAATATTATGTTTCCAAGACAATTTCTATCAACAGATAAAAAGGTTCTACATCAAACCGTTTCGAAATCGGAAAAGTAGCGGCCGCTATCAGAAATAATACCATGCTCATGTCGTGCCGACAATCTTTATCCTCCCTCTCTCTCTCTTATCGCTCGTCCCCCTCTACATCTGATTTTTCCAGAGGAGCATCAATACTCACCGTATCGTATCTATAGCACTCAACAGGAGAACAAGGGCTCCTTTTGTTTCAGACTCGTTGGGTCTGTGGAATGCACTCATACTCTTACTCGTTGGTTTTCATCATAAGCTACCTAGAAGATTGGATCGCGCAGAAATATTCGAAACCTCAACCAAATCAAAACATGGAAGATGATGATGGTCTTACTCGAACTCGTAGCATGGACATGAAAAGTAGAATTTGGTTCATTCTCGAAAAAATCAATGGAGGGCATTGCCAGCAACATGTGTCCATCGCCGTCGAGACCACATATTTCTAAGTACCATCGAAACCAACTTCTTATGGAAAAGCCTTCCTGGAAATCAAATGGAAAAGAAAAAACATCATTATGTTGAGAGGGCGTGGACCCGGAGAGTCGTTGAACTCATGTGCAAAGATGCTCCGCGTTGTTGTTCAAAGCAGCATCATCTACAGCTTGGAGCGTCTTTCTATGTTTTTCGATTGTTGCTTGTCTTCTGCAAGAACGTCAGCGTTTTTCGCGTCATCCTCATCGTCGACCAAAATTTTTTCTGCCTCATCAGCGAGCATCGCGATGGCATCAGGTGAGAAGAGTCCCTTCTGCTCAACACGGCCTGCTCCCGCACCTCGTGATCTTCGGTCTAGAACGCCTTGTAATATACCCGCAAGTCGAAAAAATTGCAGAGACCATACTCTACGCAGGTCGGAAGAGGAAATTTTTGAAGCTCCAGCTGTTGACGAACTGCTACTGCTTGCTTCACTTTGTTGGTAGTGAGAAAAGAGTTCGCCTAGTGTCGGGATACCTGCACAAGCATGCTCGCTGTGGTCGATGGGGGGCGAGAAGTCGATAAGAGGCAGACCGGCAAAGCGCGTACCGAAAGGGAAGGGGGCGAGCATCGAAGCAAGATCCACGAGTGGTAAGCCTGCCGTGCACAGTTCCCAATCAACCACTGCCCGGATGCACATCGTACGAGGACAGACGATCAAATTGTTCAATCTGAAATCGCCATGAACGAGGCACGCAGAATCCACTTGTTGAACTTGTACTTTCTCCGAAGCTTGCAGCAACTTTCGCACTGCGAAAAAGCGGTTTTCCACCGCAACAACCCCATCTTCAGGTGACAAAAGTGTCCCTTCGAGTCTCTGCATCGATGGGAGTTTTCCATTCGCCTTGGCGTACTGTTTTGCCCACACCTTGACTTGCCGCGCAGAGTAATCACGACCAGATCCCAGCAATTTCGCCAGCTCGGGGTCTTGGGCATAGGGAACGTTGTGAATTTTTCGCAACACGTCAACAGCATTGAAATACAGGGCTCGACGACGCGCCGGACAGCGAAGGTCAGGAAGTCTCTCGCTCTTGAAAACGACGCCTGGCATGTAACGCATGACAAAGAACGCAGTGCCAACAGGGTTTGTTGCAAGCAATGGCACTGCTGTTTCCGCTCCTTGTTGTCCTGGTTGTGTTTCAGGCTGTGGATCGACTAGAATATGCGAAAAGTGAACCCGCTTCGTGGGACTTGATGGAGGCGACTCTGCTTTTTTCAGACCTGAGGAGGCTGGATTCGCGACAGAACTGGCTTTCGATGTCGCTCCCTTCATGTTCGCATTTGCAATAATATCGGATCCGCCCTCAAACGGTGTTTTTTCTAGGACGAGTACCTTCGGGACAGGAACGTCTGTGCGCTCTCCGAGAGCACGCATCACTGAAAATTCCCTGGCCATATCGTGTGCTTTGGGCAGCAGCTTACCGGGTGGTTGCTTCCTCAGGACTAAGCAATACTTTGCAAGCCACTCCTCTGAGTCAGTGTCTATCAGCGGCGTCAAATTTTTGTGGACCGAATTTGTAGCAAAAGTTGCCTGCTCTTGATCGCGACCGAGCGGCTTCCGTTTCCGCTTCCGAACGTACAAAAAATACGTCGGATTACTTTGTCCGAAAGCGAACTGCGCAGCATATTTGACCTCCACTTCATCGTCGACCGCGTCAAATCCCTCCACGTCAGATTTCCAACATTGTATTTGCTTCTCGGATCTTGCGACGGTGGTTGAACCGTGATGACCCCCGGTGGCCGATTTTTTGAGTAAAGCAGAAAGGTATGTCTCTACTGCTTTCAAATCGATCTTTTGAGAAGGACGAAACGGAACGATGTCTGGAACGGGGAGAACCGGATGCCGAAGACCAATCTTGGCTGCAAGCGATGGAAAAACTTGGCTCACAATCGTGGACACGAGTTTCAAGGGACCCACAGTGTGGTAGCAAGAGATGCCTATTTTTTCTGCAGGCGCAACCAAATTCCCCTTCATGTCGTCGAAAAAGAAAACTCGATCCGTGCTCGTGTTCCCGGTACCAACTGCTTCTGGTTTCCCGAGCATTAGACTTTTAGTAATCCCGATTCTGCTGTGGTATGCGTCAGTCACATATCAAAGTCAATCACTAAACTTGCTGTGCTAATTCACTCTTTTTGCCATGATAAACCAGACCAAGTTAACATAGAGGGCAAGCGCCAGTTCCACTTGATAGAAAGGAAGTAGAAGTTACCCCCTTCCTCTGTCTCTTATCTGATAGCTGCCTTAAGAGAAACCTACTCCGCTGCAACGCAATCTCGAAAATTTTGCAGTCGTGAGGTGCTGGATCGCCCTTTCTGCAGCCCTCAATATAGCTTTCGACTACGAAGTCCACTAGTGACGAGGTGCCATCGATAGGGTCTCGCATAAGCTCGATAATTTTCTTCTCAGTCGGGGAACCGGAACGTGGAGGAAGATTTCGGTTGGTGGAGCATCGATTTGATAAAGCTTCTTGAGCGTTCTTTTCGCCGTCAGAATCATCGGAAGACATGGCATTGCCGATTCCGTGAAAGTTGTTGGTCACAATTCCGATTTCGAAGTTGAAAAAGTGCTTCAGCATTGCAATCATCCACAAGACCTGTGGATGCGGCTGCAATTTCCCGAGACGCCGCAGCCAGCCTTCGAGGATACCACGATCTTCTTCTGCTGATTGCGAGTTTTCTTGGCTCTTGTCATGCTTGTCTTCCGTATCACTTTCGCCTTTCTTCTTCGCTCCATCTATCTCTATGGGCATGGAACCGGCAGGATGCACTCCGTCGAGGAATTCGACGAGCGTGTTGATCTCACCACGCTCCAGTCGCTCCCAGTCAGCTTTGACACGGCCCAGAAGCGCCAGGGCCTGCTGAAAGGCCACCTTGCGACGGCATTTTTGGCGCACCCGCACTTCCTGCACAAGCTCCTCCAACGGGCTGTCGACAATCACTCCACCAAAGTCAAAGAGAAACAATGCTCGTTGCGCCTGAGAAGCGCTTTCCAGCTCTTCTGCGGTACTCGTCTTGCTACTGCCATTCATCTTCATCTTGATGGTTTTACAATTATCAATAGGTCCTCGTCAAGGTCAAGTAGGTCATACTCAGAGTAAGTATGAGTAGGTATACATATTAGTTGGTTCTGCTGCTGATTGATCTTCAGCTTCGAATTCTGGTGAGAGAAAAATCAGGAAATTCATTGACCGTGATCTTCGAAGCCACATGTTCCGATTCAATTTTGCTTTGGCAGAAAATGATGCCTCCGATGGTGATACACTGCATTTTTTCCTCTCGCCCATGCTCATCACGCATCAGTTTTCAACTTCCGATTAATTTTGACTGGTGCTTGTTCTACTAACACTCAGTCTCGTCTCGCTCTCCTCGTGGTCTTCAACGTCTCGTCGCGTAAAAAACAAGCAACGGCTCTGTGCTGCACAAGAAGTCACGGATCGAAGCAGACCCCTTTTTTCTCACGATCATGAAGCGTCTTAGGCTTAGCCTTGATCTTCAGCTGGGCATCGGAACATGTCTTGGGTTTTTTTCTTGGTCTCGAGGACACGCGAGTGAAGTGCTTGAGTGTCCTGGCCCGAGTAGAACGCTGCTTAAGAGGCTGAGTTTGAGTCGCTTTTCTTATTAATCTGGAACTGGATTAAAGGGTAAGGGATCAACTTCAATGTCACGATGAGAAACCAGATGGAGGAACTTAGCATAAGTTGGTACGACTAGAAGATTTGCTGTGCCCGTATTCTTTACTAACAAGGAATGATAAAATATACGACCGATTACATTTCGATTTCGGGGGGAACGCAGAATATGGAATCTTCATTAAAAGGATAGGGGATCACGCTGAAGTTCGTCGCTTTTGCATGTCTTATGATACACATAGTGTTGAAGACCAATTGGAATGAAAGACAAAACTAATAGGTTTTTTCTTGCGACGTAGTAAACCACTCGGGACTTCTTGTGGCCATCATCTTCATCATGCATCATGTTGACCTCTGCAACTTATATCCATGATCGTCCCGCAACGGCATAGTTTTTGCCTGGTAAATAGTACATTTTCATATCATCTGTCCAATGCTTAGGAACCGCTATACATGATCCTTTGTGCTATTATTACACTTGCATATGACCATGACAATGATGCCATGCGTCGGCTAGCGTAATAAACAAGCCCGAGAAATTTCAGGGCTATGCAAAAAAATATGTCAAGAGGTGAAATTTTCAGCATTCGAGCTCATCATTCGCCTAGCATTATGACATTGAAAGGTAGAAACACTATGAATTATGATCGTTCTTTCCCTGTAGGAAGAGGACACAAAATAGACACGCGTCTGGTTTTTTCATCGTGCATAGGATAATATGGACACTATTTCGAAGATCAAGCAACTCTTCCTTCGAAGAGGACGAGTACTTTGTAAGGAATAAATTAGTGGGACGGATAAGTAGACGACGTAGCGTCACGGTTGTTAAATAAGGATTAGGATAATATGAACGTAAAAAAATATATCGGAATAAGAACAAGAGAGTGAGGAGGATGAACCTTGAGATTGAACTGCGATGCTTCAGTCAACTCGCGATATAAATGCGTTCCAAATCCGGAAAAATGTTGTAAGGCAGGGATAGGCGATAGCGCTAGGGGTGTATTCTTGAGGCGAAAATAGTACAAGGGTGAGCGATCTTCATCCTGCTTACTTCGCATATCATTGGATGCGGCTGCTCCTCGCTTCGGGTGAACCGATCCTCCAATGCGCGCTGCTACGAAACTGATGGGCCCTACTTTTTCCACCCTTGCTTTCATGTTAGAGCTCACAACAATCCTCTTTTTTACTTCCAAACGTACGGTATGCCACTGCCAGTAGCTTTTAGTATAATGCGTCTAGCTCATCTCAAAATCAAATGATCAAGAAGACCAAGAACAAGAAGTAGGATTGCAATTATTTGAATGACTTCCATAGTCTTCGTTCCTCGCTGCACCATACAACCCTGCTGCCGGCACACATATTCAGCTTGACGCTCAGAGGATTCGGCACTCCAAAGTACCAATCAACATCAACCCAGCAATGAGTAATTCGGTCATCTGGGAAGCCTTTTTTCTCCAGCTCAAGATATAGGATCTTCGGATTCACTGTGCCTAGAGTATTGTTGATGCTGGAAGATTTTCCCGCTTGAGTAGAGAATAAATACCTGTGAAGTTCTTTTTGATGAAGAGAGTCATGAGATAAGACGAGGAAAAGCAGGTCGTATCAGCCTCATCTTAAGCTTCCTTACGCTAGTATTCTAGCTATTACTAACTGAAAAGATTTGGTCCTTCTTGTTCTTGAAAAATCAACATGCTAGACTACCATCTGCGTATTCGTTTTCGGTGTAAAACGGCTCTCGAGGGGATGGGCGCAGAGGGATAAGAAATACAGCCTCTTTGTCTTTGATCACATTGAGACGTATCTGCATGGCGCAGCCGTTATCTAAAAAGTCCACCTCGTATGCGAATATTTCGGTTGGCTGTCCTATTCTGTTAGGATCCATCACTCCCGTTGCATGCGCGTACCGAGGTTGACTGTCATCTGCCGCTCTGCCAGCTCCTTCTTGCTGCGCTTCTATACCACTATCCAACAATGTTGGGTCTATCAATGGTGCTTGAGACAATAGTTTCGGTACGAAATACCACTTGTAGGTTAGTGGCGTCTCGAGATCGAGAACACCATTCGGACGGAAATTCATTTCGTAGCGAAGTGCCCACTCGTACTTCGCAATCACGATGCACACGTCAAGCACGCGACGTCTTCTTTCTCTTTCAGTCTCTGAAGTACCCGAGCTCATGGAGGAGGACGACGAGTCTTGGTCGTCCGTGAAGAGTCGGCGACGCTTGGCGTTCGAAGGGGAATGCGTCGTCGCCGTAGCATGATTAGAGTAGTAGATGCAACGAAAAAGACTTCGCGAGCCTTGTTGTTTTATTGCTCTCTCTGAATTTGGATACTGCAACATCAAAGATGAGTAGAAGAACTGGCATTTCCTATGCATGACTGCTGCATGACTGAGTGATATTTCTGTTCGTTATCATCCTGAAGTTCAAGTTCATCAAGTTCAATCTCATGCACCCTAATGCTACTAGCGCGATTGGACTGCCCGCTGTTAGAAGACGTTGCTGCGTCCACACTGTCGATCTCGCCCTCGGGCTCTGTTTCATCAGCACCAGGCTGCCTGGAGGTGTATTAGAGAAAGACGAAAAATCAAAATCACTACGAAAATGCTTTGCAATAAATATCTCCAGAAAATGTACCTAGTTCAGTGGTGATGGAAGGTGACGGAAGTACTTGAACTTGGACGACCGGTGACTACTAGCAGCTTCAGGCTTTTCCGTATTGACTGAACCCTTAGGTGAAACGAGTGTCCTCTATGAATATAGAATGTCCTCATCTTCTAAATACTAACTTTCTTGCCATACTGCTGCACTGCCAGTGTCTCTCCTGTCAATACACGCGAGCCTGTCACGTTAAGAGGAGGCGCTAACGGCTGAATGCCTCGACGACATGTCCTGGTCTTCAAACCATCGACAACCGTGTCGGAAATGGTGACATGCGTTTGCGCCGTGTCGTCGTCCTCGGGCGTTGAGGTCGTGTTGCTTCCACCTGTTTCGTTGTAATAAATAGCGTTCTGTAAGCGAGCCTCTCTCGACTAATGCCAGATGATCATCGAGTGGATTTTATTAGTATTTCATCTACCATCGATCCTCGAACAAAACCAAAATCGGCCTGTAGATTTATATATAAATGTCGTAGTACTGATGCTAATCTAGTAAAATGAAGACAATCAAATGCAATAGAAGCTAATTTTCTTTCAACTTGTACCGACTTCGTCGTCCTCATTTTCAGATACCGAGGACGCAGAGGAAACGTCGTGAAATTCCCGGCTGGTTATCCGGTTGCTTATTTGCAGACGCACTGGGCTTTGAGGCCGTTCCGCTCCCTTGTCTTAGCTTAGAATATCATATGGATACTTATGCTGCGTTTTTTTTGAAATGTTGGGGAACCTCTAATAAATGGGCTATAATTTACGAGGCTAGTTATAAATATTAATACGTCAGGAAGTAGACGGCGACGGGGAAGAGGATTGCGATCGAACTCCACTAGACAAGAACTGCGATGGAACTCCACTAGACAAGAACTCCTGAACTTGAAAAAATATGATAGATTACGATGCGCCTGCCTATGTCTTGGAGACCGAGTTCTCAATTCTGAACATAAATTAGTATCTTCCACCGTGCGTTCCCTCGTCGAATACTTGCGTCGGGTTCCATGCTCGTCTTAGAAATTTTGCATATAAAAATGTTCGCCTGCCTGCGCATTGCACGACCCGAATACTCAAGAATGGGCTCTTATTACGTTTTTCTACGATTACGTTGCTCATTCTACTACTACTTGTAGATGAAGTTCCCATGACATCAATTCCTTTCAATCACAATCTCTCTATTTCCAAGGATAACAGAAAAATCCTTCATGGACAACCAGAACCACTCTTAATCGTTTACAACGCTTATTCCGCTTGAGTAGGTGTAGGATGAGATGTCACTGTTGCTGAGAAATGATCTTTCCTCTTCCGATGAAGACGAAGAGAGTTCCGATCTCCTGCCCATCTTCACAGCTAGGTCGCGCTTTGTCCTTAAGCTTAGACAAGACGGGTCGAGAAGAAGAAAATAACTCTAAGTCAGTGGTCCATGTTGTTGTTGTAGAACTTGAAGTACTCAAGAAGTAGCATTGACGTTGAACCTGACGTATACCATGATAATCTAGCGTGAGCATCACAGAATGACGACGCACGCGAAGATAGTGAACTAGCGAAGATTCTTTATGTTGTGCCTTAGCCTGTTCTTCATCAACCCAGCAGACGTGGCCACCTCTGATCCGTATCGGTTGCTCACTCTCCGGGCGCTTGGGGAGTTTGGCGTAGAAAACTCAGTTGCAGGGATGCTCTGCTCATCAGAGGTTGCCTCGCTTTTTTTCGTGCTTTTGCGGGAACCATCTGGCGGAGGATAAAGATCTATATCATCCTCATCGACAATGCCACCAAAGAATGAAGCCGAAGCGGTATATCATCCTAATCGCGAATACCACCAAATGATAATATATCTTTATGATCTATGAGTATGATATACAAATATACAATAGTCATCTATATCAGCTGCTGAGCGACCTTCCTTTTGACGTCGCTAACAGTAGCATGTTGCTCCGCCCAACCGAAACAAAGAGAAAGATGTAGTTAGAACATCAACAACTAGAAGTATAGTAGAACTAGATGAAGAATAAATAAATATGTCCAGCTCCAGCTCGTCGTCAACGTCATAAACTTTGTCTGATCTCAAGAGCTCGGCGCGGAATTCCGGAGTCGCTTGGTTCGCTAGATTCGCTACCGCTAGTCTCACTTGATGAATTTGAGCTCCCAACTTTTTCAGTCTTTCCATTCTGTCGCTGCTCTCGGCGCGCTAACAAGTTTCGGCTTCGAGCGACTGCTGCCAACTGCGCTTTCGAAAGCGGCGGGGACGCCCGAGTAGTTGCTCGAGATGATGGGCCAGGAGAACTTTTGAGACTTCCAGCCGCGATGCATTTTTTCCTCGCAGCATTTGGGTTTGAATCCTCGTTGAGATTGACGGAATCTCCACTAGCGGAGACCGTTCCAGCTTCCGTATCTACGTCCAGTCCTGTAGACGCCAAGACGTCCCAAAAAAAAGAAGAAAGCGTACGCTCTTCCCCGCCTCCCTGCTGCACCGGAATTGGTGTCTTCGCCCGGGTGCCAAAAAACGAGCCCCTGCGTAGCAATGCGGGGCGCTCTGTAACCGAGCGGCCAAACATGGTCGTCCGACTTCCCGAGCGACTGAGACTTTTGGAAGCTGTAGTCTGCCGACCACGCAAAGGAACTACAGATGAGGCGGTCCCTTGTGCGGCGGCGCTTGTTCCCTCATCCCGCTCAGAATCGCTGCTAAGCGACTTCCTCCCAGAGGCCGTCGCGCGAACACGATTCGCAACTCCCATAGAGCTAGACGCAGTTGCTCCACCAGCACCCAAGGGACTGGTGCTACTGATTGACGACTTGGACGATTCCAATTTAGCGCCTGGCGTGACCGTGGCCCTCACTGTGTGGCATCTCTTATATATGTACCAGGGAGGGAGGCCCCCCCTGTGGTATGGTGTGTGGTGCAGCACAGTGGTGGAACAGCGAGGAGAGAAGAACGAGCGACGAGAGCAGAACGAGCGAGAAGACAAGAACGAGGGAGGAGAGCAGAACGAGGAACGAGAGAAGAACGAGGAACGAGAGCAGAACGAGGGACGAAAGCAGAACGAGCGACGAGAATCGCCCACGTGGTGGCCTCTGGCGTATCACAGTGGGGGAAGAAAACGGCAAAAAGAGCCGAAAGAAGAGAGGCGCCCCAAGGGCTGGCGGGTACATACAACACGCCAAAGGGGTGGGGCCCAGCCTTGCAGCCTTCGGCAGGTCTGTCGGGTACATGCAACACGCCAAAGGGGTCCAGCCTTGAGGGTACAGGCCACACGCCAAGGGGGTCCAGCCTTGCCACCTTTGCCACATTCGGAAGCCTTCCAAGTCCGCCCTTCAGTGCTTCAACGGCCTCCGCCATGGTGGCGCTGTAGGGTCCAGGCAAGAAGCGGGAAGGGGTCAGAGGAGGGCGCTTCGAGGCCTTCCCGCCAGGCAGCCCCTCGAAAAAAGGGACCGGGGCTGGCAGGCCCCCCCCCTCAAAAACTTAGATCGGGGGGGCCTTCAGCCCTGAGCCCTGGTCCTGGAACATATCTACTTACTCAATTGAGGATGTCGATGTGGATGGATCGTGATTTGTTACTCTGAGGAAGAGAAAAATGACCTTGAACATGAACTTGTACTTGATAGATTGAAGTTATAGAATGTCATTCATTATGGTAGAAGAACTTGTATGCTCTTGTGACTGCATCTAGAACTAGAGCGTTTATTTACGTGTGATGCATCTTGCTTCTAGAAAAACAGCTTGTGTATGATCGTAATGCTACTTGCTGACAGGATTGGAAATGACAGCTGCTTCTGTTGGTTTTGGTCGTCTGGTGACGCTCCAGTTTCTCCGTTGATAGACGAGGATCTTCTCGACGGGGAGACTGGTATTTGGTCATCGTCTGCCGTGTGTGAAACGCGAGTGCCTCTACTAAAGGACGCGATGCCGATCGTGCCGTCGCGGCTTAAGGCGTTTGGGTGTGATGTCTTACGCCGTAACTGCAACACAGGAGGCTCAACCTAGGTGAGGTTTTATTGCAGGCGATCTGATGTCATTAAAATACTGGCAAAGCAAGAACGTGACCATGCAGCCGATGTTGATGCTTGTTGATAAAGCATAAGCATATGTTGTAGCTATCCGTATTCATTTGCCATTGCCCGTTCTCTTGATACGTAGCTATTCTCCTATGAAAGCCCCTACTCTTCTTGGTAGTCGTAGTATTAGCAATGAATCAACAATAATGATCAGGGTGCACCTCGTCTGCGTCGCTGGCTTTTGACAATCTGCTTTTTCGTTGCCCACGCTTGCAACAGCGACCAAAAATCGCGCTGCCTCGAAAGATGTCAGCTACGCGAGTCCGGAACTCTAATAGACCATCGAAGACACCGAAACCCATGCCTCCCAGGTAAAACAGAAGAAAGAAAGCGGTGAGGATGCCTGTTTCCTCTAAGATGTCTTCGACGAGAAAAAAGTACGAGAGAGAAAATGGCGCTCGTCATAACAAAAAGAGTCCATTAGGTTTAGATGTAGCGTTCGTGAGAGTACGAATAAATCAAGTGCCAGATATCCAATACGTAACAACACTTCTATGAACATTGCTTAATACTATCAGGAGCTGAAAATAGTCCTCCGTAATATTTCCACAGCAGCAACAAGCCGAAGAGCAGAAAGAGATGTAGTCGCATTCCGCGGCGAGCCATCATTTGCAGAAAGTGTGGCTCGGGCTCGTCCTCTTCGATTCCCTCCTCGTCATCCTCTTCGAGGTCTGCCAGAAGTCCCACCCCATCTATTGAACCATCGGACCCTAACGAGGAGTTCGCGCTATTGCGATGTTGCTCTCGGAGCTTCCGCTTTGACTTCGCGCGGTTCTTGCTTTTACTTTCGGCCCGAGCATTGCCACCACCACGACGAGGTCTGTTGTGAATACGACAGGACAGGATGCAACCGTTGCATTTTCTCTAAAAGCGATATCATGTTGATCATCAGGAGGTCGGTTTTAACCAGTATCATGTGTTGCATACGTTCGTCATCACGACCAGAACCAGTAGACTTGGAAGTAGGACTATTTCTTCGAACATGAAAAGCGTCATCTTCATCACAAGTAGAAGATATAGGTGAAACGTCCCGCCCGCTGTCTTGATTTCGTTGTATTTTCTCCGACGCTGCGCGATGGCTTCTCGACGCAGCTCCAACCGTTCCTGCTGTATTTTGTCAGAGTCGGTGCCACAAAGCCCGCCAAAAGGATCACCATCCTTGCGAAGAATGGGCGTACAACACTGGCCAAGCAGTGCATCGGTGAAAACTTGGTTCCCCATTTCGATGCACAAATAGTAGTGACTGCCAATAAATTGCTCAACACTTACAACTTGAAGTCATGTAAGTAGTTGTAGTGGCTTACTCTGGGTGCGTCATCTAATCCTTCATTTACTTAGTTGTAACTAGTTCTCTGACCACTTTTCTCCATCACTGCGGTTGCTCCTCAAAAACACCACTGTGAGAGTCAGGAAGTCCTATCTGCCTCCCACCGAAGTCGTCTCGATTTTTCTTTTCATTTTAACTGTTATCGAGGTTTCCTGTTATTTGAATTTTCGTCAAGAGATGAAAGACACAATCAATAGAGAGAGAGAGAGAGAGAGAGAGAGAGAGAGAGAAAGATGAACGACCTTTTTTCCTCACATCACAGCCGTCTACTTTGAATTTTGATACATTCGTTCTCGCCTCTACCTCAAACTGTAAACCTCATTTTCATCTATAGTTTCGGAGTGGTAGTGCTGCCCTCTTTGTTTTACTCCCATAAAGCCCGTCTCGAAATGGATGATCATAAACATAATGCTCGAATACGAATTGTCGGACGCGAAGTTGGGTTGACTCGTGTTAAATAGCACTGCATGGCATGCCATTTTCAAATGTTGTTCAGCCTTAGGAGGAAAAACTATCGGTCGGACGAGAAATGTGAATGGTTTTCGATTTCGTCGTAGTTGGCCCATCTCGATAATTAAGTAAGTATGTTTTTACTCCTTCAGCAAAGCTTGCTGCCTAGGCCAATTGTAGTGGAAAATATAAGGAAGAATGGCAATGGGCCCAAGTGATATATATCTATAAGTTTCTACAGCGGGGAAGCGGAAGCACGGTCAAAGATATAAGGGGAGCAATCAACATTGAGTCAGTGATTATTGACATTGCGTTGATATTTATAAATAAGTTTTTCGTGGGAAGAATGTGTTACAATCGAAGGTCAATATCATATCTGGATGATGATCCTCTTCGCTGCTTGTAGACGAAGCGATAGTTTCAGGTCGGGATCGCGATTCCCGCTACAAATAATTTCCATTTCCTTTTCCTTTCAAACTGTTTGGGAATAGTAGTACTTACTCAATATTATCTATCGTCGGCGTCGTCCTTCTTCTTGTGCTTGTCTATCACGAGAAATTCGTACATCTTTAAGGGTGAATGGGTTTTATTCGTGATTCGCAAAATGAAAATCTTTCATCTTCTAGCAGCGTCGGGTCCTCTCCTGATTTGCAATAAATTAAAATTGCAGCTAGAAGAAATTAATATATTTTGACAACATGATGCATTTGCATGTTTTTGTTTCCTTTGTGAAGCGGAAAAAACAACCTGAGGGAAAAAACAACACATTTCTAACAATATAACTTCCATTTTTTCGACATAGTGAAGCTGAAGGTGAAGCCGCCTGGAACTTTTTCTTTTGGCCAGTTGCATACAGTTCACAATCTTCACAGTGATCGCCTCGACTTCATACATCATGAGAGTACAACAGCGCTTGCGCCGCACTAGCAATAGCGCAGTATTCATGGTGCATCATAACGCGTTAGCGTAGTATCGCATGGTACGGTTCTGGACGCGGATAATTTCCTTATGCATGCCACCAAACGTGTAAATTTGTCGCAGCGCATCCAATTTGCGTCGATCCAGGCGCATTTCCAAAATTCGCTTCAGATTATGCTGTTGTTTGTTCGAAATGGAACAAAAATCAAATCGAAGCTGCTAAAAGTCGTTGCATTCTTCTTGGGATTCTTCAAGAAGGAGTACTTGTATGTACTAGGAGTCATTGTAGGATAAGGAGACGCTGTGTATTAAGCAAGGAATAAAAACAAAAAAAAAAGGATGAACGATTATGATGTACGGCGCCGCCCGCGCCCTTGTTCACGTTTTCACCGTTGGTGTCAACATACGGAAAGGCGAAATCCCAGACAAAACATAGTCCGTCCGTAGTGACAACAAGGACTGATGCATTATATGGCAGTAGATAGATTCCGTGCCCGGCTCCGACTGGCCCCGACAAGGCTGTGGCTTCTCCGATCTGCCCGCCATTGCTTCTACGGGAACTTGCAATATTTAGACCGAAGTACGAATGCGGGAAACCTGTTACAATACCGGATTTTCAGCTATCATATTTAGCGCAAATGCAATATCTTCTAGTCCTATCTTAGCCGCATCCGCAAACAGATGAAATATAAATGTTTTTACAATGAAGATGAACAGGAAGTAGGAGCAAATACGCATTCAAAGGTCACGGCGGCGACTTAAGATCAAGTTATCAGCACGAAGAGGAGTAAGTGATAGTACTTTTGCACTCCTGTGCCATGCCGATAACACGGCCAGTGAGGAGACATATCGCGGGCTCCATCGGTTTTTTTTGTCCGAACAAACATTTTTGCTCCCACGCGTAGGCAAGAAGCCCGCTGAGTGTCTCCGGAATCGGAATGAACTCAACGAGCGGAGAGTAGACACGAGTTGCCAACGGATGCGGTGCGAGGAGGCTACAAACGCTTGCAGCTCCACCTCCTCCTGGTGACAATCTGATATTATCCTGGTGCTGTTCTTCGGTGTCGTTTTTGTCCAATCCGAAGAAAAACGGGTCGCCGCCATGTCCACCGTCAGCCGTCTCTGCGTCGTCTCCATCTGTCTGTTGTGGTTGGAGAAAACGGAGGAGACGGCAGAGGTCTCCAAGATACAGCTGACTGGATTGATCCTTGGATAACTTGCTTTGATCGCACTCAGAAATTTCGTTACCACTTTTTCTCTCTGCACCCGAGGATGGAGCGAGTAGTCCTGAGATCGTCTGATTGTATACGTGTTCGAGGATCCTGTCTCTTCTCCTAGACCTCCCACCTGCGGGGTCACAAGATGATGAGGATGATCGCCTAATGGCCGACCCGCGCCCTTCCCCGTTGGATTCGTCCACGAGCTCTTGTGGCGTCCTGCCGTCTTCTGTAGCAGACGAACGGAAAAGAAGACCACCACACAAAAACGCAACATAGGTGCCGCAATAGTAATCAACGTCATCGAGCAGATGACTGGCGTCACGACTATTTCTTGTGTCACCTCGACGTCTCGAAGGTTTCGTGGCCACTGGCAGTGCGTCTACTGCTGGTGCTAGAGCAAGCTGCCCTGTCGCTCGGGCAGCAGTAGATGTAGAGAGGGCTTGTCCTTGATCGCTAGAAGAACCATTCTTATCGTCATGTGGCAAGGTGTTCTCCACGTTTGTCGAAGCCGAAACGTCATTGCAAAGGGTCCGATCTTTGACTAGCCGTGTATGTGATTTGTCACGGCGGCGCTGTGCATCTTCGAGTGCGAGATTGCAGCGTTGAATAGACCAGCTTGACCCACGTATTGCCTGCTCGCGCTCTAGCGATGCAGCTGAGGTTGCGTGGAGACAACCTGGCACAGAAGTTAGAGCTGCGGCTCAAGAACAAAATGACAAGAACAAATATACTTACAAGGACCAATGCGATACATATGCAAATTCATATGCATATGGCGAATCAATGAATAATATCCATGTCCTTAATCTAGAACAACAGAAGGTGCATCCCGCCCAACAATATTTATAAAAGACTCCAGTGATCCCCAGATGAACGATTACATTATGTTACTTTTTGCATGGTTCTTATTGAACAGCACAGAAGCTAGCAATTGGCCTTAAGAAAAGGTGGGGTAATCGTTTTGCCAGCGTCGAAAGAACTGAAGTGTTGGTAAGAGTGAACTTAGGGTAGGCACACACGATCGTACTCAGTCGCCGTGGCATCACGGTGCCGAGATAGCGACGTCGCGAGAATGCAGCAATAGTCTCAAGCATCTGTGGTGGCCCTCCGAACTGGAAGCGCTGCCAGTTGTAGCCTCCGTGCCCTTGTGCGTAGAACTCGAATAATTTTATGAACGGAACGAACAAAAGAATTGACGCAGTCACAAATAGTGATCGATGCTACGACTGTCAGATGCAGAAATCTGAAGGTAGTATCGCGTCTATTAACAAATAAGGCTAGACCATACGGTTGACGCCGTAGTTATGTATATAGGTGGATTAATTGCAGCTTATGCTTACTCACTTTACATCTACCACCTACTTAGATCGATCTCTATCTTAATTTAGATACGAATCGGAATCAATTTCAATATCAAATTCAATACTTGTGCTGGTACTGGTTGTGACAATTCTTTCCAATGTCATAATGAGAGTGAAGAGGACATGATCTGGTAATCGCAATAGGAAATGTTCGATCGCATGTGCTCGCAGTTTATGAAACTCCGCCAGTGTTTCTTGTCTTTCGCGGAGCGCCGCAGAGTCCTTACTCACCGTAGCCCCGTTCGTTCCACCCAACACGACGGCGCACCGAGCCAAGGCACCATGAATTTCACCTATTTTCTTGGAACATAGTTGTGGTGCGTTGTTCTCGCCCGAGGCAGAAGCTGTTACGCCAGAAGTGCTTCTCGGTGCTGATGTTGTTGTGGCCTCAAGATCTCCTGAGGCAGCAGATGAAACCTCAAATACAGTAAGTACGGTGAGGGCGAAGGCACAGATATCATATCCACGCGGCATCTGACTTTCTCGCTCCATGCGTGTTCTTTTGCCGACTTGTAGCATGTACTGCATTACCTCACGGCACCCATGCATACGGTGGTCTGGCGCGTCGGCATCGAGTGCTGCTAATCCTTGTTCATTTTTCATCGCGATTGTTTTTGCGGAGGTGGGACTTCGACTTTGTTGATGTTCGTCTTCTCTAGTCGCATCTTGAGGCTTTGCTTCCACAGACCTGTCTTCTTCTCGTGCTGTTGCTCCACCGACCTCCGGTCTAGAAGATGTAGTAGAAAGGGTGTTAAGCTCTTCTAGTTTCTCCTTGAGGAGTGATCGTACCTCGCGGGCAGCGGCCTCGCGATTGCAGCGCTGGCGTCGCCGGCCGCCGTGAAGGTCGCTCCAGGCGGAGAAATGCTTCTTGGCAATCGCCAAAGTCCACATGTCCACGTCATTCTCAAGGCCGAAAACCTCCAGCAGACCCTTGTAACGGTTCAAGGCAGCAGCGATCTGCTCGTCAACTAGCCCTACACCCTTGCGGTCTTCTCTGGAAAATGCTACTCGTGGACCCGAACCAGTGGCCGCACTACTTGACGCTCCTCCTGCATCACCACCCGCCACGTTGCTATCGGCATTGAAAGCCGCTCTAGCAGTACCTTCAGAAAGATAGCCGAGCTTCGTCCGCGTACGCTCGTCCAGGGTGCCGCATAAGGCGTGCTCAGACCAGGCAGCGAACTGCAGTAGCTCGTTTAATGTTTCTAGCGTAAATAGGAAAAACTCTTGCTCGCTGATCACTAAGCAGGAGTGGTCAGCTTTCGCGACTCGAAAAAAGCTTCGCCAATTGTCTTGCTCTGATATGTGTCCACCCATTGTGCTGCTGCTGGAGTGCACACGATGTAGAGGGTTCAGCTTACTCGCCTCCCCTGGAAGAAGATAGGGCGCGTCAGTCTCTCCGTCGACATCAGGAGTCTTGTTCGTCGACGAAGATGTTTCGCTACTTTGAGGAGCAGCCGAAGGGGACTCAACTACGCAGCGTTCTGCCTCTCGTGCATTCATTGCAAAAATGATACAGTCCGCGCTGTCACATATTTGCTCGTCGTTTGAAATTGATGTGTCTTCGACGTGCATATTCGGTTGTCCTCCCATCTTTTCGTTTGAACTCGTCGTCCGCTTCAGCTCATCCGAGTAAATGGCTAGAACGCGACTGACATGTGTATGGAAGAAGTCTGACCTATGAAAATCCTTGCAATCGATTTTCGGAGGGATGAACACGTCTCCTTCGCCAATGTCATAATCCACAAACTGGCGAACAAATGCCGAAGATGGTAAACTATGGAAGTCATCGCCTGATGCATGATCTTCACCTGGATTACACGTAGGACCTGTTCTTGATGTGTGTGCGTCATCGCCTCGCCTTGTTGTCGACGACGTCGCGGCCGCAGGCTCCGCCGTGCTATCCTTGTCACGTGCAATGCCGCGCATCTGGCCGCAAAACCGCTCGAACAATTTCGCTGTGCCGCCAACTTGTCGAGCACGGGTTGAGCCTGAGGAAAACGATGCCTTATTGTCGCTAGCTCCGTCTGGAAAACTAGTACCACCAAAAAAGCTACCGGCTTCGTATCCGGGATGGAGAAAGGGGTCACATGGAGAATCAGGACTGAAAAACATGACGGTGTCTCTCCTCGCTCGTCCCGCTAGACGGTCGCAGAGAAGACCCCAGTTTTGAGCAAACTGGTGCCGGACCAAAAACTTTACCCAGTGCTTTCGCAAGCACAGTTCGTACACCGGATTCTGCTTAAATCGGACCTCCCAAGTGCTTAGTAAGCAGCCTGGTGCTCCTAGTTCCTTGTCGTCCCCGATATCTTCAGGGTTTGGACCGTCGCTCTTAGGGTCTACCGATGGGTTCAAGGGGCCACGGCTAGACGAAGAGGATGGACCACCTTTGCCTCCAGAATAAAACAAAGGGACGCCGCCCTCGTCATCCAAAATCCTTGTGGGAGCGTCCTGCCCATCAGCGAAGGTGGTTTCTGTGTTGTCTAACAAATTTCTTACTGTAGTCGTTCGTCTTGCTCTCTCTGGGTCATGCAACAAACTGAAGCTGCTCCTGGGTTTCCCTAACTCTTCGGCACGGGCACGAGCATCTGCCGCTGCTTTATCCCTGGCCCTCTGAACACGTTCGGCCACTGTTTCTGATTCAACTACCGGTCGCTCGTACTCGAGTAGCAATCGCACAGTTCTTTTCTTCTGCTGCTTAGCTTTCCCCTGCTCCGCTTCATGACGAGATTCATCCAATGCCAAGTCCAATCTGTCGCGTTCGCTTACCTCTATGATCCGACGTGTCTCGTTGTTCTCTTTATTGTGATCTCCAATCTCCAGCGCATCGTCTTCTTGTTCCTCCGCCTTTACAATAGAGCAGATGTTGTAGTACTGGAGCAGCCAAAGGAACAACTTCTGGAGATCGGTGGCATGATGAGCTGCGAGATCGCAGAACCCGTCACTAGCAAGGGTCTTGTGCATAGCAAAGCTTCCTGGGTGGCCCACGTGCGAAAGTGCTTTTGTAACCAACTGCGCAGCAGCCGACGGAAAGGCTGGAGTACTGGTGTTGCTTCCAGGAGCAGGTGGAGGTCTCACAATGCCGCTGCACACATAGTACAGTGGATCCTGGTGATGTTGCTTCGCCTTGCCTGCTTTTCCAGACGAAGAGGACGAGAAGGAGGCCCTTCGCTTTTGCTTAACCTCCAAAAGCATTAGTGGACGGTCATCGCCCACGCTGGCCACTAGCTCACTCTGCAGTCTCTGCGCGTATACTCTGCCGGCGTCAGTGACCGGCTCAGGCGAGATCTCGTTGGTTTCATTTGCGCTTTGATCTGTATTTTTGCCACTACTACAACGAGAAGCGAAGGCTGTAGAAGAACCTGCGTGCTTGTCCCACTCGCTTCGCAGTGCGGCAACAAATGGGTTCGATTTAAATTTATGATCGCAAACTTCCTTGTCCTCTAGGGCTTGTTCCTCCAAATCCTTTGACAGTAGTTTCGGCACCCTTCTTCTTCTACTAGTGGTCGCCGCTTGGTCTATCCTGCTTTCAGGAGAAGACTTGCTGGAATTTAAGAACAGTGTGTCCAATTGATCCGTCACAATGTGCCCATTCGACGCTTTATTTGGCGTTTCGCGATCGTTGTGACCATGGTCTTCTTCACTCGGTATCGCATTTGGATCTTCATCTAGATCAGGAGTGAGGTCGTCGTCGCCTTCTTGTGCCACCAAGCTCGTTGGGTCTCCCTCAGTAATCTGCACTAACAGGTTGCGTAGCTTCCGGTCTGCCTCAGCCCTGCCACCAGGAGGCACCGCTGCTGCAGTTGTGCAATATTTAGAAGATTATGATCGAAGTCTTCAAGTACAACGAAGAAGGAGCAAATTATGTTGAGAGCAACAAAATATACCACACTTATTGAGTCAGAGTGGCTATCAATATTTATGCCTGGTTATCATTTCGTCCAAACCGAGGGAAACGCAGAGGCGAAGGTGATCATATCAAAGGCTCCTGAAAGTAGCCAGTAACCATCTCCGCTAGCCGCGCTTCCCCAGGGTGGAACAGAAAAACAATTTACCCTTAGAAGCCTTACCGATCAGGATTGCAGTTCTATTAACAGTGTTTTCTTAATCAAGGACGAAGATGACGATGACGAAGACAGCCCTTGCTGTCGTGGGCCTTCGTGATGTGAAGCTGCGACATCGGGTGTCTCCCACGAAACGTTTACACCATCATTTTTTTCTGCGGAAGCATCTCGACTTGCCCGAATAAGCATGGGACTGTTTAGAGCTGGCGCGTCAGCGCTACTCGCTTTTGCTGCGGTGCCAGACGAAGAAAAGAAACTTTGTTGTGCTTCTTGTTCTTCTGTTGCGACGTTTTTAGCAACACTACTTGATAAATCCGCATGACCTTGTTTCTTCTTACTGTCTATTTTGGCTTTGCGAGTTGGCTCCTGCTGCACCTGAACTATATCGAGCAAATCGTTATCACGCACCTTGATAGTACGCGTCTTGTAGCTGGGTTGTTTTTTTCTTTTCTTGTTTGTAGTTCTCTCATTTTGGATGCTACCCATGGACATTTTTTTCCACCAGTGCTCCACATCCATCAATATCCGTACCAATTCGTCTAGCATAAACCTTCGCAAGTCCTTCGGACCCGAGATGTGTGTGGGGCCGTTCAGTATATCTCGACTGGATCTGAGCGCTTCTGATTCTGAACCACTTTGGTTATCGTTGCTGCGTTTTTGGTCCTCTTCGACGAGGCTTTCGCAGTTTGACGTTGACGTGCACATTAGCGCCCTCTGAAGCCGAAATCGAAAATTTACGGCTTCTCGCATGTCGAAGGTGCCTCCAAGAGTGCTGTAGGTGTTCTCCTGTGGCCCTGCGCCGTACTCCCGCGTGGCCTCCGTGTGAGACAGAATTTCAAGGCATTTGTCCATCATGATCCACCACTGCGCACGCAAGGGCATGGAGTAGTAAGCAGGAGAGCCAATTCTGAGCGGAGTGTGCAACTTCTTACCATGCAGTCGCCGGCCGTAGTCGCAATACCGTTGGGGGTCAGCATTTCCATCAGCCCACCAGTCATTATCCGACTTGTCTGACGCCCACGTGTCGCCACGGCGACGGTTCCCACGACGACCACCTTTTCCGCCGCGGCTATCCGCTGCTGGACTACCATTCTCCTCGACGCTAGGCGCGGCGCCTTCCGCTGCGGATTGGCGTTGGAGACTCTGTGTGGTGCCACTACCGGGAGCAACCTTGATTGCATCTTCTTTCGTGCTTGGTGACGGACGTTCTTCGCCACGGTAGAGATCTCGAACCGCATGAAGAGAGATTTCGTCTGGGTACCAAACAGTGATATCATACTTGTTGCAGCACAGCGCCTTGCGCGCTAGCGGGTAATTATTGGGTGGTGTCGCCGGCTGCAGATCGCGCCACGTTTTGTACAAAGCTAAGTGCCGTTTTCCGTCCTTTCTTCTATGTTCCTTGATTTTCTTGTTTCGGTTTTTCTCTTTCTTCTTCATCTCGACGTCACATTCATCCTTGTTATCCGACGTGAGACTACTAGACGGCAATTCTTCTGTCGGTTCAAAAAGCTCTTCTTCTTGTTGTTCATCAACCATTGTTTCATCAAGACGCAACTCCTGTATGGTCTCTTCAGGTATTTTTCGATCCGCCAAATCTTCTTGAATTCGATAGAGTGTTGCGACCTCTTCCTTCGTCACGTTCGGTGCATCTAGGGATCCGGTTTGCGCATCTTCAAACAGGTGCGTGATGAGGAACGCACTCATATGCTGTGGGAGAAGTGCCTGGCTCTCCCAGTTGGCCTCCCCTTTGAGGAGGCTCGCAGAGATGCCAAGTAGCATTCGAACAAGGTTGCCGGTAAAACGACGCTCGTCGGTTTCTATGGAGTGCGGGAAAACGTGCATGCGCAACTTCACTTCTTCCGCGCAAGCCTGCAGACAATTCCACGGGGAGAATTGAGTCGACTTTGGAATCATGCTCGTCAAGGAATCCACCGCCGACGCATTCGCGAAGGGCGGAAATACAACAGCTTGAGTTTGAGACCTTTCCGCTGTACTCCTACTTAGTTGGTTCTGGTTCTGCCAAATGGCGTTGAAGTCGCTTTCCGGATTCGAGTCTGGCCAACTTTGGTCAGGAGAGGCAAGGAGGGGCGCCAGGTCGCCGAGTAGTGCAGGAGTCTCACCGACATCGTTTGGGCCACGCCACATTTCGGGCACGGCAGCCAAGAAAAACAAAGGATGGTTCGCGCGACGCGGCATCTTTGCGTCCTCTCCAGGGTCCAACGTCAGGCATTGCTTTTCCTCTCCAGCTATGTGCCAATTCAGTTGCCGAAGCAGTTCTGGATACACCTTCCATCCCAAGGAGTAGTACCCGCACGACTGCAGCAGACGTTCGGTTGGGGTGCTACTCATACTCATAGGGCTAAGCGGCCTGAGCGACTCATTTGCTCTTTCGTGGTCAAGAGTCTGAAAAGGTGAGTCTGGCAGCTGCTGGCTTTCTCCAGGACGTCCGGTGAACATCCGTTCCAGCACATCCGCTAGCATCGGTCCAGTGAAGGTACCAAGGTAAGATTTTGGTATAGAGGCCAGAAAAATCGAGTGGCGTAGTGCGTCTTCCGCAGTGCGGAAGGCGCCGAAGGTCTTGTAGGCACCTTTCATGAGGTCGATTGACTGGCTGCCAGCGCTATCGTCCTCCGTCGTCTCCCCGCTCAGGAGATTGGTGATCCTGGTGCGGCCTTTCCCCTTGTTGCTCGGCTTCAAAACATTAATCGGCAGAACTTCCGCCTCAGAGCAAATAGGCTCGACTAGAGGCACAGTCCCATTGCAAACGATGCGACAGATGGGGCACGCAAATTCGCGATTGTCAATGCTGTAGAAGTACTGGTCCTGCATGCGTTGGTTCTCGCCCCCCCTAGCCTCCGCTAAATAGTTTTTGAGGCAGGAAAGGTGCGCGACATGACTGCAGCTCGTCAAACTCAGACATCCGCGTTGCAGATTCAGATAACTCCCGGGCGCAACGCCGCGGCTCTCGAACAAGGCCAAAAATACAGCGACGTCCAGAGCCTCTCCGGGATTCGCTGGTGAAGCTCGCACGCCTGCGCGGCAGATGCAGCACGTGAGCTCTTCTTCTTCGTCTTCCGAAGCGGCACTCAAAGTTTCGACGTTAGCTCCTACTGATGTGTCTGCCTTGCCCTTTTCGCCACTGTTCACGTTGTCTTTCGTTGTTGCACACGCGCCGGCAGTGGCAGCCGCTCCAGCTTTGGGCTTCTTCATGTTGTCCGCCATGAACTTTGCCTGTTTTTCCTTCATCTTCTTCATCATCTGTTCTTGACGCTTCTTCGCTTTTGCTTTCTTGTCGTCAGCACTGATATTAGCGCCTCCTCCCTCTGCAGACGAAGCAGATGGCTTGTTTTCGCTTTTCTTTGTCGTGCTGGTACTGCTGGTAGAAGAAGCCGCTGCTGCGGTGCTGTCAACCTCCATTGGGGCGTTGCTGCGTGTGTTGGTACTGTTCGGGTCGCCAAGTGGTTTTGCGTTCGGTGATAGCTTGTCCACAAGCGATCCCAGCAGGGCGCTTGCACGCTGTACAATCGGTGAGCCGGGTATTTTCATACCCTCCGCGTTTTGAGCTGAAGAAGAAGAACTGGAGGAAGCATCAGCACGGGCATCCCGATCTGTGGGTTCGCTTTTTGTAGTCTGTGCCTGAGTTTCGCCTGCAGGACTGCTGGCTTCTATGTGGTTTGCGCTTTCTGCGAAGGTATGATCCGCTACTGCTACGCCGGATGAGGACAAAAGCGCCTGCTCTCGCGCTAGCACAAGCTTCTGCTCATTCGGAATCACCGCAGGAGCCTCAAACAGGCTACCACACCGCTCGACTACGTGCGCTGCCAGAGGAATATCGATCTTCCACGCGTGAAGATAGCTCCAGATTTGCTGACGGACTGTGAATCGAAACAGTTTTTCCTCTCGCAGGCCGAAGCATGGTAATTTCGAGGAGGCCGACTCATCCGCTAGAGCGATGGCGGCGGCTGACGTCGTCACACTACTTATCGAGAGCCCTTCTGCTCCTGTTACGACATCTGGCGACGGCCTATCTTCTTTACAACGCTCGATGATGTCGTTTAATGTGACCAAGCCATCTCGCAACGGCTTTCCTTTCTCTATCAGCAGCTGGGCATTCTGCGCGCGCCCGCAAAATGCCATTTTTCCTGCCAACATCTCTTCTCGTAGAACGACGTAGGCGTCCCACTCCGGTATCAGCATGTGCTCGAAGTCCTCCTTGGCACCGAAATCAAGCTCACCCTCGTGGTTGTCGTGAGCTTCTATTAGTGACGGAGAACCTGCGCTCACACTGTATAAGTCGTCCTCATTGTCACATCCTCCGTAGCTGTTTTCTGCACGACCACGATTAGGAGAGCCTTCGGCATGATCAGGTGCATCTAGTACAACGACTGGCTTGTCGCTGGCTGTGTCTATCCTCTGCTCTGATGCCGATGCGGGGGTCTTATTTGCAACGTTAGTGCTTGGGTTTTCCGATGCAGTAGCCGGGGCTACGAGAGCTGCAGCTGGGCTCCAGGAAATTCCAGCTTTTTCTAATGCCCCTTGAGCCTTTCTCAGAACCTTGTCTTTGAGCCTGCTGACTAGACCTGGCGTCTTAGCTGGTGTGATTTCTGCCAGCTTTTTAGGATCTTCAGCCGCTCCTTTTGGTTGCGGAGAATTCGACCCCATCTTCTGTTTGGTATCTTGTTCGCCACCTTCTTTGAGCGTAGCTCGCCTCTCTCTCCACATTCTTCGAGCCTCAGCAAGTGCGGGATTGGGACTGGCGGATCTTCGCTTCTCTTGTTTCAGCCTCCAGATTCTTTGAGCTTCAGGAAATGTTAATGAGGCACTGTCAGCATTCGCGGCTGGCGCACCGGAAGAACTGCTGCTTTCGATGACTGGTTTGCCACCTCCCTCGAGCACAGATCGCCGCGCTTTCCACATTCTGTGAGCCTCAGCAAGTGTTGAAGAGGGACTGTCAGCCTTCGCGGCTGGCATATCAGAGACACTGTCGACCATGGCTTGTGTCCATTTGGTGACGTCTCCCCATTCTTGGTGGGAAGCTCCGGTAATATTTCTTAATATGTCTTCCACTTCCTCTTTTTCGAGATCCAGTTGTGCTTGTGCAGAAGATGAAGAAGTCCTAGACCAATTCTCGAGACTTGATTCTAATTGTTCGAGCCTCTGCTCGATGGCGTTTGCCGTTTTCGCCGGCTGCTCTTGCAAGAGCCGCCTCCTGCTCGCGCTCGTGTAATACGGCAAGCATTGATCCTGTTCGGAGACAAATCGCCTCTGCTCTTCGAGATTCTTCACGTCCGCGGCTTCCTGCAGAAAAAACAACGATCTCGCTCCGTTTCTGTTTACGACGCCAAGGCTTTCGCCCCAGAGGGCAAGACTCTCGCTGCATGCCCATTGCGTCAGATCCTCTTCGGTGTCGTTGATCAGGTTCAAGATCTCTCGCTCTGCGTACTCTCGATTACAGATAAGCTCAACGTCTGCATCTAAGCGTAGACTCTCGAAACAGCTTTTCCCTGCCTGCAATTGGTTTTCATCCTGAGAATCTGAATTTCTGCGAGTACGAACTTCGACTTTATCGCTGGTGCTACAAGTAGGCATAGAAATTACAACAGCGCAACCTTGTTCATCAGCGTCAGTCTGGTTTTCCTCGTCTTCGTCAGAGTCAACACGTTCAAAGCCGTCTGCTGCTTCGCCTACTTCTCCCAACTGCGAAGTCACGGCTTGCGCTACGCGGACCCCTTTGGCCAACTTGATTGCCCGTGCAACCGCGCTCATGCGTACAAGTGTTCGCCCCGACTCCTTATCAATGATAAAACTGCTTTTAACTCGATCCAATATCATCAGCTTAAGCTTTTCCCATTTTTTTTTTTCCTTGTGACCTAGTACATCAGGACCAGTAGCCTCCTCTCCATTATTTTCACCAGCAGTGTTTCTTTTGTTCTCTTGTTTTACAGGAGAGATGCTGGAATCATCTGTTAACGTGTCGGGAGGAGTGAAATGATCTTCCCATGCGCTCGGCTCTACTAGCAGCCTCATCAGGATGTCCCTCTGCACAGGCCTGACATACATGCACTCCTCGTCATCTTGATCTGAAAGGAATCGATTGGTCAAAGGATGACGCTTAGGAAAAAGTATAGCGCAAGTGGACTTTCGCACCGCGTGTCTGTATCCTGTGTCTTTTTCGTCTAAGCAATCTCTGTCAATGAACCTCACGCCGCCGGTTGCAGCTTGAAATCTGCGACATATTTCGAGCCTTTCAACTTCGCGTGATGTAGTTTTTTCTTGCGCTTCCAAACAAAAAGTAGAAGAAGTCGATTCTGCGTAATCAGCTGCACTTTTCTGGTTCTCGCCACGACGACTAGGACTACGCCCGGCAACAGGAGATCCACCTCCGTCAATATTCTTTCGTCCTCTGCCGAGGCTGCCGAAGTGTCGTCTTTTCCTCTCTTCTACAAAAAGATCACCAACTTCATCTTCATCAGCGTTTTGGCGGATGACGTCCGCCTTTCGCTCTGCAATCGGACCAGTAAGCACAAACTCTTCGTGTGTTGGCGGCAAAACCTGATAGGCTATGAAATTTCGCATCTTGGCGGCTGTGACATCCAAATCTACCTTGTGCAAATTACGGAATCTAGACATGACCTTCCTTCCAAAGGCAGACGCCGATCGGATACTAAACAGTGGCTCGCGTCGAAGAATCTTCTTCTTGTTCTTCGTATCCCGCGCGGTGTT